CAGCTCGAGGCGATCACGGAGTACTGGGACGCGTCCTCCCGGCGCTTGGCCATGCAGATGCGCCTTCGCCGGACGTTCGAGGAGGTCACGGCGGAGATCATGAAGGACCAGGCGGCGTTCCTGGATGTCCTCTCCCGCCCTCGACCCCCGGCGAGGAACAAGGTCAGCGAGGGCTTCAACCCGCCGGACCCGGAGACGGACGGCCCGCCAGGCGCCGCGGCGCACCAGGGTTACCAGCCCGGGCCCGCGCCACAGAAGGTGAAGAAGAACAGGCGGCGCCGCAACAACCCCCGCCAGGCGCAACAGCAGCACCAGCACCGCGGCGACGAGGGTGGCTCGGACAGCCGCGGTGGCGGCGGCGGTGGCTGGCGGCAGAACTGGCGCCCTCGCGGCGACTCCAACCAGCAGCCTGGCCGCCAGGACTGGCATGACGATCGGCGGTGGGCCAATGCCGACCGGGCCCAGTCGTGGCAGGACCGCGGCGGGAAGAGAGACTCCCAGGCGCAGGACGGCGACCGCCCGCAGAAGCACAGGCGCTAGGGACAGCACGGGGCCCCGCCCGGCGCTTCGGCCTCGGGTGGGGTACCCGACCGGAGCCAGGCGGCACAGGCGGTGGTGCTGAAGCCGGCTAGGCCGGCGCGCCGGGATGGCAAGTACATCCTGCTCTCCCTCTTTGACGGCGTCGGGGCGGCGCCGGCCATCCTCGAGGACCTCTTCGGCACACCGTGGGCGGCCATGGCGTGGGAGACAGACAAGACTTGCCGGCGATTGACATCCACCCGGCTGCCCTGGCTCCGGCAGAGGGGTGATTTCACGGACTCGGTGGAGAAGGTGGCGGCGGAAGTCAAGCGCCTTGACCCGGCCGGCGAGTGTGTGATCCTCCTCGTCGCGGCGCCCCCCTGCCAAGATTTCTCCCAGATCGGCGCGGAGGCGGGCCACAGTGGCGCCCGCGGAAGCCTGTTCTTGCGCTCGGCGGAGTTCGTCCTGGAGCTGAGGGCGGCGCTCCGCGGCTGGCGGGTTGGCTTCATGTTCGAGAATGTTGTCATGCAGCCGGCGTCGGCCAAGGAGGTATCCGACTGCCTTGGGGTGGAACCGGCGCTGGTGTGCGCCTCCGATTTCGGGTGGATCTCGAGGCCGAGGCTCTGGTGGCTCTCGGCGGACCTCCGGCAGCACACGGAGGACCCGGCCACCGGCGCACCCCTGGTCTGGACCAAGAAGGGGCCGTTCCACCGTCTCCGGCTGGAGGAAGCCAGGGCGGCGGCCAGCACTATGCTACCGGTGGGCATGGCCTTTCACCCGGCGGTGGCGTCGAGCAGGTTGCTCCTGCCATGCGCCACCACGCCGGCGGAGGACGAGAACGGCCGCCCGGCGCCGAAGAGAGCTCGGGGCAAGATCCCGGAGCCGGCGAGAGCCAGGTGGCTGGCGGACTCCCGGCAGTTCGCCCCCTGGCATTACACAGAGGAGGCGATGATCCACGACGAGGCCGGCCGGCTCCACAACATCCCCGTCGGCGTTAAGGAGGCTCTCCACCACATACCGGGGGGGTACACGGACCTCGGCGACGGAGACGACAGGACCCGGCATCGGATGGTGGCCAACGGCTGGCATTGGGGAGTGGCCCACCCCTCTTGGCAATGCTCATGGCCTTTACGGTGGCACAGCCGGCGGAGGCGTCGGTGCCGGTCGCACCGAGGACCACCACGGTGGCGTGGATGGCCTCACAGTTCGGCGCAGGCCCCCTGGACATGAGCCCCCCGCCTCGCCTGGCGTCGCGGCTCGACTTGCCGGAGGACGACCCCGACGAGCACTGGCGGCTGGCACTCCAACTGAGCCACTGCACGGTCACTCGGCGGCCGGACCTGGAGCCGGCGGTGGAACGCGTCTTGGTGCTCGCGGCTGCCTGGCGCCACGACGTGGTCAGGATCCGCGGCGAGGTGCTGCAGGAGATCAGAGACATGGTGGCGGACCGCGTGGAGGAGACGGCGGCCTGGCTGGCCCAGCGCCCGGCTCCGGTGCGTAGCACCTACTCCACGGCGGACAAGGACCGGCCTACGCAGATCCCGGTCCTCTTGGAACTCCTCGGCGTGGTGGGCTACCCCGACATCGAGGGCCTCACGGCGGACCTCACCCAGGGCTTCGACATGCTCGGCGAGGTGCGGCGTGGCCCCGGCTGGAAGGAGCGGACAGACGGCCGTTACCAGAACCCGGTGTCCCTGGACCAGCTGGCGGCGACCAACTGGGAATACGTCCGGAAGCGAGCCTCGGCGGCGCAGCCCGGCAAGCACTGGGAGACCCTCCTCACGGAACTGGTGGCGGAGGCCCGGCTTGGCAGGGTGGTTGGTCCGGCGGCCCCGCCGGCTGGATGGAACATTGTCACCGTGCCGGTGCTGAACACGCCCGGCGCCGATCGGCTGGTGCCGCGGCGTCCTTCGCCATAGTGCAGGAGGACGGCGAGGGGAACACGAAAGTGCGTCGAGGGGAGGACTGGCGGCGTTCGGGCCACAACTCCACGGTCCTGGCGCGGGACGTCCCCACCCACCATTTCGTGGATGACGTGGTGGACTTCATCCGGCGCGTGGTGGAACTGGCAGGGAATCGTGGGGTCCCGGCGGCCAGGCTGTTCGGGCACGACCTGCTCAATGCCTACCGGCAGTGGGCAGTCCGGCACCCGGCCCACTCCGGCACTTTCCTGGCGACACCGGCTGGGCTGACACTCTGGTTTCACCTGGCCATGTGCTTTGGAGCCGCGGCGTCGGTTTGGAATTTTAACAGGGCCGCGGACGCGATGCAGGCGCTGACCCGCGTCCTGCTGTGGCTGGTCGGCGGCCATTTCGTGGACGACTTTAACGGCGTCGACCTCCCGGAGCTCGCGGAGTCGGCCTTCCACTCCCTGGCGGACCTCTTCCTGGAGCTCGGCCTGCAGACCAAGCCGTCGAAGGCCCAGGAGCCGGCGACCCGGCACGTTGTCCAAGGTGTGGAAATGACGATCGAGGCGGACGGCGTGTCCCTGCGACCCACCCCCTCGAGGGTGGCCAAGCTCCTCCGGGCCATCGAGGCGGCGCTGGAGACGAATGCCCTTCAGCCGCACGCGGCGCAGAAGCTGGCGGGCAAGCTGAGCTTCGCGTCCCAGTCCACCTTCGGCTGCCTCGGCAAGGCGGCGTTGAAGCCGCTTTACGCCAGAGCCCACGACGCGGCGGCGGAGTCATCCCCAGAGCTGTCGTTGGGGTTGGCGGCGGCCCTCCGGGCGCTTCGGCAGCTACTCAAGAACATCCGGCCCCGGTTTGTGCCGTTCGTCGACGACGGCGCCCCGCAGGCCCTGGTGTACGCGGACGCGTTCTTCCAGCCAGGCGAGGTCAAGCACAAGGCGGGCTTCTTGCCGGCGGACCTGCCCACACCAAAGGGGGCACGCGGCAAGAACGGCTGGGGATATGTGGTCAGAGTCGGCGGCGAGACCTACTATGACTACGGCCAGGCGCCATCCTCCTTCCTGGTGGCGTTCGGCTCCAGGCGGGCCTTCATCTACGTGCTCGAGATCGTCGCCCAGGTCCTGGCGTTGACAACGCTGGCGCGGCGGTTACCGGAACGCTGGCTGGCGTTCATTGACAACGTCGCCGGCCAGTGGGCCCTCACCAAGGGCTACGGGAGGGACCCCGCGGTAAACGGCGTCCTGGCGGCGTTCTGGTCCCAAGCAGCGGACATGGACTGGCTGCCTGACTTCCGGCGGGTACCTTCGAAGGCCAATGTGGCGGATGCGGTGTCCCGCGGCGACCTGGCTACGGCAGAGGCGATGGGCTGGACCAGAGTACGCACACCGGCGGCCAGAATCTGCGCCATCCTGGCCAAGACTGCTGGCGACCTCGAGTTCGCCATCCACGGAGCATCGGCGGAGCTGAGAGCTTGCGCTATTTGAGTTTTTCCGGTAGTTCGGCTGTGCCGGCGCTGTGTGGGGGTGGGGAGCGCCGGGCGGGTAGCTCAAAGCTTCCCCGGCGCCGGCCAGCCTAGTTTTGGGCGGAGGCGACGGACCCGGCGCGATGCGCTTTCTTCCCATACAAAAGAAGGGTATCCGTCGTCTCGTGCTAGCCTTTTCGGCGTTGCCCTAAACGTCGATAGCATATGTCGTGTAGCACACGTGTGTGCGCATGGACATGAGCGATTCGTCGTGCCGGCAGCTGTCCCGGCTCGACATCGCTTTTTCGGCCCACCCTCTACCACCCTCGTGTTGGGGAGTGGGGAGGAGGCCTCCCCAGTATCGGCGAAGCCGTTTGCTAAAAGACTGAAGGGTCGTCCCCCGCCCACGGGCGGCGCGTCGGGTAGCTCAAAGCTTCCCCGGCGCCGGCCAGCCTAGTTTTGGGCGGAGGCGACGGACCCGGCGCGATGCGCTTTCTTCCCATACAAAAGAAGGGTATCCGTCGTCTCGTGCTAGCCTTTTCGGCGTTGCCCTAAACGTCGATAGCATATGTCGTGCAGCGCCAAGCTTTAGTCGTGACTTTGAGGGAATGCGCAACTGCACTGCTGCTTTTTGTCCACGTTTGTCTTCACGCGTTTACTGCATGAGATTTGGCGGGAGAGCATACGACTCAGCTTCCAGTGGTGCTCCTGGGTCCATTGCACACCACACAGTCGACAAATGGAAGGGGCTGACCTGCGGGAGTAGGAAGCTTCCTACTCGAAATGACAAAGAGGGAAAGGTTTGATGAAGCAGAGGGTCATGGGCATAGGGGTGTTCTGGGTCGCAGGGGTCTCTAGTTCAAAAGCCTGAAACCATGCATGACATTGTAGTGTATGCAGTGATCCCCGTGGGCCGGCCGATGGCCTGAGGGCTACGGACTGAAAGACAGAAAGGTTTCATGGGATGGCCGTGACACGTCATGCTTCCGACTTCCCTAACGAATGCAGGCGAGAGATAGCAAGGACTGATGGGTGCAAGTTCTCATGAAAGACAACACCATCGCTCTTGTTGACCTGCTCAGGTTCGAGGAATCGTTGCCGACGTGCACTTCATGGTAGGCTTGTGGGCAGGTGTAGTAACATGTCTTGGTGGGAGTGTCAACGTACTTTGTACCGGTTGCAGCCGGTAGCCCGTGTGTGGATGTTAAGACTTGCCCTTCATTCTGGCATGCACAGCTACACATGAGATGATCTTAAGTTGCTAGCCACTGCGAGGCGGTGATATGGCACATCTGCCCGAAGCTACGACGGATCCGGTCTCGTTTGCTCACTTCGGCCGCTCGTTGCAGCGGGTGTCCACATGCCGTATTACCAAGTTGACGACATTCACAGCAAGAGACCGGCGGCACTGACGGGACTTTGTCATGAGAGAGCGCTGCAAGCAAGGAATGGTGGACCTCCTGCTGTCCCTTCGTCAGGTGGAAGTGCTGACAGGGAGGGAGGGAGGGAGAGAGAGAGAGAGAGAGCGTGCTGCAGCATTTCAAGAGAGGTCCCAGATTGATCCCCGGCACAAGGGCGCAAGGGCACGAGGGCACGAGGGCACAAGAGCACGAGGGCACACGGGCACGAGCGCAGGGATATCAGGGCACGGAATCCCAGAATGTATAAGTATATGTATATATATATATGTACACACATATATACAGCGCGTTCTCAAGGATTTGCAAGGATAAGGCAGGATGAGGTAGTATTGCGACTTGTAAACGCTGATCTTGTGGGGAGTGACGGTCTTGTGACACATTGATGGATGGTCGGTCGGATGCACCGATTCCTCTGACTTCTCGCCGCCAAAGACCAAGCCTTACATCATGTCATAATGAAGTACCCCCATCTGGTGATATGGTTGATGCGTAAACTGTTTCAGTAAAAGGAAGGTGATAGACCTAGTCATCAGGTAGGGCTAAAATTTGGGTTTCGGGGACCAAACCCTCTTGTCAGAGTATTCGGGATTGCCACCGGTCACATCATTGTCGATTCGGTTATGTGAATATGCACTGTTGCAGACTTCTCATTAAGCAGCATCATCCGTCATTTAATTCACGATCTGGAATATGTGACACATTATGGCACCAAATTAACCCTTTTAGAGTTGACAGTGTTGGCCGCCGTTTTTCTTGTTTGGTTTTAAATATTGGGTTTGCCACCCGTCATATCTTCTTGAAGTTCGAATTCTTACGACCTACGTAGTCCAAGCCTCCAAGCTGGCTCGGGGTTCCGGATGTGACACCTTTCATCTCTCACTGGAATTTGGGATGCTGAGGAATTTTGGCGCCCATAATCTTCGAGTTTAAGGATTGAAGCCCGTGATCTTTTGAAGCTGCGTGTTTTGCGCCCAACTTGCTGATTTTGAGGCTGTCGGGAAGTATTCGTATTTTTCGGAGGGTTTGGTTTGTAGGGATCATCGATTCCATCACAGAGTCGGATCCAAGAATTCTTACTATTGACCTCTTATTGAGGTTTGATACTCATCACCTGCTCGTAGCTGGCAGCTTGATTCGGGCTTACAATGTCTAACCACTCACCATGTCTTATCAGATTTCAGATCGCCAGCCGTCATCTTTTTTATGATTTATGACTTAGACAGCTGTGCACGAGGTGACATGCTTATACATGCTTATCAACGCCTTCACACTCCAAGTTTTCAGGTTAATTCATCTATATGGTGATGTACGTGCCAATAGAACCGTGGATTCCGCTTGAGTCTATGTGTTTGGTTCATTTTCTCTGAGTTATTTATCAATATAGTACATAGATGTTATGTGTGTCTATATATACATATACATATGTATACACATACTTATCTACAGTCACTTAATTTGAAATGTATTTGCGAATTGGCAACCGTAATCCGTTTGGGTATATACTGCAACCCTCAAGCCATGATAGTCTTTCAAACGAATGTGCTATTCAAGCAATAACTTCAGGCTTTCTCATGTTTCTAACTGACATCTGCAACACCCAAATTTAGAATGGGATAAAGGCCCAAAACATTCGAATTCTAAAACTAAGTCGTAGTGACATACTTAGTGCTTCAAGAGCTATGACCCGAACCTCGGATTGGAAATGATAGATGGCATCTCCCACATCTTATGAGGGATAAATGTGTTCGGCACAGCAAAAGCTTTCATATGTTATGATTAAGAGCAGTGGGTAGTCAACATTCATTGAAGTGGCTAGGGATGATGGGTCCTAATTATGCCAACCAGCGGAAACTTTAGACCATAAAAACAAGCAGAATGCTGTAATTGGTCTCGAAGACACGTTCCAAATAACCCTTAGCCTGCATGTCATGTTCACGCGAACCTCAACATCTGATGACCTATGTTGCGTCAGGAAATTACAACATCTGATGGAGATGACAAGCCCCCAAACACCAAGCCCATGATACAATGTGATGGGGGTTCCGACAACTCAATATTGAGCAGGTCGGGTGCCCCTAAACCCCAGAGAAGATGATGGGTTTCAATCCCGAAACCGCAGGATGGTTGACTGCGCCCATAGATAGCATCCCAAATTCTGATGAGAGGTGATAAAGCATTAGCAACAACAGCCAGTGGATGACAAACCCAACAAGCCTGGTGCCTTGGACCGGGGCCTTGCAAGCTCAAGCCTGGAGGCTGAAGGGAGGATTCGAGGCCTTCGAGGCCTGGAGTCCCCCCTACCCCTCCCCCTCCCCCCCCTCCCCCTCCCCCTCCCCCTCCCCCTCCCCTCCCCCCTCCCCCTCCCCCTCCCCCTCCTCCTCTCCTCCTCCCCGCCCGCGCGCCCCTTCCTCAGGTTGTACAGATTGTCCTTATTGCTCTTCTCAGTGTCTAATCAATTACAAAGGTTAACTCGCGATATTGCATTGAACAACTTGGACAACTATACACCACATGCCTATTCGCAGTGGGCGAAACTTAAGATATGCATGTTCGACATACGCATATATATATATATATATATATATACCCATGTAGCATATGCATTCGACATACATATATGTATATATATATATATGTATATATATATATATGTATATAAATATATATGTATGTGTATATATGTATATATATATATGTATATTTACATATATATATATATATATACATATATATATATACATATATATATATATATGTACATAGATTGTCGCCCCCCCCCGTTGACAGACCATAAGGGCGGACTTTTTGTTTTTTTTTCAGATTTTGGAAATGTCTGAAAATTTGGAAATTTTCGGAAAGCTCGGAAATTGTGCAAATTTGGGAAATTTCGGAAACCAGGAAAATTAGGGGAGAGAACATTAGGTCGGGTCGTTTTGGATCTTTTGGAAATTTCGCAAATTAGGGAAATTTTTGAAGTTTCCAAAATTTCCAAAAAGTCAGCCCTTATGTTTTTGAAAAATCCTGTCCACTAGGTCGGGCCGGTTTCGAAATTTTGGAAATTTCGGAATTTTGGAATTGTTGGAAATTTCGGAGATTTTGGAATTTTGGGAAATTTTGGAAATTTCAAAATTTTTGGACTTCTTGCAATTGATGCTCAGGAGGGCTGATTGTGACCCATCCGATGACAGACCATGCACTACGACTCACTTGCAACGGCAAGGTCTGTCAATACTCATGCCCAGAGTTAGACGGATCACTATCTATCTATACATCTATATATATATATATATGTATGTATGTATTGATACTCCTACATATACTATTGCCAATGCTAATACTGACATTGATCATTTGTTGAATGCTCAAGCTAATACCAGCATTAATACTAATATTACACTTCTATAAAGCCTTGTACGAATATGCCTAATATTGATTGATTTGCTATGAATACTCCTACGCATACCAACAAACATATTCACATTGATATTGGTGTACATGGATGCCAATACTAATACGCACCTGCATGTACTAATGTATATAAATGCGTATACCACTATATCAAAATGCAAATACTTTAACTCATTCATGTATTCAAGTGTTAGTATTTTCATGTGATCAAGAGTAATACTAATACCAACATTCCTGCGAATGTAAATCATCAGTATTATAAAGTACTAACACTCACACTACTACTAATACTTATCACAACATTATACCAACATCAATGTTTGCATAAAGTATTGATACTCCTACGAGTACGAATACGTATACTCTTGTGGTGTTAACAGTATCGCTATCATCAACACTGATACGGACATTGATAATCTGTTGAATATTCAAGAATGCCAGTACTATTACCAGCATGGACACTTATATTATGGGTAATGCGACTATTCGTTCTAATATCAACATTAATATTCCTACGAATACCAATAGTATATTCGTATTGATATGAATACTAATATCTTCACTAATAGACACCTGCATATACTGATGTACATAAAAATACATACCGTTATCTTAAGATACAGAAAAAACATTAGTGCATTCATGTACTAATGTTTTGGCATAAGCATACCCATATACATATATATATATATATATATATATATAGACATGTATGTACTCACATAGGTAGCACGAAGCAGAAGTACGCCGTATCCAAAACGCAGGCCTGCATTTTGACACGTTCATATATACATATATACATATATTGAAGATACATATATACATATTTACATATATATAAAATTACATATCATAGATACATCGGTACATATATACATATACGCATAAATGCATAAATACATGTATACATACGTACATACATACATATATATATATATATATGGTCACCCCCCCCCCCCAAGATCTACATCCGCCTCTTCCACACAATTCCACAGGTTGCTTCTCTACATTGGTCGACTACTCATATATGCCGAAAACACCGTAAATTCCGATACAATCGTGCTTTACTCCATGTGCATGCAAACCGTGCTGCTACAAGTCGCGGGTTTGATATGTGTAAAAATCTGGCGCCGAATTTCGGCAGCAGATTTATGGTAGTTTATATGTTGGAGAAGCTGAAATGCTGGAGGGCGTGCTATTTTTGTGCAGGTAGTACCAAAAAACCTCGTGTTTTTTGCGTTTTATGGTGTGTTATTTGACGACATTCCTCTAACAATAAAAATACTATTGTCTCTCTTACGAAGACGTCTGTGTGCGTGGGCCATCTCTTTACCGCTGCTCGTGAAGCGTCCGATTCTGATGCGGCCTAATAGCTCTAGCATTTGATTTATGAGTTACGAAACACAAAGAGTTCCTTTCATGTCCTGTCCGTTATATATGAAGGAAGTCGAATATACGGGCGCGTATGTTTTTAAAGCAATACTCCAATAGTTGTTCTTTAGCCTCATAAAACATGGGAAAATTCCCCTGGAGTTGGAAAGTTCATGTGCATATGCGGGCGCACAAGAAGGCTCGTCTGCAGCAAGAAGTAAGAGAGCTTGTTGCAACCTTCCAAACATGAAGCAGGACTAATTACGACTGGCTGCATTGATATGTATCAATCACAAGGCAGGGGCTCCTTAACCTCGTAAAACAAAGTAAGATGGCACTTCATGGACGAAAGCTCCTCTTTATGTTGTGAGTCGATATTAAAGGCAGCCATGTGCATAGCAATCGCTATCTATTTTTGCGGGTACTCATTTGGGCCATGAGTTTTCATTCGGTTAAATCTTATTGATGCTGTCCTATGCCCCGGAGAAGATACCGATCGCTATGTCCATGGCTGTTTCTCTAATTGCTGTCATAGAACGTAGCGGAAAAAGTAGCTCTATTCAATCTTCAAGCGAAACTCCCCAGATGTGATCAGCAAACAAATAAAAGCTTGCTTATTGGTATCTTTTATTAAACGGGCAAGAGGCGTAAGACTTGTATCGGTTTCTACACCTCCCTCACATCCTGACAAAGCGATACCGGTCCTTCTGTCTGTGACGGTGGTTTAAACGCTGTCATAGTTCGTATCACAACATGAAAAGGAGCTCTCTTCAGTCTTCGAAGACTACAGGTGACATCGTAGAATTTTCTTCTGGGTTAGCAGGAATCTTCATGTCTCTTGCTTGGTACGTATGAGGATGTCTCATAGGAATCAGAATAGGAAGTCTCCATTGTTCCTGATGATAGCAAGAGGCAAACAGTTTCCTGCAGTCTCCAATATGAAATGAATTAAGTTCTAGATCGGCTTGCGCTGCTACAGTGTTGGATCTGTAGGCGGTGCAGCTTGCCGAAGAAGGGCCAAACCCATTTTCGAGAAAGCTCCGGTACTGGAGCCACTGCTGCTGGTGCCATAGAGCTACCAACCTCCAAAAACATACATGAAATAAGCTATGCAACGACTAGGCCTTTTTTATACTTACCAAACAAGAGTAATGAAAACCGTTGTTGTTCCAGAAGACACATAAATCATTACTTCCAGTCCTTGACAACGGTTGAAAGCACACACTTATCTTGTGATGCAATATCTCCTGTCCTGGACATCAGAAAACACTGTAATGCTCAAAAAATTCCAAAATTTCTAACCCTGAACTCACGAAACACTGTAATGCTCAAAAATCCAAAAATTCTAAAATTCTGGCATCTATGGCCAGGCCGGGGGCAGATTCCTTAAGAGTTTGGAATTTTTTGAGCATAGCAGTGTTTCGTGCGTTTCAATGGTTGGAAAAGTTGATTTTTATTGAGCATTACAATGTCTTGTGCGGTTGAACCGCACCTCGTCCGGGTGGATTTCCATAGCTTCGTGTGCGGCAAGATTTCAATAGGCTTGGAGTCACACTTGATTGTGCACAGCTGCGCACCCATCACATATCGTATGTCCCCCTTCACTAGACCCTCTCATAAACACGCACTGGCTCAAGACTTCGGCTGTGGGAGAACGAGACGGACCAGGCGGTTTTGGTATTAGGACCAGCATCAGCAGGTTTGGGGGCGGACAAGACACGCGCATCATGAGCATCAGCGGTGTTGCATGGCAGTGCAATAACTGGAGCCGCTACCCCATGACCTCGTTGTTGAGTGGTGCATTAAGCAAATTCACTTCTTATTGACCATGATCAATCTCGAAGACGCTTTCTGACCAGGCGGTTTTGGTTTTAGGACCAGCCCCGAAGCCGACTGATGTTCATGAGGCTACGGCTGATGCTCATGTTTCTACACGACCTAGAGTTCCAGATTCCAGATTTGCAGGGTAAGTTTCCAGATTCCAGATTTCCAGATTTGCAGGCTCTAAGATTCCAGATTCCAGATTTCCAGATTTGCAGGCTCTAAGATTCCAGATTCCAGATTTCCAGATTTGCAGGCTCTAAGTTTCCAGATTCCAGATTCCAGATTTCTGGAAATCTGGAAACCTTAGGGTGAGCAAATCTGGAAATCTGGAATCTGGAATCTCTGGAAACATAGTGCCTGCAAATCTGGAATCTGGAAACCTGCGTACTGCAGAAAGCAGGAAATCAGGAAATCCATTCTCCGGAAATCTGCAGACGTAGATCTTGGGGGGGGGGGCGAGCATATATATATATATATATGTATACATATATACATGTATCCATGTATTCATATGCATATATGCATATATGTATATATATATGTATATATATATGTATATGTATATGTATATATATATATATATATATATATATATTTATATATACACATGCATACATATCTGCAAGTATAGATGTACGCATTTACACGTTTGCGCCAGAACTTACATCTGCGTGAACATACATATGCATTCATGTGCATGCTTTTTATCTTTATATATGTCCTTTCGTTGTGTATATGTATATTTCTGTATACACGTATGTACATATATACCTTTTAGCAGAGCTTGATTCGAAGATCTGCGACGCCCCATCACTCAACACCCCACCCTCGGAGTTCAAGTTTTGTATGATGTTTTCTTTTACAATCAGATGATGAGAACTTTGAGTCGTGCACCTCTCAATAGATTGGGACAAACACAGAGCTTGCACCTAGAAAACACAGGTTGCACCTGCGTCCTAGATTTGGACTGCTGGGTGAGGTCCAGGGTCACATGTCCGGTCCTAGCGAAAACTTCTCCCGGTTACACTGCTCGGTTGCATGCCAGCTACCTTCGTTGCACGACCAAGGACCCGACAAGGGCACACGGGCACAGGGGCACAACAGCACAGAAATAGGAGAGGGCCGATGCCGGCATCTCGCGAGGGGCCGTGCTTCGGTGCCTCCCTTAGTCTGCAGAAGAAAGAGACACAAGTGTCTGAAAGTGCATGCAAGTGATTGCAAGTGATTATGCCTGTATCTATTTCTGAGTGCTGTGGCAACCAGGCCACGCCACAAACCAAGAAAGCCACATCTGTTGCACTGCCTACGCTGTAAATCTTTATCTTTGTGTGTAGGAGTTGGGAAGAAGGGCAGTCAAGTCGGGGATTGCACAAGTGCGTGACTTGCTGTCCCTTTGTCTGTGGCCCTTTGTCTGCTCGGTCGTTTTGTTTAGTGAACCGGTGCTGCAGAGCTAGAGGCTTTGGATGCAGGCTGGAAGACGTGGAACCAGTCGTCCAATTTGCAGGTTCTTTGCATCATTCTGTCAGGTGTACCGCGCGAATGCTGGGAAGGATCAGCTTTGCACCACTTGACGCTTGGCCCACCAGAAGCAGATTTTCTCAAGAAGTGCCGCTGATAAGGTCCGATGTCTGGACTGTCAAGCTGTGCTAACGACCACTAGCGGTAAACATGTTGGGCAGGTGTTCTCGAGTTGAAGCAGATTCTTTTGTCGGATCGAACCAAGCATCCCCTTCCCCCCCGTGTTGGACTCCCAGGGTCCTGTCTTCCTGCGTTCAGCTTTCAAGCTTTCGCTGGTTCATGGTGTCTTTGGACAAGCCTGGCCTGCACAGCAAATCCGGCAGTGTCTCACGGACCTTGCCATGAGATCACCACATTTTTTAAGCTTCTAGTTCTGCGTGTTGACCCGCGACTATCATCGGCATCCTTGTTCTGGTTCCTTTCGGTCATTGTAGTTGGCGTTGTGATGGAGTGGTTGACACACAAGCATCGCTTTCTGGACGGAGGAAGCGGTGGGCAGCATGGGAGGGGCTTGGCCGAGATCCACCCTGTTAAATGTTTCCAGTTGTGCGGCGGCGACGAGTTCTCGGGATGATGAACACGCGGAAATACATGGAAGGGGCCGCTCCTCCGGGGCCGCTGTCGAACATAGCCGAGAAAAACCGGTGCTGGGTTACTTGCACACTTCATGGTCTTGTGTTGCACAGCTTTGCAATCCATGTGTGCACAGACGCACCTTCGTGTCAGCATGTGCCTTTGTGACCAGCCGTTGAGTGTGTCGTTGGCGAGATCTCAACTTGCAAAGTCAACTCAAGTAACAGAGGAGCACAGCTGTCCGCTAAGGTTCGAAGCCAACCGCGTTTTACAATGTCCCCCGGTCAGAGTGGCTTGGAAAGGTTGATGCAGCGAACTCGTGCATCCAGGCGGGTCCAATTGCGAGGGTTGTTGTCCTTGTGAAAGAAGCGAGCGAGACCGCGAGAGTGTCACTGTGTTGCAGCCGCCTCGGCTAGGTCCCCGCGAGCAGTCCTCGAGCTTGCATTGGCTACGGAGATCTCGTGCAGGCAGCAGGTCGGGCTGAGATACTCTTCTGTTGCATCATTGCGTGGAAGCTTCATTGTGAAACAGAACCAGTTGTGTGGCTGTGCTCAGAGAGCCAGGCTCGTGGTTAAGCAACAGAGCAATTGGCACGAAAATGGTGATTGAAGTGAGTCATCGCGTATCCGCCTGCGTTCTATTTCTAAGTTGTAGATGGCAGAGGGATGCAGAGGGGATGCTGAAGATGTTGCATGGTTGCTGAGGGTGAAGAATGTAGCAGCACTGACATGTGATTCAGCACTTTGTTCAGATGCTATAAGATTATAAAGGAAGCGGTCGGAATTCAAGTGTTGATGCTGTCAACAAGACAACCGAGTAGGAGAAAAGAGAACTATCAAGCGGCTTTCATGCGCAGGAAACCAGGGAAAGGCGAGCTTGCTTGGCCACTTGCTGTGCATTTACGTTACTGCTCTCAGTCTTCGCCGTGACTGGAGAGTTTCTACCTGTGTCTGAGACAGTGCAGCGGTTGCTTTTCGGTTTGAAGGTTTCTTATGGGTTTGTGCAGCCGTTAGGTGAAGGTGAGTCGGAAGAGTCGAGTGCTGGTGCCAAGTGCCGCTTGGCAAGCAGATTTGGAAGTCCGGAATGCGGCTGCTTCTGGTGTTTGCATGCAGCCATCGACGCTTCAAGCCTCGTCAAGCCTCGAGGCTCCAAGATGTTGACGGCAATGAAGTCCAGCTCCTGTGGGGTCAAGGACACGGGAAAGGGCAACGGAATCTTGCTGCTGCTGGTCACAGGGCCATCTGCAAACAACTCATTGTCAGCTCGAATGTCAGTTCGACTGCAACACGCCAGGAACAGATCCCAGCCGTCTCGGGAACAAGACACGGCCGTGTCGGTAGCTCCGTAGGGTATAAGGATGTTCAGGGTTCAGAATTTATGGTTGGAGCCTCTCTTAATCCTTGTCCTAACCCGGCCCGCTCGGCTTGGCGATGCTCCCCACTCACCCGTTTTAGAGGTCAGATCAGGCAGCAGGCCTTGGTGCTGGAGTTTTCAACGCAGGACTTGTTGCACAGTGTCGTCCTCACGCAGCGATACAATTCGCGCCTTCGCAGCAGGGGCATGACAAGAGCTGGAAGGGGTTCAGCAATTCCTGTACTTAGCACTCAAGCCGACTCATTGTAGATGATTTCATTCGGATCCTCTCAGGACAGCAGCCTATGCTGCTTGCAGGACACGTTTGCGGCTGCCCAAACCGAATGGTTCAATGCACTTTGACTACGTGTTGCTTGCAAGCCGATTCGGCGCATGTGAGGACCTACTGGTCCAGCATGGACTCCGAGATGGGACGAAACTTCATGCAGTGGTCGAAATATACTGCTACCAAGAGGCCCACTTTTCGCGCAGCAGAGGAACCAGAATTTTTCTGCGTGTCGTCATTTGCAAGCCCCAGCCATTTACTGACAAAAGCCGAGAGCAGAAAAGCAAAGCAACATCTGCCAGCGGACTTTGCGAGTTGTGTTGGACCAGGATAGAAAGCTGCAAAGCCGCCGTGAATGAGACCATGAAGCTCGTGAGCTTCTTCAGGTCTGGCTCATTTTGGCATGGAGTGTGCTTGAAACCCAATGCATTTGTCTGGAAGGCACGCTGAACCTGTGGGCAGTCCGGAAACCAAGCCGGTGCCCAAGAATTCGGAAAGATGGAAAACAGGAGACGAACGAATGCTTTGTCAGTGCGACTGTGCTTGATGTGTGCAAGAGCGCCAGCAAGACTCGAGTGCAAGTTGTGGCGAGCAGAGAGCAGACTGACAAAACCCAGGTATGGCATCAAGTGCGATGCGACCTTGGAGTGCTAAAGGTGTCTTGTCTTCGTCTGTTTGGGAACGGCTTTGCTGAAACAGGATCGGCCCATGACGGCTAAGCATCAAAATTAGAGCAACCGCCAACTCATCCACACGGAACTAAGGCACTTCTCAAGTCATTTGACAGCTCATGGGAATCGCCTGAGCATTGGAATTGGGTCTTGTTAGTCTAGAGCTGAGTCACAGGGACAGATCAAGCGAATGAAGCTCTCTAGCCAGGCATCTTCTGATCAAGCTTACTAGGAAGGTGGATCGCGCATGCGTACACCTTGACCATGATGTAGATGGGCTTCTGGCCTGGGACGCCAAACGGCGAATCTGTGGCCATGACAGGAACGTGCGGGGACTGGCTGCTTTGTGAGACATCTTAAGCATGCATGTAATGAGCTTCACCTATGCAGTTGTCGTGGTACTCTCAGTTTCAAGCAGCAGTTGGACCCTCAAATTTTAGAAGCTCCTGTAGAACAGACTCGCACTTGCTGCCAAGTGCTGTAGGGTCTTTAGGGATGATCAGCAGTCGCATCAAAATGACAGCTCAGAGGGCGCACCAACAACCTGATGCTTTCCGTTCGAGGGCTGGATCACTGCATTCGCATCTGCGCAGGCCAGAAGGCTCCAGCCGCCAGCCCCTTTCTGAAGGAAATGATAGCCATGCGGGAGTTTTTGAACGTGACCACTGCTCTGACAGTGGCGGCGGTCTGCGCCTGCACGGTGCTGCTGACCGGGGATGTGGCCTTCACCGCAGGCCTGAGCCGTGGGCCTCAGCTGCCGTCGCCCTCGTCGGGATCTTCCAGCCTGGCTGGCTCTCCTTTCGCTTCGGCACACGAGACATTGGGCACCAAGGGTGTCCTCTGCTACGGCATGGGCTTCGGTGTGCTTATGGCACTTGGCCGAGGTCTCATTTCCCAGGCAAGAGTTTCCCGCCAGGCAAGCTCGGACATTGCGGTGAAGGAGGCGGCTGATGTGTCCAAGATTGCTTACCTGCAGGACATTCCGCGCACCATTGTGGAGAAGGATGCCTTGGAGCTGATCTTGAAGAACACCCCGAAGGAGCAGTGGGAGAACCCCCCAGAGGACAGCTACCTCTACACGGTCAAGGCTTTCGCAGAGATGTACGGGCCTGGAAAGGCCACCAAGATGGGCTGGTGGGACTACTACAGGCTGAAGATGGACATGCCGGACACCACCAGGCTGTCGTCTGAGCGGGAGCTGCAGGAGATCGAGGAGTACGAGAAGCTCATGATGTCCGGCAAGGTCCCATTCGCAGTGCCTGGACCTTCTGGCTACTTCTTCACCGGCTTTGTCACGCAGTGGAAGGGAAAAGAGCCCTTCGCTGGTGACCAGGTCATCACGCTCACTGAGAACGGCCTCTTCGCCAAGCAGTTCCTGAGCGCATTGGCCTTCTACCGCGAGGGCTTGAAGCCTTGGCAGCGCGGCCTGGAGATTGGCATGGCACACGGCTACTTCCTGATCGGACCTTTCACCTCCCTGGGTCCTCTGAGGAACACCCCGGAGGCTGCCACTGTGGGTCTGTTGTGCGGCTGCGCCATCGTGGGCATCGTGTCCATCGGAGGCTTGATCTTCGGCAGCACCATCAAGCCCACCCGCTTCGACAAGGACGGGGACAAGCCAGGTGCAGGCTTCATCGAGATGATCAACTGGCACGCGGTCGGAGGCCTGGGTGGGGCGGGCTTCGCGCACGCCCTGATCACCGTCTTCGGCTCAGGCTGAGAGTGGGCATCAACAACCTTTTTACACGTCAGCAGAAAAGAAGAGAGAATGTCATGACGAACTCCCGCTTCTCTTCAGCTTGGCAAAGCGAGTGTGCCGTTTGCTAAGTGGGCAGGTATTGGTGCAGAAGGGCAGAGGCTTGCTTCGGATCTTCTTGCCGCGCAGTGTCGGAAGAGCGGCTACTGGTATCCACCTCTTGCTTCTAACTCTAGAACATATCAGGAAAAACGTTTTCTGTCTGAAGCCTTCGACACACAGAAGAATGCACCTACCCCACTGTCAAAACATGTACAATGACTCACAGAGCCCGGACATGCCTGACATACGTGCAAGAAGCCAGAGTGGAATGGAGCCAGGAGGATAGGGCCCCAAGGGATCTGCCGCTGTGCAAGCCGCGATCTTCTAAATTCGCGAATCAGAGATCTGAACAGCTCCACACTCGCATGATTAGCGTGAGTTGGCTTGGGCACTTGGGCACAGACCTCTGCCCGCGATGCTGCGCACAATCAAGCGTCAGGTCCCTTCCCGCGGCTGAGGGTAGGACAGGCCGCCATGGCGCGTGACTTCCTGGGCCTGAGCACTGCTCTGACAGTGGCGGCGGTCTGCGCCTGCACGGTGCTGCTGACCGGGGATGTGGCCTTCACCGCAGGCCTGAGCCGTGGGCCTCAGCTGCCGTCGCCCTCGTCGGGATCTTCCAGCCTGGCTGGCTCTCCTTTCGCTTCGGCACACGAGACATTGGGCACCAAGGGTGTCCTCTGCTACGGCATGGGCTTCGGTGTGCTTATGGCACTTGGCCGAGGTCTCATTTCCCAGGCAAGAGTTTCCCGCCAGGCAAGCTCGGACATTGCGGTGAAGGAGGCGGCTGATGTGTCCAAGATTGCTTACCTGCAGGACATTCCGCGCACCATTGTGGAGAAGGATGCCTTGGAGCTGATCTTGAAGAACACCCCGAAGGAGCAGTGGGAGAACCCCCCAGAGGACAGCTACCTCTACACGGTCAAGGCTTTCGCAGAGATGTACGGGCCTGGAAAGGCCACCAAGATGGGCTGGTGGGACTACTACAGGCTGAAGATGGACATGCCGGACACCACCAGGCTGTCGTCTGAGCGGGAGCTGCAGGAGATCGAGGAGTACGAGAAGCTCATGATGTCCGGCAAGGTCCCATTCGCAGTGCCTGGACCTTCTGGCTACTTCTTCACCGGCTTTGTCACGCAGTGGAAGGGAAAAGAGCCCTTCGCTGGTGACCAGGTCATCACGCTCACTGAGAACGGCCTCTTCGCCAAGCAGTTCCTGAGCGCATTGGCCTTCTACCGCGAGGGCTTGAAGCCTTGGCAGCGCGGCCTGGAGATTGGCATGGCACACGGCTACTTCCTGATCGGACCTTTCACCTCCCTGGGTCCTCTGAGGAACACCCCGGAGGCTGCCACTGTGGGTCTGTTGTGCGGCTGCGCCATCGTGGGCATCGTGTCCATCGGAGGCTTGATCTTCGGCAGCACCATCAAGCCCACCCGCTTCGACAAGGACGGGGACAAGCCAGGTGCAGGCTTCATCGAGATGATCAACTGGCACGCGGTCGGAGGCCTGGGTGGGGCGGGCTTCGCGCACGCCCTGATCACCGTCTTCGGCTCAGGCTGAGAGTCAATGCCTTTTTTAGGGTGCATGTACGACACGTGTCACAGATCAGGAAGGCAAGTGTTCCGCACGTGCGTACTTGCACCGCGACGCCTGTGGAAGGGTAATGAAAACGGACTCGCATCACAGTTTTGCAGCAGTCTTGGATAGTTCTTCCATGCGCTTTGTATCTCTTGCAACTAATTTGTCTATGGACTGTTGACCTGTTGTGGAAGTGCAGGGTGCTTTGGTACCTTCCCCTTTCCTGAGCCTCGGTCGAGGTCTTGTGTGTGAGGAACTGATGCATTCGGATGCACACCTGCAGTAAGCCAGTAAGTATCAAGGAACAATGGCGGATACAAGGGAAACATTTGCGGCTGGCTTTTCAGTGAAGGTCCCTTCCCGCGGCTGAGGGTAGGACAGGCCGCCATGGCGCGTGACTTCCTGGGCCTGAGCACTGCTCTGACAGTGGCGGCGGTCTGCGCCTGCACGGTGCTGCTGACCGGGGATGTGGCCTTCACCGCAGGCCTGAGCCGTGGGCCTCAGCTGCCGTCGCCCTCGTCGGGATCTTCCAGCCTGGCTGGCTCTCCTTTCGCTTCGGCACACGAGACATTGGGCACCAAGGGTGTCCTCTGCTACGGCATGGGCTTCGGTGTGCTTATGGCACTTGGCCGAGGTCTCATTTCCCAGGCAAGAGTTTCCCGCCAGGCAAGCTCGGACATTGCGGTGAAGGAGGCGGCTGATGTGTCCAAGATTGCTTACCTGCAGGACATTCCGCGCACCATTGTGGAGAAGGATGCCTTGGAGCTGATCTTGAAGAACACCCCGAAGGAGCAGTGGGAGAACCCCCCAGAGGACAGCTACCTCTACACGGTCAAGGCTTTCGCAGAGATGTACGGGCCTGGAAAGGCCACCAAGATGGGCTGGTGGGACTACTACAGGCTGAAGATGGACATGCCGGACACCACCAGGCTGTCGTCTGAGCGGGAGCTGCAGGAGATCGAGGAGTACGAGAAGCTCATGATGTCCGGCAAGGTCCCATTCGCAGTGCCTGGACCTTCTGGCTACTTCTTCACCGGCTTTGTCACGCAGTGGAAGGGAAAAGAGCCCTTCGCTGGTGACCAGGTCATCACGCTCACTGAGAACGGCCTCTTCGCCAAGCAGTTCCTGAGCGCATTGGCCTTCTACCGCGAGGGCTTGAAGCCTTGGCAGCGCGGCCTGGAGATTGGCATGGCACACGGCTACTTCCTGATCGGACCTTTCACCTCCCTGGGTCCTCTGAGGAACACCCCGGAGGCTGCCACTGTGGGTCTGTTGTGCGGCTGCGCCATCGTGGGCATCGTGTCCATCGGAGGCTTGATCTTCGGCAGCACCATCAAGCCCACCCGCTTCGACAAGGACGGGGACAAGCCAGGTGCAGGCTTCATCGAGATGATCAACTGGCACGCGGTCGGAGGCCTGGGTGGGGCGGGCTTCGCGCACGCCCTGATCACCGTCTTCGGCTCAGGCTAGGTGGCTGGACACTATTTTTAAGGACTGATAGGACTCATGTCGAGTGATGCTGCACCAGAAGCTGTGCAGCCGTTCCTGTTACTGCCAGCCATCGAAAAGTTCAACTGCTTGCTTTCCAATCTTGACTGGGTGTCCTAGAGGCCGTCGGATTCATGATCACCAATCTGGTTTCAGAGATGAGCCAGTGTAGCTTGAAGGTCATGGCTGTTGCAACCATGAAAGCTCAAGGATACAGTCAAAGCCTTCAGCAGGTAGTGGAGGCATGACGTTCCTTCGAGAGTTTTTGAACGTGACCACTGCTCTGACAGTGGCGGCGGTCTGCGCCTGCACGGTGCTGCTGACCGGGGATGTGGCCTTCACCGCAGGCCTGAGCCGTGGGCCTCAGCTGCCGTCGCCCTCGTCGGGATCTTCCAGCCTGGCTGGCTCTCCTTTCGCTTCGGCACACGAGACATTGGGCACCAAGGGTGTCCTCTGCTACGGCATGGGCTTCGGTGTGCTTATGGCACTTGGCCGAGGTCTCATTTCCCAGGCAAGAGTTTCCCGCCAGGCAAGCTCGGACATTGCGGTGAAGGAGGCGGCTGATGTGTCCAAGATTGCTTACCTGCAGGACATTCCGCGCACCATTGTGGAGAAGGATGCCTTGGAGCTGATCTTGAAGAACACCCCGAAGGAGCAGTGGGAGAACCCCCCAGAGGACAGCTACCTCTACACGGTCAAGGCTTTCGCAGAGATGTACGGGCCTGGAAAGGCCACCAAGATGGGCTGGTGGGACTACTACAGGCTGAAGATGGACATGCCGGACACCACCAGGCTGTCGTCTGAGCGGGAGCTGCAGGAGATCGAGGAGTACGAGAAGCTCATGATGTCCGGCAAGGTCCCATTCGCAGTGCCTGGACCTTCTGGCTACTTCTTCACCGGCTTTGTCACGCAGTGGAAGGGAAAAGAGCCCTTCGCTGGTGACCAGGTCATCACGCTCACTGAGAACGGCCTCTTCGCCAAGCAGTTCCTGAGCGCATTGGCCTTCTACCGCGAGGGCTTGAAGCCTTGGCAGCGCGGCCTGGAGATTGGCATGGCACACGGCTACTTCCTGATCGGACCTTTCACCTCCCTGGGTCCTCTGAGGAACACCCCGGAGGCTGCCACTGTGGGTCTGTTGTGCGGCTGCGCCATCGTGGGCATCGTGTCCATCGGAGGCTTGATCTTCGGCAGCACCATCAAGCCCACCCGCTTCGACAAGGACGGGGACAAGCCAGGTGCAGGCTTCATCGAGATGATCAACTGGCACGCGGTCGGAGGCCTGGGTGGGGCGGGCTTCGCGCACGCCCTGATCACCGTCTTCGGCTCAGGCTGAGATGTGACCCAGAGCTTGGCTGCTGACACATCTTCTTAGCCCGATCGTCTTCGGCTTCGAGATGCAAAAGTGTGTAGACTCGGAGCATTGGTCCGGAGGGATGTTTGCTGCGGTTTAGAGACATTGAGTTCAGGGCACCGTTCCGGTTAGCTGTGGTTTTGTTCGTTGTAACGTGTTGACGTGTTGTAATTCGTCAAGGTACGTAGGGGTTTGTGGTGAACACTCTTGATGGGTTTGGCACGACGATTTGCTTGATGGCTTGACTCATGCCTCGTCTGCTCCTCTCGAAAGCAGTGCCATGGACGTCAGGTTCAATGAAAGCTTCTGTGCAACGCAAAGACGAGCTGCAGCAAAGCACAGCAAAGCTGAAAACGACTCGCAGCATGTGACTCTAGCAGCAAGACAAGACCGACTGCATCCGATGCCTCTTTGGAGGCTGTTTCGCTGATGTCGCACAGCCGGCAGCGAAGCCCCTCAGAGGTCACCATGCAGGTTGAGGCACGTGCTTGTACGAGCTGTGTGCGCTGTGTTTCCGGCGGGAGTTTCTGTCCGGCACTGTGTTCCACAACTGTCGGGTTCAACCGTACAACACTGGGCCCACCAGAGAGAATCGAATCAGATTCCACCATTCTTATAAGAAGTCCCTGCAAGATATTGCTTCCTCGGCGCCTTTGCTCGTGTGCTGTTGTTTTGCAAATACTCTTTTGCAGGACGTTGTGGAGGCCGATCACGTTTCGGTGGCCGCAGAGGCACACTTCAACAAGTCAGAGTCAAACGAACTTGGTCATGCTTCTTGGCGTTCCAGAAACTGAGTTTTGTGCTAGCCCGTTTGGTAGCACTCTGCCTTGCTTCTGATGCCATGGGCAGGCCGCGCAGGGGGCAAAGTGGCCGGCCTAGACACTGAAGGTGTGTGTACTGACTGAGATGGCAGTAGCATCAGTAAATTCTCTCGACACAGCGATCGTGTGCAACATGCTGCAGCATGATGTAAGAGCTGTCTCGTAATTCATTGCTACAAGGCTGGCATTGTGGGACCGACTCCCTCACTATGCTGAGGCAGACGTACAAGCAGAAATCATGCAGAGGGAAGGTGTTCAGGAATGGGCTAAGGGTCTAACTGTGGACCACCTTTAACCGCACACATTGGTGTGAGATCCTTCAGACCTGTCCAGCAGTGCCAGACATGCCTGCTTCAACTTGGTAGATTGTTGTCGGCTTGCATGTGGACTCGCTCTCAGCACTTCTGCGACGTCTCGCTGCGAAGCACCGATGGACGGATCTTCAAGGCAAAGAGTGGATTCGATATCCTGTCGCGACAGCCAGAGCAGAGCGAGAGCAGGGAGGCATCACGCAGTCTCCAGAGCAGGCGCATCGCCTTGTGCTCTCGATGGCTTCCGATCCTCTCTTCGCCATGCTCAGCGGCAGCTTTGCAGAAGGGCCCTTTCCTCGGCCGTGCACGTAGAACAGAGGCAGCACAAACGTAACACCTTTGTTGGATGTGTAAGGCAACAGTCGGAGGTGCCCTTTGACTACTCCGGTGAGGCGTGCTCGGTCCTGGTTTCAGTGGCCAGCCTCGGTCTCGATGTGCCTCCCTGGTCAATGTGGAGGCGCTGAACGCCTTCCTAGAGTTCCTGTACAAAGGCCCCTCAGTCCGTTCTGCTTGCTCACCCCCCGACTCCCCACTGGCAGGCAGCTAGGCTTATGCGTTCAAGGGCTCTCGGACGTAGTGTTGCAGGCACATTCTGCGTCAAGAAGGTGCGGGGTCACCTTTTCTACTCACTGGGAACATGGCATTGGGGAGTTTCAGCAGATTCATGCAGGCGATTCTACCCGAGCTGTTGCGGCTGGTTCACCAGTGGGAGGCAGGAACTCGTGAAGTGCCACGTGCCATGCTTTCTCCCTGTCCTCCTGTCTTTACGAGGTGCAGCCGCTGCAGGCAGCACTCAATGAGCTGCTGGTGAAGCCTTCCTCCAAGCTCTGTGATCGTCGCAGAGATAGCGAATCATTATAATTTAGTTTCTGCAGAGGCACATGACGCCGGAGCTCTGCTCCTCGCTGATCGTGGACTGCGAGGTCGCTTTGCAAGCGGCGCTTCGCAAGCGGCTCCAGCTCTTGGCTTTTTGAGCTTTTCTCAGGTCTTGCTCGTGGACAAGCTTGATGAGATGCTAGTGGGGCGCCGACTAGCAGCTAGAACACGCATCTATCAGGGTATGTGAACTCATTAACCCCCCCCCGGTGAGGAAAGCTATGTCCTGGAGAACTTTGGATCCTGTGTCCAAACCTCAGAGCAACGATGCCGTGCCAACACCGCGACTTATGCTCTGCTTGCCTTATCTTGCCTTCGCTGATCTGTGCCGGGAGATTCGTGCAGCACATGGCAGGTGCGAACAGAGCAGTTCGGATCTTGGCCATTGCACCGGATGGCTCTTGCCTCAAATCAGGAAAAACGATGATGTCTTGAGCTGCCCCCCTTTCTTTAGCTTGTCCTAACCGAGATTGGAATTCTGCGCAGTGACGACCTGGTGGCCGAGCACGAAGAGGAAGTGCAGCCCTTTCGATCTGAGCAGTCTCCGCAGATCCGAGCGTTAAGACCGGCCAGCATGGGCAGCGAATGGCAGCCATGCAAAGAACCTCAGATGTGCACTAGAGACCAAACCCACATTGCCGTGGTAGCCAGGGCCGGGAGGGGTGGTAAGCCTCGCGGTTAGGCTTCATGTGCAGTTAAAACCTTGCCAAAGTGAGCATGTCACCGAGGGAATTGCGATCAGGTGTGGTGGGCGGATGGACAGATGACTTGATCTTGGCTGGTGCTGGCAAAACTTCGTTTGAACTTATGGACACACGAGCGATCTGAAATCAGAGCAGCCCAACCTTAACTAAATTTATGCGCCGAGACGAGCAGTTTTATCAATGTACCAGACAGTATCAAACTGCTTTTTTCCAATTCTTGCCGTCTAAAACAAGAAACTGTCGACATCAAATGTCCAATCAACTTTGCGCACGATCTGGACAAAGCATCGAAAACGCGGCACTGTCTATGTTTTCTGTTCGAAATTTCAATCACCTGTCGGGCATTTTCAGTGGTGCCGAAAACAGCTTGTGGTCAAACCGAGAACGACGAATCTCGTCAGCTAAGGTGTTAGCGGCTGTGATGCACTGGCACCGGAGTGGCCCTGGACGCGATGATGCGACAGCAGCCATCCGACCGCAGACAGGCTGTGTAAACAAAGCAGACTGGTTCTTGTCCCGTACTGGTAGGCGCTACTTCAGATGGTTCGCTTTCCGCTGCTGTCGGTGGCAGCTCTGCAAGGTGAGAGTGCGCAGTGCTGTGTCGCATGATGTGGGGCGTCTGTTTCTGACCACCTGTCTCTCTTCTGAAGGCCTTGGCAGCCGGGAAGGTCCGAAAGGGGGGGGTGCACACATGCAGTGGCCAAGTGTCAAATTGGTGGCTTCTGACAGGTCTAACAGGCCTTCCAGGAGTTGTGCTTGCCTCGCTTACCTCGCATGCTTGGAAGTTGCGTGCAGACCTGCTCCAGTTTCTGAGGTTATGTCCCGCCTCGCAGCGGCCGCTTTGAAGGTCCACCAGGGCTGCCCACAGAGCCTGAGCCTGAAGGCGGTTGAAAGCCATGCGTAGGAGCATGCAGCCCCTTCAGGCTCTTCAGCGGTGTTAGTAGACCACAATTGTCGTACACCTCGGAAACTTCCCCAATTTGTCGATTCGATTCGGGTTTTTGCGGCACATGAGAAAGGCAGCAGCAAGCACATGATGCCAGTGTCATAGCCTGTTAGGCGCTCCCGTCTTGTGGCCTTTGACCGAAGCTCATAAAGCCTTTGATTTTGGGACCTTCACAGGATGTGCTAGCCCAAGGGTGGGGTCTCTTTATGAGAAACCATGAGAAACCTTGATGGCCCATCTTGGAGAGGATTCAACAAGCGGACCTCTTTTTCCATGTCTTGTTTGTCTTTCGAGGCGACTGCCAACGCTGGGACAGACCAGATAGCCACGATGAGCAGGCAGCAGGATTTGTGAGACAGAGCGATGAGGTGTGGCAAGTGACCGGTTGCAGGCGTCCTTCATGAAAACCGTGAAGCTTCGCAACGCGTACCCTTACTGGCTCGACTCTGAGCCTCACCAAGTGTGACGCGCGTGATGTGAAGCTGACATCGCATGCCACAGGTGGGCAGACTTCGGCTGTTCTCTCCGTGGCGGCGGTGTCGTGGCTGAGCGAAGCGGCATCGACACGGAGGTGTTGGGGTAATGGTGTTCCAATGCGAGTTCTTGGCGAAGAAAACTTTGCGCCTCTGAAGGGCGAGTTGGAACCCTGGGCCGTGCACATTCATGACCAGTCTCTGTACATCATTGATGGCTTCAACCTCAGTGGCAAGCTTCCTTTACGGTAACCACTCTTTCAAGATTCTTAGGCCGGGAGCCATGCTGCGTGCTGCAGGCACAGCAGTAGGTGTCGGCAAGTTCAGGATCCGATGCGAGTATGGCTGCAGGGTTCCTGTTTGTCAGGCAGGACCAGTTGACCGCTGGGACATCCAACAACCTCGGACACAACAAGGGCTTAACCGCAATTTTGGCATTGGGTGTCAGAATGGAAGAAGACGTAGAAGGGAGTAGATGCTTGAAGCTTTGCTCAATGCTCAAGCTCCGCTCGCGGGCCGCTGAGTTGGATTGGCGCGTGCGGTTGGGGTACCGCGGATGTAGTATTCAGCATTGAGGCTCAACTTCAATTAATCAATCCTCGACGCACATTGCTGCAAGATCCATGGCTCAGGCTGACATGATGACGACAAGACAATGACCTGTCGAAGCCATGACACAGAGACCTCAGCGCAGAAGACGTCGCAAGGTCCTGTCCGACGTGCGCTCATGCGGGAATAGTTTCTTTCAGGGAGATCTTGTGGCAGCTGACCTCCTCTCCGGCCTGTATTCATCGCTCAAGGGCTCCGTCCTCGAGCTGTCTGAATCTCTTCGATGTGTCATTGACAATCCGAAGGAGGAGACAGTAGCTCAGCATGCGCAAGCTGAACCCGTTCGTGTGGTGAGGCCGATACTTCCCAGAGAAGTTCCTCGAGGCCTCGCATTCTGCTTTCCCCAGGGTTTGCCGACTCGCCTAGTCGCCGAGCTCGAGACCCAAATCCACTTGGCAACATCGCCACACGTGTTCTTCCCATCGCTCTTCAACTTCGCTTCTGGCTTTGACGGTGGCGTGACTTCGTTTGCAGTCCTGCAACTTACAGATCCAACGCTGGTAGGGGGCCTCTTGATGCCATTGTCTGCATGGGACATCGGTGCAGTGGTGAGCTCACGAGTCTGCGGAGCCCTCTGTGGCTCTATGCTTCTGCTTTGCACTTCGAAGGAGCCTTCTTCACGAGACATTCTTGTCTGGACTGCCCTGGGTCTCACGGCGATCTCGCTCGGAACCTTCTTCGTCGCTGATCGAAATACGCTGCTGGCACTGCGCTTCCTGTCTGGGCTTACGGAAGGGCTGTCGTCTCCGGCGAAGGCGGCGTATGTCGTGGAGACGGTCGAGGCAGAGCTTCGTGGGCCTTCGAACGGAAGCCGCTGGGCGGCCTTCGCACTCGGCTCCTGCGCGGGTGTAGCTGCTGGTGCAGTGTTGCAGCCCATCCCAGGAGCATGGCAGCTAATGTTTGGTGCTGTGGCAGTTCCTTCCGTCATCGCAGGGATCGGCATGGCATCGCTTCCACACTCTCCACGATGGCTGGTGCATGGTTCCGATGCTGCAAGCGCAGAGCGTCGGTCACTGGCCTTGGAATCCCTGCAGACGTTGCGACCCAGTATCGATCTCCATGAAAGACAGCTGGAGCTGCAGAAGGAGCTTGATGTTATCTGTCAAGGAATGAGGGGAGACAAAGAGGAACCTGTACCCTTAAATGTGCGCGAGCTCTTTCAGCATCCTGCGACCGAGATCAGTGCTCTCCTGACATGTTTCAAGCAGGCAAATGGGACTGTTTGTTTGACAACTTATTTGGCACCTGTGATGGCGGCCATGGGGTTCCAGAATCATCTCACCACGCTGGGTGTGGTACTGATGACAGTTCCCTTACCTGCAAGCCACATTTGATTCAGTTTGCACCCGCAGCCGGCTTGGATTTTCGCATCAACCTTTGTTTGAGACTCAGGTGCGATCAGTTGCAACTCCGATGGGCACCTCAAGCAAGCAGCATCAGTTGTTTGTGCCATGATCTAGTGTCAGAGTTGACTGCAGCAGCAGTATGTGGAAATGAAAGGTATTGTCTTGATGGACCGCCTTGGCCGCAGAGGCACACAAACACGAGTAAAGCGCATGTGCCGCATGGCTCTTGATTTCCCGCTCTGACACAACTCAGCACATCTCGCCCTGGCAGGCAGCCTGCTCCTGGGATGCCTGGGGTCTTCAGTCTCCATGTCAACACTGCTCCTCTCTCACATCTTAGGCCTGCCTGTGCACCAGCAGCTGTGAAGCAGCCTGGGTTACGAGCGTGTGTGTGCTGAGCTACACTGATCACCCACAAGCTATTTCTTCGGCTCTCTCTAGCGAAGCGACAATCGCGATGCTCTGTGACACTTGCTACCCGACCTGTCATGCGAAGATACGTGATAGCTGCACAGTGTACTGTATTTCAGCAGTCTTCGGGTCAAAGCCAACATGCAGCTGCCTGTTCTGCAGTTGGCAGGCAGCCATGCGTCAGCAGGCCTCATGACCCTGCGCCACGGCGAAGATCAAATGAGGATTTTGAAGGGTTGTGGGGTTGGAACATAGAGTATGTGCGTGTGTCGGGTGCCTGCCGGTTAGTATGAACCAACTGGAAAGCTGACGCGAATGGTGTTCGTGGCAGGGCCTGTCACCTTCGCCGTTAAGACCGCAGCACACCCTCCACCGGAGCCAAGGTCCTTCACCTCCTTAGCGGCCTCTGCGGCAATCTTTGAGCTTTGTTGGGCACCAACATCTTTCCAACTCACCACTGAGAGCTTTGGCAGAAATTGGTTTGGGGTGGGGGTCGATTCGATTTCTTCCAGAGCTTTGAAATTCGTAACATTCTGCAATTGAAGAGGAGGACTGAGCGGTCTCCAGACTACACTCAGCGCAACAGCATGCAACAGCACCATACATCACTTTCAGCGGCAGGCTTTACCCGCAGCGACTGCGGCAGCATGGCCTGGCACTTTCCCACGTCTTCAACTACGCCGTCAAGGCAGTGGAGATGCAGGCCTCCTCAGCTGCGCTGTCACAGAAGAGGACATATAGTGACATATAATGTAGTAGTGTAATGTTTGCAGTGTTGCGCGACGACTTTGAGGTGTTCCCCATGGCCCTAGCCATTGCTGGCCTCACGCCGGTCTTCGCGGTCTTTGTTGTCATAAACGCTGCTGGGTCTCTGGTCGTGTACCATGTGGTGCCAGAAACCTGCGGTCGCAGCTTGGAGGAGGTGGAGAGAGAACTTCTGGAAGACAGCGACGAACACTTATCATGACATGTGCTCCTGTGGAGCTACTCGTATCATGGTGGCAATTCACGTCCATAGTCTTGTCGAGCCCTTGCCTTCCTCATGGGGACACTTGTGGGCGAGACCGCAAAAGGCATTTTAGCTGCTTGACGGAGCTGCCCCTAAAGGTGTCCCAGCCGACAGCGAAGAAGTACAGAGTTGTTAGACATCTAAAGCCATAGTCCAAGCTGTCAAAATGGTCAGGGTGAGTTCGGCTCAGCCTTCTGTTTGGGTACCCTGCAGTGGATAGTCCTGTTCGAACCCACAGGCAGGCAATCAGTCAATCAATCAATCAATCATTCAATCTTAGGTGTATGTATATCTCTCACATCAGACTCAGCCACCCTATTTGCCAGTGGCCTCTGGGATGCAACTGTGGCCGGGTGGTGGTGGGCAGCGGCAGCACGCTGCGGCCTGAGAATGCACGACTGTCTTTGTCTTCTCGCTGTTAGCCATAGGATGCCTAGCTGCCAATCCTGCCTGTCAGCGCTCAAGCAGCTCTTTTGCCAATCAGTGCATCTTTTCAAGATGGCCAAACATGGCCACCATCCAGTTGTGCATGTTGCTGGGTACATCCGGCAATGACAGAATGACAAATGCCAGTGTATTCACTCCAGGGTCCCACTTGCCCGCAGCCATGGGCCAAAGATGCTGTGGATCCCGTGAAAGGCTTGAGAATGAAGGCGGATGGGTAATGAGTGGCGAGGGTTTGAGCTGCCCGTGGAAGTCCGCGATGTGCAGGCGGAATGGTTTACAATCCGCTTTGGAATGATCGGGGCGAGAAGGCAGTGTCGGGATTGCACGAACGTTTTTATGGATCTTGCAGCCTTCTTCGAATCTGTAGGCGGCCGCCGTCCTACGCGATGCCTTAATCAGGCGACACTCGGTGAGACTTTCCGATCCTGCAATACTCCGCTGTGCCTCCGCGCCTCCTTGGTGCTTGGGCTTCCTCTCCTGTCGCGTCTCGTGATAAGGAGATCCCGGCTCCATGGAACTGGCATTGCAGGAGCCGAGAACGCGGTGAGCACGGCACGGCACTGGTCACCTGCCACCATGTGCCATGGGTGCACTTCTCTGGAGGAGCTTGTGAATGCCAGAAGCTTGAAGTTGGATCTGCAAAGCAGACGGCTCGGCGAGAGTCTCAGCCATGTGGAGGGGGTCGGATGGCAGAGGCTGCCGACGCCCTTTCAGACACCTGTACTTGGATCTGTGCTGAGGCGACACTGGTGCCTCGAAGCTGGCCGAGGCGCTGCGGGCGACTCGGAGCCTGGAAGAGCTGGAGTTGACGCTCGGACATGCAAAATGCGCCGCGAATACTGAACGTTTGTGTTCAGCACTTCAGGGGCAGGACAGCACAGAGCTACATTTTTGCATTGGCACTGCCTCCGCTGTCTCTCTTCCTTGATCGATCGATCTCCCTGTCTCTCTCTCCCTCTCTCCGTCTCTCTCCCTGAAAGGGGCCCTTGAGCACTGAGCCACATCCTCGTACCATGATACTTGCTGGGAAAGCTTGCAATGCTCTGTGATGAGTCGTCAAACTCAAAACCCGCGATCGAAACAATCATTCACGCCTAATTAAACACTGAGTTTAATTTCGCAGTCAGTCAGGATAGTTTGAACCTATGTTTTGTCCGCCCAAGAGTTCAATCGGGCCATTGAAAATTTGTGGAATTCCAAAGTCGAAAAGCAGACGTCCCCACCAACTGCAAAGTTGCCCATGCAAGTCTGACTGAGGAACTTGGGTGGCAACAGCATCAGCAATCGGCTCAGCCAAGAGCATGGAAGCACATGACCACACGTTGGCTCGATGGAAGAACTTTGGACGTCCGGTCTGCAAATGCTGCATTCTTGCAGGCAAAAAAAGGTGCCGAAGTGCTGGCTACCGCACTGGCGCAGCTCAAGTCACTCCGAAGGTGAGGGTAGTTTTTGTTTTTTTGCAGGCTAAAGAGCTTTGACGTGCGTAATTGGTCGAAAACGAGGTTACAGCTGAACCTCTGGGAGAACAGCTTGGGTGCTGTGTCTGCAATGCAGGTGGAAAGCCAAAATTCATACGAACAAGCTCAGAGATCAGCCTGTGGTAGCTTCCAATAAACCTAATAGAGTTTTAACACAGGTGCTAGGTGCACGATGCCACGTTCCTTCCATGTTTGGTTGTATGCCAGGCAGGCGAACTATGCACGGCACGCCTTCCAGACGTAGATGTGCTGGCAACTGAGGTGATGACGGAGCGTCTGCCTTTGCGCAGACGTTGGGCGGCTTGGCTTGAATGAGCAGCTGCGGGTCTGTCGGGAATCTGCTGGTCTACTGTCAATATTGTGTGAAGGTGAACTCATTCACTTGGAGCAGTTGGAGTTTGAGCTTCTCGAGAACAACATCGGTGTGATGCCCGAGCTTATAACATGATGTTGGTTCAAGCTACAGAAGCAGTGCGGTTCTGCTGGGAGCCGAACGACTAGCAGACCAGCGAGTCTTCTACTTTGTGTCAGTGTTGCGTGCTCAGTCCGTCCGTCTGTCTCTGTCGTCTGATCGCAGGTGGAAAGGGTGCTCTCGCCCTTGCTGCAGCGACGTCACGTCTTCGAAGCCTGCAACAGCTCAGGCGACTTGTTGTGGGAGCGGGTGCTGCGATTTCGGTTTCCGTCAGCAATGAACACGAGCTCCTCACGACGGGAGCTGTCCTTCATCAGTTTGGTTTCGCAAAGGCTTTTGGTGCCTGTAGTTTCGAATGAAATCATCGGTTCACGAGACTCGCCGAGGGGCCACCCTAAGCGAGCCGTGGCATGTGGCCACATCGAAGGAGTTCCCCCTTACCTGAGTTCACCCAGTAGCAGTGGCGCAAAGAGTGCCCTAAGAATGCCTGTGCACAAGCGTCACTAAGCTCCTTTACCAGCTGCAGTAGCCACCGCTCCGTTAGAGCCGCAGAGCTGCTGAAGCAGGTGAGCTTCAGAAGCAGGCGCAAGATGTTATGTGCTCAGGTTGAATTTGGCGAGCAATTGGATCAGCCAGAGCCCTAGCATCCTAAAACAGAAGCGATGAAGACATGCCAGGATTCTGCCAGTGCTGGCTTGTCGATGTGAACAGAGCAAGTATGGGATGCTCGCGCTGCAGTCTGACAGCAATATCGTGATTATATGCGAATCGCTTCTCTGAGGCAAAGCAACTCAGGCGCAGATGAAAGTGAGGGTGGACTCCTTGCACCTCACACAAAGGGAGTTGTACATGTGATTCCGTCTCCGGGCTCTTGCCACAAGGAGATCACAGCAACAAGCCGCTCGCAGAATGTAAGCTGTCGGATGCTGGTCTGTTCAGAGTGGTCGAACTGTGTGATGGGAGTGACTTGTGGCCTGCAGCAGCTCTCATCGTGCGGGCATGCGCCACACTGACAGTGCAACTCCACTTGCCCCTGGAGCAGACCTCAGCGAGATGGCATGCTTGTAACAGCTGTTGCAAGGCCAAGTCGCACTCCATCCAAGATGATCATGACTGGTCGAAATTACTCGGCATCCCTTGGACTACTGGCTATCGGAGTGCGAAGAGCTGGAGGAGTTTCTGACAGTCAAGCAAAAGTCTGACCGTCTGACGTGCAGCGCTTGCCAAAACTTACGACGTGGAGGGAGCATTCGAGTACGCCGACACAGCCATCAGCAGGTCCTGCGCAGTTGAGCTTTTTGTGAGACAGCTTGTCCAAGGCTGAACGGTGTCAACGATTTCTCGGCCTGTGCCTGAAGTGTTCTTGTGTGCGTCTTCGCTCAGAGAGACAACTTAGAAACATGCGAACAGACACGTTGTCGATGATAAGCTTACCGCGTGTCACGGCTTCCTTTGTCAATCTGAGTTTGAGTCAGGACATCATTGACATCGCCATTGATGCAGCAGGGGATCTTTATGCTCGCAGCCTACCCTTCAGGGCTCGTCCAAGGCCAAGGCAAGTCGGCGTCGGGTGCCAGCGCTCGTGCTAAGGTCTTGGACGGTCAGCACGGACGCATCGTCAGGCCGGGGGGCGGCCGTGACCGCAGGTCTGCCGTCTGCACAGCAAAAACAGGACAGGAGAGTGCTTTCCTTCGATCGCCACTTTTCCCATCAGCACACAAGCTTCGTTCTCATTGGCCATGGCGCTGGTACCTTTGCAAGTTCAGCTTCCGTATGTCTATCCTACCGGGCGTGCTGATTTTCCGGTGCGTTGGAAGCCTTGGACATGGCCTCGTAAAACTTATGGGCCTGTTTGGGGAGTCGCCTGCGTTTCTGGCATCCTGACTCTGCACGAAAGAAGGGCGGCCTGTCGGGGGCGTAGAGCAGCAAATATGCACTGCAAAGTCAGTGCGGCACAGGCAAAGTCGACAGACCGCGGCGCCACGGCCAAACCTTCGCTGTCCCTGCGTGATTTCCTGCTGGAGCTGGAGCATGGGAGCTACGGTCGAAGCTCACGATTTTCCTGGTTTATCAAGCAGGCGGCGACGGACGAGACGAGTGAGGCTGCGACTGCTGGGGCGCTCCGGCAGATCGAGGAGCCGGTCGCCGAAGTCTCCGCCTTGTCTGAGTTCTTCGTGGTAGGCGACTGGAGCGACTGGGCTTTTGAGCCCCTGCAAAGGAGCGAGAGCAGCAGGAAGTGTGAAGAGCGTGAAGAGCTCGTGCTGGAAGTGACGCTCCCACGTGCAGGTGGCGAGTTTCAAATCGTATGTGACCGGGACTGGTCCCGGGTACTGTACCCAGGAGGCGGCAAGGAAGTTCTTGGACCGGACTCCGATGGCCATGGGAGGAACTGGTCTTTAAATGGTCAAAGAGGAGACATCTTCTTGGTAAGGCTTCTTCCTGGTCACCCGGGTCACCCTGGACCTCTGGTGTCCTGGGACTTAGTGGAAGCTGGCCCAGCGGAAGAGCACTGCATTTCCTACAGCTCTATTCCCGAAGGCTCCGGATGGCAAGATGCCGTCCAGCGGGTTGAGGAGATGAAGCGATATGGTGAGGACTGCCGTGCTGCTCGCAGCCAGGCCCTGAAGCTCTGCGGTGAAGCAGGAGCCTCCGCGGCAGCACTTCAATTGCTGGAAGACATATGGTCGGAGGACAAGCAATCCAACGAGCCCAGCCAGGAAGATTACCAGTCAGTGCTCCGCGCCTGTGAGCTTGCTGGGGAGGCAGAAACTGCCGCTGCCGTAAGGCAGGAGATTGCCGAGCGAGGAGAGGAGCAGGAGGATCGTTTTTGTCTCACGCCCCGTGTCTACTGGAACCGGGATGTCCGGCGGATGGGATGCGGAGCGAGCAACGCCTTAGATTGGCAGGGAGGCGATCCTCCTGAACCTCCTACTTCATCTTCGTGGCTGTTGCCTGCCTCGGACAGCATGGCCGTCGAGATCGCCCGACAGCAGGAAGCTCTAAAAGAAGCAGGATGGCGGATCTTATCCTGTGATCCTGATGTTGTGCGACGCCTGGACGACAAAGTTGAGCTGCAGGCACTCGCAGAAGGTGCTGGACTGTCATCATACTTTCCGAAACGATTCCGGTTGCCGGAGGCAGCGTCGTATCCATGTATCTTGAAGCCTGCAGCAGGAGAGTTCGGTGCGGGAGTACAAATAGTCTACTCTTCCGAGTCCGTGCGCCGGATCACAGGCGTAGACTCTGGGGAGTTGACAGGTCGGTGGCTCCTGCAAGAGCTAGTTGTCGGATGCTATGAATTTTCAACATCATTGCTTGTTCTGAATGGCAAGATTTTGGAAAAGGCTTGCATTCGCTACCGGTATGATGCCGAGGAGTATGTTTGGCCTCAGGTGACCGAGTTGGATAAGGAACTGGTCGAACCGCCTGAGCCAGAGCTGAAGGTTATGGAAAAGCTTGTTCAGGGATACTCTGGTTTCGTGAATTTCAACTACAAGATCAGACGAACAGATGAGCAGATGCTCATCATGGAAGCCAATGCACGAGTTGGCGCAGATCTGGCTTGTGATGTCCCTCGTCCTCTCGCGCGCCGCATGCTGGAGTTGTTGGATGAAGTTCATGAGCACGGACCGAAGGCAGAAAGGCAAACCAGCCTTTCGCCAGTGGCTTAAGTATCCGCGGCTCCAAACAAAAATGCAGGGCTGAGGAACGTCATTAGCTCAAAATCGCAGGCCCTGTAGCCGACTAAGAACACCAGCGTTTAATATAATCAGAAGTCTGTCATTCCACCCTAGGCGACTGTCAAGACTTCGAACATCATTTACTTGTTGTTGTCGAGGCTTATGCCACGCCATTGTATCAGGTTTTGGCTTCAACTGCTAAAGGCAAGAACATGACATGTAAGCATCCCTACATCCTGTGGGCGGTTGCGTCTTCAGTTGTGAATCGCAGCTTCGACGGTGTTTTCTAGTGTCGCAGACAGGATCCGTGACGGCGTGGGCGAGGTGGTTGGCGCCGGGCCGCATGCCTACATGCCTAGACGAAGCTCAGCACATGAGACGGGTGACGAGCGATACCAGAAGGAAGCAGGTGGCATCTCGACGCGCCTGGCAGAGTTCGTCAATTCCCATGTCACTCAGGAAGCTCTGCCTCGACGTCGGGACGCGTGCCCTGTACATAGGCTCGCTTTTTTGTGTGCTGGAGATGCATGGAGCCTGTGGAGCTCTCGAAGATCAATCGACCTTGCCTGCGTAGGTGCAGATGGCTCCATTTATTTCATTGACGAGAACGGCTCGCGTGTGCAGCGGTGCGCAGGGCTTTTGCACCAAACCTTTAGCCTTTAGTCGGAGAGCCTTGGAAAACGTAACCATGCGATCATTTGGAGCTTGAGCAACCCGCGGAGGTGTGAACCGTTCAGGCACGAAAAAACGCACCCGCCCTCTGTGCCGTTTCTGGATTGTCCCAGGCTGTGCTGAGGAAGGTTTCGATGTGGCTTTACATGTCAGCAACATGGCCGAGGTCGTGCCGGGCCATAATCTGCAACGGAAACTGCCTTAAGAGCATGTTGGTGTCGAGCACCATGGACGGCTGACCAACAAAATGCATGCGACGACTACGATTGTTGGCTGACGCTGATGTGTTCAGCAAGATTGCCGGCCAGTGAAACGGCCAAATGCTAGATTCTGCGCAGTCTGGCAACTTGTTTAGCTTCCCGCCTAAACATTGTTTCGTTCCTTAGCCCGCCGACAGCTGTGCTTTACCTCTGTGCCACATGTGGGTGGTTGTCAAAATTATAGTCCCTTGTTGGATCCTTTAGTATAGTACGCCACCTATTGTTTAGGGTACCCAAAAAGGGACCCTAACTTGACAACTACCCGTGTGCATGTTTGACTGTGTTGCACGTACTCAACAGCATCGCCGCGCTGTTTCGATGGGGGACAGGTACTTTGACGGTCAAACCACGTCTGTGGCCGGCCGCCCGGAGAGCGGCAGCGAAGCTTCGCAGCTGGAGGCCGCGATGAGCAGTCATAATGAGGACATGGGATGGATGTGGGGCCGGGCTTGATTGCCACTGCCAGGATGCCGAAGACATCTTCGTCACGCGCGAAGGACATTGCAGTCTGCAGCGACTGCCGCAATTGACGAAAAGTTTGGATCCAAACTTGCATATCTTTTCGTTTTCGGGGATTTAGCTGAGTGTGGCCAGGAGTGCTGTATGTGTCCGACAGCGGCAACAACCGCATCCAAAAGTTCGGGACCCGGCCTGTCTTAATGTTGTTTCGGAAAAGACATTAAGTTAGTTAAGAGTGGTTGGGACAGTTTTCATTATCTTGAGCGGACCCACATACACAAATCATGAAAGTTCCGCATGTTCTGCGATCGGTGTGTCATCGAATATGAGCCTCATGAGCCTGGAACCTGGAATCACGGGGGATGATGTCGAGTGGCCACTGAGGTTTCTAGTCTCGTTTGTTTGGCAGCAGCAGGTGGACTCCCGGAGCTACGGAGGGTGTGACGGTGGCTGGTGGCAATGGCAAGGGCTCACGCCTGGCTCTCAATAGCATGAACACAGCAGCATGGTTTGTTGTCGTGTGCGCGTTTCTTCATAGTACACTCTACCCCTGCAACCTTCGAGTGGTGGGCATCAAGTGCGGATGGAGTGCGAACTTTCGTCGATTCGCGGGCAGCAGTCCCGGAGGCCTGGATCAGCTGCAGCATCCTGTGGGCCTCCATATCACAGAGGACCAACAAACAGAGGCTCTCGAGTATGGTGACCAGTGCTCGGCTTTTCACGGTACGGGACATGTCCAGCTGAAGACTTTACATGTTTTGGTTTGCATTGGCAGGATTCCACAATCTACATAGCAGATTACCAGAACCACCGCATCATGAAATGGCGAGAAGGCCAGATGGCTCTCTCAGGCATCACTTGATCAACGTGCTGATCTCACGGGCTCGTGCCACTTTATGATCTGACCATGCATGAAAGTGAACTCATGCTGCTGGAATACTTGCATGTGGTCTTGATTGGGAAATGCGCCAATGTCTTGCAGGCTGGCAGCATGGGCTGGTGGTTGCCGGTGGCCAAGGAAACGGTGATGAGCTCTACCAGGCTCCGCAATGAGTGAACATGATGTGCAGTAGACATATATATATATATATATATATATATATATATATATAGCTGAGTCTCATGATGTGTACCGACAAATCTCGTCCAAGGTTTCTCTTTGGAATTTTTGTGAATTGTCGAGAGCTTCGTGCTTTCTGGCTGTGTTGTTATCGGCAGGAAAGTTCTCCCATAGACAAACAACCAGTTCGAGTGCATCCAGAGCAGGGCAACAGGCATCAATCCAGGAAACATGCAACGGAATAAATGTGGAGTTAGCACATAATAGCACCTAGTAAGGGCGGCATTCACTATCCCGCCTTGGCCTTGCCGCACGTGCTCGAGCCATGGAGTATTTCGCTGCATGCCGATCTCTGCCGGCTCACTCAGTGCTTGGGGATTTCAATGATGTCATGCGACTAGCAGAAGCTATACTGTCATGTCACGGCGGTGGAGACGAAAGGTAATCATTCAAACTGCGGTTTTCCTCGTTTTCATGCTGTCCAGAGGAACGGTGAATGTGCAGCATGACTCCATTGCCTGGCTCGCTCAGGTGGACGATGCCGTGGGTTGCAGGCAAAATCACAGTTCAAACCCGGCCATAAGACTGTTCGGGTTCTTTGAGTTCCTTGTCGTTCGGTCCAGATGATCTATGACAAATGTCAGAGCTTAGGAACAGAAGGCACTTGGGGCAGTGCACAGCTAGACTGCGCAGGCTTCTACGGCGAGGAGGAGGTCTCGGGCCGTAAAGGTTTCTGTCTGTGCTGCTTTGTGAATGTTTCTTGGACGTATTTGGAGTTTTGCAGGTCCACCCGCGGTGCTGGGGGGCACCGTGGCTGGCTCGCTTCGTGGCCACGGACACCTGGGAACCCAAAGCCTTGAGTGTGTTGGTTCGACGGTTAGACGGTAAGCCCGAAGCCAAAGAGACCAGTCCACAGTCAGGAGGTGGGCCTGAGCCTTCTCGCTGGCGCAGCCGCTAGTTCCGGGCAAACCGTCCGAGCCTTTGCTGGCATTCGCCTACCAATCTGCTGTCCTGCCGGGTACCTTTCGCCAGTTTTCTTTATTCGACCATTTTCCGAAGCTCGGCCGGGCCGACTCAGTTGGGATACCTGTGCCTGGCATTGCTGCCCCTCTTCGCCGCCTACTACAGGCGACTGTACCGGGTGACCATCGGTCTGTGTGTACGTGGTCTGCAGCTTTCGTGACAATGCGAAAATTCGCGTGCGAAGCTTCAAATGGTGTAAGCGTGGTCAGAGCCAGAGCTTTGAAGGCTCCGTTCCTTTGGCTTTGGTGTGACTTCGAAAGCGAAGCGCCACGTGCAGGCAGGAGCTTGATCGGCTACTGCAGAAGCACCGGTCTCGGTTTCCTGCTCCCTGCGAACTGACGAGTTTTCTGCTTTTGGTGAACTTGTGAGGCCTCACAGCGAGGATCTAGAGACCTGGCAAACTCAGCAGCCCCCTTCTTGCATTCAGATGCCTGCGATGAGTCGTGTTGTCGGAGCATGTTGTCAGATTGCTAGGGCACTTCATGAGGCTTTTCCTCCATGGCGTGCCTTGCCTGGCAGCCAGCTTTCAGGCCAGTGGCGAATTTTTGGCAAATCTCAAGTTTCGACCCTGGCACCTCTGAAAGGTCTCTTGGCTGCGACTCGCACAGTTTGTCGCATCGCAGCAGGAGCGCTTCTGAGACTGGTCAAATGTGCATCGTGCGCAACTGAACGTCATCTGTAGTTTAGTGAGAGGCGAGTCAACCCTGGTGTCTCAGACATGAGATATGGAAAATGTGTTTGAACTCTAGTTTCAGCAATAAAATGCAAGAGTCAGGCGGACTCTACCGAAAAAGAGTCGTGTCTGGTTGGTGAGGCAGCGATGTCCACGACAGCTTGCCACATGGGTCTATGCATGGATGAATGGATGGATGGATGGACGGCTCCATATAGGTTCCCAGAGCTTCTAGGACATAGGAATGGATCTGAGGGACCGGGTCGATCATCCCAGGTTGCAGTAAACTCGCCAGGCTTTACAGTGCCGCCCAAACGCGAGCCAGAAAGCACAAAGACAACGGACGGGCTACAGCACTGCCAAAATTTGAATTATTGTCTCAGGTATTTTGGCACCAGTTTGGGCGTACAGAGGTTCGATTGCAGACGATGCTTTGGCTTTGCCTTTTGCTGCACTTGGAAACTCGCGGGAGTTTTAATGCCTGACAGATTTGCATGTTCGTGACCTGAAGATCGAGAACACTGAGACAGCCTTGTCTGGTTAGGGCTTGAGGAGCGTTGGACTCCATGTAGAAATACAGGAGCTTCTTTCTCGCCGTGAAAGAGAGACGAGTCCCCTGAGCCCTCTTGCAAAATTGGAGAATGCCGAAGAATCTTCATTTCAATATTTCTGAACAAGAAAGCCATACGAGATCCCACACAAGCACACAACGCTTGCGTGCTTAGGCCTGTTGCGAGTAGGAGCTCGTGTATGCTCCTTTACAAGGAGATCTCGCTTTCCTGTTCGTGAGGAACAGAGCTTTCGTACTTTCTGAAAAGAGATGAAGGAGCTTTCTTCTTTTTAGTGAGGAACGGGGATCTTGTTCCAAACAACGTGAAAGGTTGTTTGGGACACAGCAAGAACACCACAGGAGCTTCCATCGCATCTACAATGTAATCTGCAATCCATGAGTTTGTGTAGATCAACTGTGCGGGCACTCAACGCTCAATTCTGAGTCCTGTCAGATCATTCGGAGGTAGAATACCGCTGACACCCCCTGACCAGCTAAGTGACTATGGCTATGCGCAATGTGTTTTGCTTGTCATGCTGACATGACGTAGATCTCGGTCATAAATGAGCCCACTCCCGTCCCAGCAGTTACCCTGCGCGCCTGCCCTTGTGGTTTGTGCCCGCGGCACAGTTGAAGCGCTGTTCAAGCACCACGCCGACTTCAGCACCAAGGATTCAAGCACAAACCATTGAAGCACCAAACGCGCGGTTCGGGCACCAGAATGTGCGATTCGAGTGCGAGCCGGTTCAAGCATCAGAGCCTGTGATTCAAGCAGCAGAATGCGCGATCGAAGTACTGGCAGCGGTTCAAGCACCCAAAACGCGCGATTCGAGCACCAGATTTGAGCCCTGGGAATGCGAAAAAAGTTCTCAAACCCGCCGCGTTTGTTTGCTTTTCTTTAACGCCCCCTCATTTGGCGATCCCTGTTGAGCACATTTCTTTCACCCGTCCAGCATTTGGCGATCCCGGTTCATCATAGTTCCGAAATGCGCCCCTATTCGGCGATTCCAATTTATTATATTTCTTCAGCCCGCCTCCCTGATTTGGCTATCCCGGGTCATCACATCTCTTACACCCACCCCCTCCTTTTGCGATACCGGTTGCCCACTTTCTTCAACGCGCCCCTCTGATTCATTAAATTCCGAGGCTTCTTCAGGGTCTCACTCTCGTCGTTGTTTTGTGAACGATTCATCCATGTTGTGGTCTTCAGAGCAAACCAAACCCAGATGCCCTGGATTTACTCAGGCTGAAATGTGTTGCTCCGTTGCCCTCGACATCCTTCAGCCCTGCCCATCCATGGTCCCCGAACCAAGTCCTTCGTTTGAGTTTGCTGTAATGTGTAGATGCTCCGGTGCCCTTGCATTGCGCGGCTTATCGATGGCATGGGAAATTGAGGTTAAGGTGGTCTATTCGCAAGAGATGAAACACGACGCCTCTGTAAGAACCGCAGGAAACTGCAGAACATGTAAACTGTCCTGGGTCAGTATGATGGAGGTTTTGTGGTTTGTTAGTGTTGCAGTAACAGAACCGTGATGAACCGTGCCTTGAAGCAGGATGTGGTGTTCCCGTCCGCACTTTGCTTCGTGTTCCTCAACATAGGCTGGGTGTTGTTTTGCATGATTATCGCACTATTCATGTCATGTGGAAAATACTGCATTGCAGAAGCCGTGCTGAAAAAATGCACTCGCGGGTGCAGCCTGCTTGTTCCGTTCCTCCTGCTGCTGCTGCTGCCGCTGCTGCTGCTGCTGCAAGGTTTCGCTTTGGCAATGATCGCCACGAACGTTCTGCAGGAGTCCTTGGGGTGATTCATGCATGCTTGCATGTAGGGATTTCGTTGAACATTTCTGTATCTTGGAACTTGATGGGACTTCGGTAAGCTGCTGGATCTGACCCCGGAGCGTGACAACTGGCACATTCTTGAAAGGCTAGTGTATGTAAGTGTGAGGAGCTTCAAAGCCAGAGCATACAGGAAGCACCGGTACTCAGGATGTGGAGAGCTTTGGTGAAGCTGCCCTGGTACCCTCACTTGTGTACTGTGACCTGGTCATTGGTGAGCACGTTTCCGGGGTTTGGTCAGACTCAGGAGATCGCGTTGCCCGCCCGGAAGGGCGAGGCCACCCCGGAGGTCTCGGTTGTGCAGGTGCGCGATTTGTAGCACTACGCATAGTTAATGTGGCAAATCGCGCGCAGACAGTTCGCCGACATTCAAGCTATGCATCGTCCAGGTCACGGAATCCACGGCAAGAGCTGAGGACTGGGGATGTGCAGCGCAGGTCAGACCACGTAAGAATGGTGCTCGTCGCGTCATGAGTCATGGAACTGCCTCATGCGCACGAGGAGTTGGCTGAAGCATGCTCCATATGTCTTAGGCACGAGCCTGCTTTGTGCCCTCTGGCGCTGGGTGTTGAGTTCCATGGGCAACAGGCAGTTCTTGCACTTTACGATGTGACAGACATGTTGCGTGTGCAGACCTCTCGGCATCGGCGAGCCACTCACACGTCTACATTGCGGCCATGTGGCGGGGCTGCATGCTTGCTGCGAAGACCACGACATTGCCAACGCCTTCATTGGCCGTACATTGTGAACTCAAGCCGAGGCATTTCATCGTCCTTGCATCGAGGGATGGCTGCGCAGCGGTGCATTCCTGAGCCAGGGATCACTTCGGCACGTCAAAACGAGCTGTGTTGAAGTGATGCAAGCTACATCTCTCTGAAGTTCAGGGTGCAGTCTGAATTTTGCACGCAGCTGCTGGCTGTTGAGCAGAACTGTGTCAAGTAAAGCTGTTGCTGCAGCCTCCAAATTGCATCTAGGGCCACTGCATTATGCATGTGCTGCCTGCACCTGGCGATTCTACATAACCTCCACGTTTGCAAAGTGTTTTCGCTCCGTCTGTATACGCAGCAAGCCCGGACTGTACGGTGATTGGGTCGGACAGCAAAAACATCCACAGGAGAGACAGCCGTTTTCCGATTGCCATTCGTGTTCACGGACGTCGCAGCCCGAGCAGGTGTCATCTCTCGTGACACGCGGATCTGCCTGTTCCTCGATGCGCAGCCGTGGCATCAGGTCGGAGTGCGAATTGCGCTTTTAATGCTTGGCTTAGGTCCTCTGCGCTGCGAGAATCCACCGCAGGCTCGGAAGCATTTGATATTCAGCATCTAAGCGACGCACGGCCTGATATTCCTTCCACAAGGCTGTGTAATTGCTTCGCTGCTAGCGGTCGGGCTGTACCATCTTATCCTGTTCGGGCCTACTGCCTGCACACGCGACACAGCTGCCGGACTGCAAGCTGTCCGGGGGCTCTGTCCGTGTTCGCAGGATATAAGTACCAAGCCACAAGCAGCATCCAGGAGAACATCCAGCTTTTGTTCTGCAGTTGGTTAATCTGACAGAGCTGCATTGTGTCAGCAAAGCAAGCCCTTGGCAGCCGCCGCCGCCGCGACCGACCAGTCGCCAGCGCCTGGCTGCTCTGGGTGGTGCCTGAGGCGAACATGGAAAGGGGCACTGAATGAACCATATGAACTTGTTCGAGGATTCTGGCACTAGCTCCGTTACTGGATGACGATCCCAGCGTTTTGGATCCTGGTGCCATCTGTTATCTCTTAACCTAGAACATCCTAGAACATTCCAGTGAGGAGAGGACTGCGTCCCACTGCGCTCGGTCTTCCTGCACAGGCCACCCAACTGAACTCCTCGTGGCAGGCACGTTTGCAGGGAAGGGTGGAAGGTAGTATGAATCGAGTCCTTTGCTCGTGCTTTATCAACAGCATTGGTGCCGACAAGACGGAAGTCTAGACAATCTGGTGTTGCTATGCATTGCAGTCTCGCAGGCTCCGTGGCCGTGTGGCCCTCAAACCCCTCCAGAGAGAGATTCGCAGCTTGGCTGGGGATGTCGACATTCATGTTCCAGCTTGTGGAGAAAGATTGGCCAGCGGGTTCTTTGACAAGTCATTTCAGCGTGAATTTCTTTCTCACTTCCAAGGTGTGAGCACCTGCCTGAACTAGGCCCCAATTCACTTTGCAGCGGAGGAGCGCAGCATCTCTGTGACTTTGCAAGGCAGCGGAGCTGCAGGTTGCACAATCTGCAGGAATGGTCACCCCACACGGAGGCCCATAAACACCTAGAACGTCTCGAGTACATTGCTACAGCTCCCTCGGCCAACGAACTGAAAGCACTGTCAAGCATGCCGAGAGGCAGGTCGTTGTAGCCGTGTTTGTAGTTGGCTGTCCAACAGGGTTGACTGCACAGAGAGGTGAGGAAGATGCAGCAGTTGCCACTGCACCCTAGCTCGAGTAGATACACCCGGCAGCACTCTAGATTCCACAGTGGTTTCTGCTGTTCCGAGTCATTCCGAGTCATTTGTGGTTCGCAAGAACATCTCATGTACAGAGCAGATGACTCCGTCAGTGCAGTGGTAAAGCCATTGCAGCTCATCGGCTTAGCCAATCTCACACAGTACGTACATGTATTGGTGAATGTTGGTGGCGAAGTTGTGACGAGACGGGAAGAGCCGATGGGCAATTGACCTGTCTGGTCCCTGCATGCTCACGACCTCGGAGGTGTCCTTGACATCATAGCACGAAGGTCAAAGGTTTCTATTTCTCAGAGCTTCGTGATTGGGTGCTGATAAGGCGATTAACAGGCTCACATAGCAAGTGCACATGGCAGAGACTCTGGCGTTACAGGTGTGGCAGGATTATGTGCAGTCGGTTTCGGTCGGTTCTGTTGCGGTCAGCTGCATGTGCTGATGCGTTACGTGCAACTGCAAACTGCCACAGCATGCGACTATATGCGACTACCACCTTTCAGGATGTGCTCGAAAAGGGCCCTCTCGGTCGAGGCCCACAGCGGTCAAGCTGACCCTTCTTTGACTGCATGTTATGCTTGCGGCGTGTACGATCCGGAGCTGATTCTCCGTCTTATTACATGACAAGGGCAGACATGGTCATTCGGCAATAGTTTTTGCTTCCTTTACTTGGAGAAAAAGAGATAGGGACCGCAGTTCCAACAAGATGGCTAGAATGGCAGGTATTGCAGACATTTGCAATTTTGCTATACTTGCGCTAGCCGTAACTGTATTGATACAGGTGCCCTTATACGTATAACAATTATGCGTTTGCAGACTGTGGCTGCAGTATCACATGTGGCATGACAAAATCGGGCCTCGAAGTGTCGGATCACAGCAAGATAGCAAACGAGATCTAAGCCAGAAGCATTCAAACTGCAACAGTGGTTTTCTTGCCCATTCGTTTGTAGACACCGCAGGAGTCAGGCCTTTCTTCCCCTTGAAGGACCTTCCCTATCCACGTGTAACTACAATGCTGCTGCTTCTACTGCTGCTACTGCTACTGCTACTGCTACTGCTACTGCTACTGCTACCACTGCTGCTGCTGCTACTGCAACTGCTACTGCTACTGCTTACTGCCACTGCTACGGCTACTGTGCCATTGCCACTACTACTGCTGCTACTACTGCACTACTGCTACTACTACCACTACTACTGCTACCACTACTACTACTACTACTACTGCTACTACTACTACTACTCCTACTCCTACTCCTACTCCTACTCCTACTCCTACTCCTACTCCTACTCCTACTGCTACTACAACAACGACGATTACCACTGCTACTACTGGTACTACTGCTGCTACTACTACCAACTACTACTACTACTACTGCTACTGCTACTGCTACTGCTACTGCTACTGCTACTGCTTCTGCTACTGCTACTGCTACTGCTACTGCTACTGCTACTGCTGCTGCTGCTGCTACTGCTACTGCTACTGCTACTGCTACTGCTCTACTACTGCTACTAATACTGCTACCTCTACTGCTACTACTACTACTACTACCTCTACTTTTTCTACTACTGCTCCTGCTACTGTTACGACGACGACTACTACTACTACTTCTGCTGCTGCTGCTACTACTACTAGTACTAGTACTAGTACGAGTACAAGTACTACTGCTCCTGCTCCTGCTCCTGCTCCTGCCGCTGCCGCTGCCGCTGCTGCTGCCGCTGCTATTGCTACAACAACACAAGCTGCAACAACAATAGAAACATCTCCTACTACTACTACTACTACTACTACTACTACCAGTACTAGTACTAGTACGAGTACTAGTACTTGTACTCGTACTCGTACTAGTATGGTACGAGTACTAGTACTAGTACTGGTACTAGTACTGGTACCAGTACCAGTACCAGTGCTAGTACCGGTACTCGTACAAGTACTGGTACTAGCACCCGCACCAGTACTAGTACTAATACTTGTACTGGTACTGGTACGAGTACTAGTACTAGTACTCGTACTAGTATAGTACTAGTACGAGTACTAGTACTAGTACTGGTACTAGTACTCGTACTAGTACTGGTACTAGTAGCAGTACCAGTACCAGTACGAGTACTACGGTTGATGATATAAATCCTGCATCACCCATAATGAGGAATATACCATAATTCCCATAGTTTAGGGTCCTTCAGGTAATGCAGGATTTATATCATCAACCGTAGTATTAGTACTGGTACTGGTACTGCTACTGGTACTGGCACTAGTACCAGTACCAGTACTAGTACCGGTACTTGTACTAGTACTGGTACTAGTACCAGTACCAGTACCAGTACTAGTACTAATACTAGTACTGGTACTGGTACGAGTACTAGTACTAGTACTCGTACTAGTGTAGTAGTAGTACTGGTACTAGTACTCGTACTAGTACTGGTACTAGTAGCAGTACCAGTACCAGTACGAGTACTACGTAGTATTAGTACTGGTACTGGTATCAGTACCAGTACTAGTACCGGTACTCGTACTAGTACTGGTACTACAGTACCAGTACTAGTACTTATACTAGTACTGGTACTGGTACGAGTACTAGTACTCGTACTAGTGTAGTACTAGTACTGGTACTAGTACTCGTTAGTACTGGTACTAGTACCAGTACCAGTTCCAGTACGAGTACTACGGTTGATGGTATGAATCCTGCATTACCCATAAGGGGGAATATACCATAGTTCCCATAGTTTAGGGTCCTTCAGGTAATGCAGGATTTATATCATCGACCGTAGTATTGGTACTGCTACTGCTACTGGTATTGGTGCTAGTACCAGTACCAGTACCAGTGCTAGTACCGTTACTCGTACTAGTACTGGTACTAGTACCAGTACCAGTACCAGTACTAGTACTAATACTAGTACTGGTACTGGTACGAGTACTAGTACTAGTACTCGTACTAGTATGGTACTAGTACGAGTACTAGTACTGGTACTAGTACTCGTACTAGTACTGGTACTGGTACCAGTACCAGTACGACTACTACGGTTGATGATATAAATCCTGCATTACCCATAGTGAGGAACAAACCATAATTCCCATAGTTTAGGATCCTTCAGGTAATGCAGGATTTATATCATCAACCGTAGTATTAGTACTGGTACTGGTACTGGTACTGCTACTGGTACTGGTACTGGTACTGGTACCAATACCAGTAGCAGTACAAGTACCAGTACTAGTACTAGTACTAACAGTACCAGTTCCAGTACTAGTACTGGTACTGGTACGAGTACTAGTACTAGTACTCGTACTAATACCGCTAGTACTGGTACTGGTACTAGTACTCGTACTGGTATTAGTACCAGTACTAGTAGTACGAGTACGAGTACGAGTACCAGTACCAGTACTAGTACTTCGTACTAGTAGTGGTACTGGTACTGGCACTGGTACTGGTATTAGTACTAGTACTAGTACCAGTACGAGAACTAGTACTAGTGTAAAGTACTAGTACTAGTACTGGTACTAGTACGTAGTATTAGTATCAGTAGTATTGGTACGAGTACTAGCAGTCGTAGTAGTGGTAGTAGTACTACTACTACTACCACTACTACTACTACTACTACTACTACTACTACTACTACTACTACTACTACTACTACTACTACTACTGGTACTACTACTACTACTACTACTACTACTACTACTACTACTACTACTACTACTACTATCACTACTGCTATTACAACTACTGCTACTGCTACTACTACTACTACTACTACTACTACTACTACTACTACTATCACTGCTTACTACTACTACTACTACTACTACTACTGCTACTACTGCTACTACTGCTACTACTGCCACCACTACCACTGCGGCTTACTACTGCTGCTGCTGCTACTGCTTCTACTTGAGCTACTGCTGGTGCTGCCGCATTGCACCGGTATCACATGCAGCCATGCAAAGCATAAGCACGCCATTTGCAAGCCAGCACCACTTTGGGGGACGAGATCAGGGGCTGCAGTTTGAATGGATTAGCCGACCACGAAATAACGCAAGATTGCCTCTGCATAACATCTGCAACAGAAGCTGACGTGTTGCTCATCCCTGCGGCCTTGCGCAAGATGATCATTGTGCTTGCAACAGCCGCTTTCTACAAAGTAAGTATTTCCTGGCACACAAAAGATGCCGTGAACCAACGATGTTGTCAGGGTGATTTTTCAAATGTCCCTGGATGGAGCGCACCTTGCAAAAGGGGTAACAAAACCCATGGGCTTCTCCGAGCAAAATGTGTGATTCTGAGGGTCTGAGGTTCCGAAGAACCCCTGTTGCAGCAGTGCATCTGCAGAGCATCTGCAGTGTCTTCAAGCGGAACAGGTGCCTCTGACAGGCTGCTCTCCGAGGGATGGGAAGTGCAAAGCCCGAAGATGCCCGAAGGCTTCCACTGGAAGTCTGCTTTGCTTTGGAATTGTCTGCTAACGCAGTGGCTACACTTCTCCATCTGCCAAGGGGGCAGTGTTTGGAAGGTGATCGAATTCGTTCCTGCGGCCAGAAGTGCCCATCGCAGCAAGCAGAGGGTTAAAATGCGGCCATCCAGTTCTTGCCTTGACTAGCCCATTGACCCCTACCCGCAACCGAGAAGGGTAGAAATATTTTGAGGCTTCGAGGGCACGACATCTGGTGGATTCTGGTGGTGGCTCTCTCTCGCTCTCGCCAGCTCTACGAGCCCATCGACGTGACCTTTGATTCCCAGGGAGCTCTTTACGTGGCGGACAACGGTGCGCACTTGGCTGTCCTCTCGTTTTCAGCTTTCTGCTAGAGTGAAGATTGAGGCTTTGAGACTGTGGAGCTTGAGCCTTTAGGAATTTTTAGAAGGCAGTTTGAATCTGGAGCGTAGTCTACTGCGCACAGCAGAAGCATCCCGAAAAACTAGGACAAGCGAAGCAAGAGGGTTATTGCGGTGCCGCTAGGCAACGCGCGAGTTGCCTGCTCCCCAGAATACCACTCGCAACATGTTGGAGCGTTTGGAACAGATGTAGAGTTGGATGCATGCATGTACCACATGCACTATGTTGGGGGCACACTAAACGACTGCTGCTCTAGGTCAGATGGTGCGCGCCATCAGTGCCGTATGAGCAAATCTTGCCGCTGCGGCACGTTGATGGGTCGAATTGTCGGGGCGGGGGAGGGGCGGGCGGGAGACGGGGGAAACGGCCTCTTTGCATACGGTGCTTCGGCATGTCTTACCGCTCGTGCATTACGCGGCAACCCAGGCGAGTTGCCCAAGTGAAGAGAGTTTCTTCTTAATCCCCAGTTCTTCAAACGGCCAGGCCATGTGCAGCCGTATTCTGAGCGAACTCGGTGCGAGCTGCACTCGGTGCGAGCTGCTAGTCTATGGTGCTGTGAGCGTGAGCTTTCTGGGCTTTTGGTTGTGTCAGTTGCTACAAGCAGGATTGGTCGTGAAAGCTTGGGCCCACAGCGCCGTATGTAAATAGCTGTCTGAGACCATGCCTCAGACGGCTGGTCTGCTGCTTCAAGCGGAGATAATGCTTAAACAGTGCCACGAAATGCCGCGAAGAGCCCTCGAGGCACTCCTGGGCACAGACTCAGAGACAGACTCGGAGGCCTCTCAGCCGTCAACAGCATGTTTGTACCCCAAGAAGCTCTCGTCACAGCGTGTACACACCATCCAAGCACTTTGTGTGGCAAACATGCTTTTGACTTGTACATAAGCTGCCAGCTCAGTGTGGCCGACAAAAAGATGATGTACAAGTGCGCGGTCGGGTTTCAGGGGAGAGGTTCCATCACAGTACGCATGCAAACGCATGCAGGACCTTCGCAAGACTGGAAATGCGACTCCTCCGCGAAAGCCCTGAATCCGAAGCCTGAGACCTTTTCCACACAATTGAACGGGTAGGTTTCCTCATCTTATAGTGGTGACTGTATGCACAGGTGCTCGACATTCCGCGGTTGGCGAAAGGGTTTCTGTTACTGCAGGCTTAGGACGAAGGCGAGCAGCTGAAACCGAAGCCTGAAATGTTCGCAAGCCTCAGCGCTCGGGAGATGGCGTCTAGTGAGTGGCCATGGATCTGACCATGGGACATCACGAAGAATTGTGATGGCTGCTGCTTGGTTGCATCTCCCAGCCGTCTGTGTCCTGCTTTGCTCGGCCGGGTTTCCGAGTTGCAAGGACAAGGACGAGGAGGAGCTACCTGAGGCCTCGGAATCGTCGAATAGAGGCTGCGAAGGGGCTTGAATGTGCGCAAAAACCAGGACGACTCCGTCGGCATCGCACTGGGCCCCGCTCCCTTAGCACTACGTGAGGAAGGCTTGCGGAGCAAGTCTGCTGGGATTCAGCGACTGTGAAGCCGAAGCGCCTTTGGAGGCGCTGCTTCCTACTGCTACCTGATCCTGTTCAACCTCAACAAGCGCAACAATTTAGGTTGCTGGGCAGCCTAGCATGAAGGCAATTGACGAAGTCACCCCGGGGTGGGTAGGTTAAAGAAGAGCTGTTATTGAGGATGAGGAGAACTGCTCGATTCCAAAGGATGTTAGAGTAGAGGTTTTGCCAGCAGCTGCCCTTGGAAAGGAGGACGAGGTCAAAGGCTCGAAATAGTGTGATGATGCCGCAGCTGCTGATCTCAGGAGCCTGTCTGCGCTCTGCCGCAGCCTTCGGTGTGCGCTTGGTGGAAGCCTTAAGATATTGGTGCGCACAGCGTCTTCGTGCTTCTGCCCAAGAGAACGACGAAAACTCCGTGTGACGCGCAGGTGATGCTGGTCGGGCGGCAAGGCTTCAAGGCAGGGGATGGAATGGTCGGGGTGTGCTGTGTTCTTGCTGTGTCAGCGTAGTGGCCGTGGCGACGTGTCGGCGCGAGGCCTTCTGCAAGAAGAGCGGCCAGGGCGCCGTGCCGATCGAGCATGCCGCAACCATCTCACAAGCTATCGAAGCTCTCAAGGCGCTTCCGCTCACTCCGACTTCTGGTCACTGGTCGCTTTGCTCCTTCTTTGTTGTCATCCTGCACTGAAGGCGCGACACCCTTCGGGCCGCCTGTCCGTGTGCGGAGTGGAGATCCTTGAACAGGCCTGGTCCTGGCCGGGACACGTCCGCCTCCTTCTCTGTACGCTACAGCAAGGGGCTCTTTCCATGATATCTGGAGCTTTATGGACACGTGTTTCGCAGCCGATGATCCCTGTCATGTCTGCATGAAGCGCAAGTGGAGAAGACTGTCGCAAGCGCTTCTATGCATCATTCAGGGTTGGAGGTGTGCTGCAGGTAGCGGTTCACTGCAGAGGCACAGTCGCTTCACGAAAGCCCTTTCCGGGGCCCGACGGCTTTCATGATGGGCAATGAGCGTGGAGGCGGACACGGGGATTTTGCAGGGGGAGCGCTCCGATGCGAAGCTCAAATATTTCCTTTGATGGTTCAACTATGTATGCATCAACTATGCAAGTTCTGCTGCATTTGCTGGAATCTTCGCAGGTCTCACCCGCGACCAAATCGCTCACTGCGACAGCTCCTCTTCGGCATGCTTAGATGTTGGGTGTTGGTGACTTCCAGGCCTTCCTGAACAGAATGTCGACACCTATGGCGCTGCATGTCTCGCAAAGCGTAGACCATGAAATTGGCTTCATGTGTTGGAAAGGAAGGAGATGATACAGGGTCTTCGTTCTCTTTGCCAGAGCCTTGCGGCTGGCTGTTTGTCGGCCTTCATCGACAGAGTCCAAAGCCAAGCTTCGCCACGTGGACAAGCTAGGAAGCCAAATGCATCCATGTGTCGCTCAGTGTCAACGCACGTCGACGCAGAACTGGAGACAAAGACTCTGCCTTGACCATACTGCGAGAAACCGCGCAGGAGACTGTGGTGCAGGCATTAGCTTGCTGCTGTGTTCACCAGCGTGGCTGAATGTCGTGGCTGGTGTCAGATCTAAAGCTGCGCAATTCGATGGAAAAGCACTGAATGGGTTAGGTGCACAAGCTCGGGAACTCGGCCTCTGAGGCTTCGTCTACATCCCTCAGTTTGGCGGCGGCGTTGGCAGCCTGAGTCTTTGCTGCACAGAGGGATGCATTCACTGCATTGATCCTGGGACAGGGCACAAGCTTGGTGTCGTTCTCACTGGATTTTGCAGCTGATGCCATTTTGGCCGAGTGGTCGCTGAGGAACGTTGCTTGTGCTTGCAGCGTGGTTCGACCCCTAGCTCTGCTCTGTGCGCATACCCTGCCTTGCATTGCAGTGCATTGCAACCCCCTTCAGCTGAGCGGCCCAGGTGCTGTACCAATTCAGCTCTTGGGCCAGTCGGGGTGAGGGCCTGGGCTTCCCGGAGGCGCGAGCTTATTCTGACAAGCCGTAGCCTTGACCATGGCGCGATTGCAGGATGCTCGTCCTTCCATGGCGGCCCCACACGGTGCCGGCAGCTTCGTGCTGCGTGGTTCACGACCAATGCCCCCAGCTCTTGAAGGCTTGCGGAGGAGTGGAGTGTGGTCACCGAGTCCGTCTTGTATGGGCTATGGGAACAGGACATAAAAGGGATGAGCATGAGGGCTCGTACATGCTCTTCGTTCGTATTCGTTTGCAGGGTAGGCAGAGCTCGGATCAAGCGATTGTCAGGTCTTCGTGTAGCTTGCGCACCGCACAAAGGAAAGCTGCGCCAGCTGCTGGCACAGAAGACTTGCTAGGAACAGTTGAACAGCATGCAGGCGGACGAGAATTTAGTAGTTGGACTTGCTATACTTGACATAAGCATGTGCGGAAGGTCCTGCCAGTGTTGCCAGCCTCGGCAGCCAAGCTGACGAAGCCACGACGCCAACTTCTAAACGAAGTAAGGGCGAGCAAACAGAAGCAAAATTCTGAGAGTTCAGCTTCCAGTGTGGCATGCTGCCGGTGCTGTAATCAAGTTGGCTTGGCTGTAGTACGACATGGCGAGGAAACACTCGTCCTGTCAGCGGTTGGTCTTGTCAGTTCATGGTTTCCCGGCAAGGCTTGAAATCTCGGGATTGTTTCCAGACTCGTTAGAAGGCTGCCATCCTTGCATCCAAGTACCGGCTTTCATAATTTGATGTGGGGGCACATGGACACGAGTGGACTGTCTCTTCACATTTTTGAGCTAGCCTGCCTGGTTTTGAACAGACAGATGGGTGAAGGCCTCTGTCGCAGTCCCTTTCTACTCAAGTTATCCGTGCCATCCGAGTCAAGATGACGCAGGCAATTGCCAGAGGCTCAGGTGCACACGAAGTGGTTCGATTGGGGTACGTTGTTGCTACCGCGCCTCTTATCATGCCCTTGGATATTTTTCCAACAGTGCAGGGCTGGGTCTGGGCGTCTTTTTGGGCCCAGCAAAGAAGCAACAATCCCAGGGCCGGTTCGAAGCAGCAGTGGCCAACTGCCGAAGGTGGTCGGTGGAGGCCTAGCCGGAGTTTCGGCTGCCAACAGCGTCCTCGAGTGCGGTGGCAAGGCCAAGATGTGTATCATGTGCATTTGCCTTCCATCCGCAGGTTGCCACGGCAAACTTCGATTGCATGCTGGATGCCAGGTGGTGCTGGTGGACAAGTCCGCTTTCTGTGGTGGCAACTCCACCAAGGCGGAGCGCGGGCTGATGGCTGCCGTGCTGCGGGACTGAAGGGCGCGGTCACGATTGATTGCTGCCTGTTTGGGTTAGGCCACCAGCGGGATCAATGGCGCCGAGACCATGACCCAGAAGGCCACTCCTCCCCCATGCAGTGAGATTCTGAAGCGGAAGCGGAGGAACAGAAACGGAGCACAGGCCAAGAAGGTGGAGGACACCGTGGAGCTCTTCACCTCCGACACACTCAAGGGCGGTGCCAAGAAGCCAGAGCTGGTCAAGGTTGGCTTGCAAGGGGGGGGGGGCGGGGTTTCTGGGTGCACTCCAGGAGCCCGGTGGTTGGTTGACTTTGAAGGTGTTGTGCGGCAACAGCGGTCCAGATGTCGACTGGCTGGTCGACAAGTTCGATCTCGACATGCGCGAGCCACAGCGATCTCGCGACTGCGGAAGTTGTCAGAGTATGTTCTCGCGCTGTGCTGGGGTTCGGGCCCCGGGACCCGAGATGTTTCGAGGTCACTGCTCGCGCGGCTTGGCGGCCACTCCGCACCCCGAACCCACCGCGGCAAAGAGCGCTTCCCAGGCCGCAGCTCCGAAAGTGCGATCTGTGCTTGCCTCCTTCTTCACTGCGTGGCTTTACGGCGCCCGAAGGCATGACCATCACCTATGCCCTCATCCAGATGGTTGAGAAGATTTCCGAGCGCAGCGACCTTGCCAGGATCATCAACAAGGCCAGCTCGAGCCATCATGGCACGATGCCCCAGAGCCGTACGTGCGTCTGCAGTGTCGAGATGCCTTGTTGCGTTGAAGCTGGAGGGGCCCGCAGCACGGAGTAGTTCCAGTCGTTGTGAGGCCAAGGTGAAGCAGCTCCTGATGAACAACGGCGCGGTCTGTGGTGTCCTGTACGAGAAGAGAGGCGAGGGCATGCCGGCCTAAGACATCCCAGGTCCTAGCGAAAGCCATGTCGATGCAAAGCCATTCCGAAAGAAGAAGCAGGCAAGGACTTCAAGGAGGAGGGCCCTGTCATCCTTGCCACGGGTGGCTTCGGTGCGGACTTCACAGAGGAGCCAAGCGGGCCTTTGTTTCTTGCAAGTGGCGGATGGATGCTCATGGTGCGCTCTTGGGAGGACTCTTTGCTGGCGAAGTACCGCCCAGACCTCTTGCACCTTCCCACTACGAACGGTGACCATACCACAGGCCAGGCGGCAGTACCTTGTGAAAGATACTTGAGCTGGTCAGCTTTAGCCCACGCGACGCGGCTTCGAAAAGCAGCTCGGAGGCGATGGCATCAAGATGGGCGAGGCGATCGGCGCGCGATCCATCGACCTGGAGTGGGTCCAGGCAGGGAGCCAGGGGGAGGGAGAGGGCATGTGAGGGCACTCAGAGCCACAGACTTGCAGGTCCACCCCACTGGCCTTGTGGAGCCCGACGATCCGGAGGCCAAGATCAAGTTGCTTGGCGAAGCCCCATTGCTTGATCGTCCGTGCAGGGCAGAGGTGGTCGAAAGTGGGCATCCTGCTGAGGTTCCTGGCCGCTGAGGCTTTGCGCGGAGTTGGTGGCTTGGGAGCAAAGGAAGAGCAAGACCACAGACCTGGGGTTGTGCCGTGGGGCCATGCGGGGCCTTGGGCAGTTTGGCAGGTGGCCTGGTCATCAACGCTGCCGGCCTGCGTTTCTGCAACGAGCTCGGTCGCCGTGACTACGTGACCGGTGGCCAAGCTGCACATAGCTGCACAGTGCTTTGTGGAGATGAGACGCCCGGACCAGCTGAGGCGAGATGTGGAAGTCCAAGCCTCCTTACCGCCTGATCCTGAACAAAGCCGCCTCTGATGAGATCATGTGGCACTGCAAGCATTACACCGGCCGCGGTGTCATGAAGTTCTACCAGACGGGCGAGGAGCTGTGCAAGGACATGGGCATTGAGCTCTCCACCCTTGAGGCCACCCACCAGCAGCACTTCGAAGCGGCCAAGAAGCAAGAGAAGGACCCCGAAGGTGGCCCTTACACGGCTTACCCCAGCGGCAAGACGTGGGACGAGCCCAGTGGTAAGACCGGCGTGGGCAAGAAGTTCTTCCACAACATCATCGAGGGCTCAAAGGTCAAGTCGGAGCCTTTCTACGCCCCTGGGACAGCATGGTTTCCGTTCTACGCTTGTGTTAGCTGATGAAGGGAAAATCACAGCATCTCTGATGTTGCATACTCGACACAGCAACGGTGAGACGTGAGACGTGACAGTCTGACACGGCAGGTGGCTATCATCACTCCGGTGATTCATTATTGTATCTTGGCGACAGTCGTTTTTCGGTGTTACAGTCTAGTCTAGACTTTGTGTTCTACCTTGTCAGTCGTGGGACCCGTTCTTCAATCGGGATTCCAAACCACGGCACAGGCATGGGTGGCTTGGAGATCGACACCGACTCCGCTTGCGTGGATGCGTCCGGCAAGGCCATCCCAGGCCTCTACGCCGCCGGCGAGGTGGCCGGCGGCGTGCACGGCAACAACCGCCTGGGTGGCAACTCTCTGCTGGACTGCGTGGTCTTCGGCCGCGTGGCCGGAAAGGCCGCTGCCAAGTACATGCTCGGCGACAAGACCAAGAGCATGGACTTGAAGGAGCTCTCCGGTGGGGGCCTGGCAGCAGACAAGGAGGCACCTGCATCCAAGCTTTAGGCCTTGAGGCCAACGCTTCACACGCCAGCCCAAACCCGATCCTCGTGATCGTCACTTTTGAAGGGCCAAGCGACGAAGTCCGAGGAAGCAATTCCGAGACATCATGTTAATAGCAGCTTTTCACACTGGGGACCGCAGCCAGTCATCTGCCCCCCGATTTTCATGCCTTGCTTGGCTGAGTTCCTCGAGAGTGCCAGTCATATCTTCGCAAGCTGTCACATCAAATTGTATCTGGCTTCGCTCTTGGGATCTTCGCAGTCCGAGGGCATCCTCTCGTGCAGGAGTTGTCATGTGACCTCCAGTGTTTTCGAGAGCTTGAGCCGTGTTGTACCCAGATCACCCACAATGGGCCGAAAAAGGAAGCGGGACCGCGAAGAGTAGGATTGTATCGCAAACCGCTGCAGTCCTGAATGCTCTTCCTTGGCAGTTGTGTTTCCCGCAGCAGTCTCTGCTCGGAGGGCTCGGCTCTCTGCATTCGCATCGCAGGATGGCGCAAGCTATTGCACTGAGCTCAGCACTTCCGGCCACCCCAATCCGCCCCACTCGGCCGTCAGCCTGTTCTTTTCAAGGTTGTCGGCGGTGGCCTCGCTGGCGTTTCAGCGGCCAACAGCGTTCTGGAGTGCGGCGGCAAGGCGAGGGCGCTGAGAATCGCGAAGATGTCGTGAGGGTCAAGAGTCAAGAGTTCGAGCGACCTGGGGAAAAAAAACGCGAATCTGGACATCAGGGAGTTCGGGCAGCAAGCCCTCCTTGGATTTGACGACACGGCAGGAGGTTTAGCGGAATCTAGGGGTGGGGCTATGCTCTGGAATTTCTTGGTATGGCATCACCTTGAGACAGGTTTCGACGGGATGCCCTTGAACGCAATTTCCAACACAACCCAACATAAACCTTTTGATAATATGGGGTTCAATGCGATCAGTCATGTCCGTGAGTTTGTGGGATTGTCAGCAGGATACGTGACTGCAGCTTCGGATGCGTGGTTGGAGTGGCTTGGAGACAGGTTCGGAAACGGTTCCCTTGGGGAAATTGGTGTGTTCGGAGCAGGAGTCGGTCTTCGCCAGGGCAAACGTATCGATTCGGAAGCCGTAATCATGTCTGCCGAAATGACCTGCCTTTTGAGCAGTGAGTTGTAATGTTCACATCGCATTTAGAACCCCCCCCTCGTGTCGGGGCCGTATCAGCTGATGGCGGAGACCCCGAAAGATTCCTGACGTGCGTCGAACAGTTTCAACACCACATCCACGATGTTTACATCCCTTGGCTTCATCCGATTTTGCATTACACTGGGGGGTGGGGGGCGTGGGGGTGGGGAGTGGGGAGGTGGGGTGTGCTTCTAATCAGCTGCGACGTTCTCCGACTTGGATTTTGCAATTGCGGGGTGATCCTCAATATGAGGTCGACATCATGGGGCATCGTACCGGAACCGCAAACGAAAACAACTGAGAATCGTGGGGAAATCCGGGCTTTGTCTGAACCCGAAACTCTGCGAGCTAGCGAACTTCATCTTCTAGTGTTCCCGCGTGAAGCTCTGGCAACGGCTTGGTCTAGCTTCTGACACGCGTTTGGTGCGGTTAAGCTGATCTAAGCGGCTGCGGCTACAGTGGCCACATGGTAGGGCCTCATTCGAAGACACCACGCCAGGTGGTGCTGGTGGACAAGTCCGCTTTCTGTGGTGGCAACTCCACCAAGGCGGAGCGCGGGCTGATGGCTGCCGTGCTGCGGGACTGAAGGGCGCGGTCACGATTGATTGCTGCCTGTTTGGGTTAGGCCACCAGCGGGATCAATGGCGCCGAGACCATGACCCAGAAGGCCACTCCTCCCCCATGCAGTGTGAGATTCTGAAGCGGAAGCGGAGGGAACAGAAACGGAGCACAGGCCAAGAAGGTGGAGGACACCGTGGAGCTCTTCACCTCCGACACACTCAAGGGCGGTGCCAAGAAGCCAGAGCTGGTCAAGGTTGGCTTGCAAGGGGGGGGGGGCGGGGTTTCTGGGTGCACTCCAGGAGCCCGGTGGTTGGTTGACTTTGAAGGTGTTGTGCGGCAACAGCGGTCCAGATGTCGACTGGCTGGTCGACAAGTTCGATCTCGACATGTGCGAGCCACAGCGATCTCGCGACTGCGGAAGTTGTCAGAGTATGTTCTCGCGCTGTGCTGGGGTTCGGGCCCCGGGACCCGAGATGTTTCGAGGTCACTGCTCGCGCGGCTTGGCGGCCACTCCGCACCCCGAACCCACCGCGGCAAAGAGCGCTTCCCAGGCCGCAGCTCCGAAAGTGCGATCTGTGCTTGCCTCCTTCTTCACTGCGTGGCTTTACGGCGCCCGAAGGCATGACCATCACCTATGCCCTCATCCAGATGGTTGAGAAGATTTCCGAGCGCAGCGACCTTGCCAGGATCATCAACAAGGCCAGCTCGAGCCATCATGGCACGATGCCCCAGAGCCGTACGTGCGTCTGCAGTGTCGAGATGCCTTGTTGCGTTGAAGCTGGAGGGGCCCGCAGCACGGAGTAGTTCCAGTCGTTGTGAGGCCAAGGTGAAGCAGCTCCTAATGAACAACGGCGCGGTCTGTGGTGTCCTGTACGAGAAGAAAGGCGAGGGCATGCCGGCCTAAGACATCCCAGGTCCTAGCGAAAGCCATGTCGATGCAAAGCCATTCCGAAAGAAGAAGCAGGCAAGGACTTCAAGGAGGAGGGCCCTGTCATCCTTGCCACGGGTGGCTTCGGTGCGGACTTCACAGAGGAGCCAAGCGGGCCTTTGTTTCTTGCAAGTGGCGGATGGATGCTCATGGTGCGCTCTTGGGAGGACTCTTTGCTGGCGAAGTACCGCCCAGACCTCTTGCACCTTCCCACTACGAACGGTGACCATACCACAGGCCAGGCGGCAGTACCTTGTGAAAGATACTTGAGCTGGTCAGCTTTAGCCCACGCGACGCGGCTTCGAAAAGCAGCTCGGAGGCGATGGCATCAAGATGGGCGAGGCGATCGGCGCGCGATCCATCGACCTGGAGTGGGTCCAGGCAGGGAGCCAGGGGGAGGGAGAGGGCATGTGAGGGCACTCAGAGCCACAGACTTGCAGGTCCACCCCACTGGCCTTGTGGAGCCCGACGATCCGGAGGCCAAGATCAAGTTGCTTGGCGAAGCCCCATTGCTTGATCGTCCGTGCAGGGCAGAGGTGGTCGAAAGTGGGCATCCTGCTGAGGTTCCTGGCCGCTGAGGCTTTGCGCGGAGTTGGTGGCTTGGGAGCAAAGGAAGAGCAAGACCACAGACCTGGGGTTGTGCCGTGGGGGCCTTGGGCAGTTTGGCAGGTGGCCTGGTCATCAACGCTGCCGGCCTGCGTTTCTGCAACGAGCTCGGTCGCCGTGACTACGTGACCGGTGGCCAAGCTGCACATAGCTGCACAGTGCTTTGTGGAGATGAGACGCCCGGACCAGCTGAGGCGAGATGTGGAAGTCCAAGCCTCCTTACCGCCTGATCCTGAACAAAGCCGCCTCTGATGAGATCATGTGGCACTGCAAGCATTACACCGGCCGCGGTGTCATGAAGTTCTACCAGACGGGCGAGGAGCTGTGCAAGGACATGGGCATTGAGCTCTCCACCCTTGAGGCCACCCACCAGCAGCACTTCGAAGCGGCCAAGAAGCAAGAGAAGGACCCCGAAGGTGGCCCTTACACGGCTTACCCCAGCGGCAAGACGTGGGACGAGCCCAGTGGCAAGACCGGCGTGGGCAAGAAGTTCTTCCACAACATCATCGAGGGCTCAAAGGTCAAGTCGGAGCCTTTCTACGCCCCTGGGACAGCATGGTTTCCGTTCTACGCTTGTGTTAGCTGATGAAGGGAAAATTATCTCTGATGTTGCATACTCGACACAGCAACGGTGAGACGTGAGACGTGACAGTCTGACACGGCAGGTGGCTATCATCACTCCGGTGATTCATTATTGTATCTTGGCGACAGTCGTTTTTCGGTGTTACAGTCTAGTCTAGACTTTGTGTTCTACCTTGTCAGTCGTGGGACCCGTTCTTCAATCGGGATTCCAAACCACGGCACAGGCATGGGTGGCTTGGAGATCGACACCGACTCCGCTTGCGTGGATGCGTCCGGCAAGGCCATCCCAGGCCTCTACGCCGCCGGCGAGGTGGCCGGCGGCGTGCACGGCAACAACCGCCTGGGTGGCAACTCTCTGCTGGACTGCGTGGTCTTCGGCCGCGTGGCCGGAAAGGCCGCTGCCAAGTACATGCTCGGCGACAAGACCAAGAGCATGGACTTGAAGGAGCTCTCCGGTGGGGGCCTGGCAGCAGACAAGGAGGCACCTGCATCCAAGCTTTAGGCCTTGAGGCCAACGCTTCACACGCCAGCCCAAACCCGATCCTCGTGATCGTCACTTTTGAAGGGCCAAGCGACGAAGTCCGAGGAAGCAATTCCGAGACATCATGTTAATAGCAGCTTTTCACACTGGGGACCGCAGCCAGTCATCTGCCCCCCGATTTTCATGCCTTGCTTGGCTGAGTTCCTCGAGAGTGCCAGTCATATCTTCGCAAGCTGTCACATCAAATTGTATCTGGCTTCGCTCTTGGGAACTTCGCAGTCCGAGGGCATCCTCTCGTGCAGGAGTTGTCATGTGACCTCCAGTGTTTTCGAGAGCTTGAGCCGTGTTGTACCCAGATCACCCACAATGGGCCGAAAAAGGAAGCGGGACCGCGAAGAGTAGGATTGTATCGCAAACCGCTGCGGTCCTGAATGCTCTTCCTTGGCAGTTGTGTTTCCCGCAGCAGTCTCTGCTCGGAGGGCTCGGCTCTCTGCATTCGCATCGCAGGATGGCGCAAGCTATTGCACTGAGCTCAGCACTTCCGGCCGCCCCAATCCGCCCCACTCGGCCGTCAGCCTGTTCTTTTCAAGGTTGTCGGCGGTGGCCTCGCTGGCGTTTCAGCGGCCAACAGCGTTCTGGAGTGCGGCGGCAAGGCGAGGGCGCTGAGAATCGCGAAGATGTGGTGAGGGTCAAGAGTCAAGAGTTCGAGCGACCCGTGGAAAAAAACGCGAATCTGGACATCAGGGAGTTCGGGCAGCAAGCCCTCCTTGGATTTGACGACACGGCAGGAGGTTTAGCGGAATCTAGGGGTGGGGCTATGCTCTGGAATTTCTTGGTATGGCATCACCTTGAGACAGGTTTCGACGGGATGCCCTTGAACGCAATTTCCAACACAACCCAACATAAACCTTTTGATAATATGGGGTTCAATGCGATCAGTCATGTCCGTGAGTTTGTGGGATTGTCAGCAGGATACGTGACTGCAGCTTCGGATGCGTGGTTGGAGTGGCTTGGAGACAGGTTCGGAAACGGTTCCCTTGGGGAAATTGGTGTGTTCGGAGCAGGAGTCGGTCTTCGCCAGGGCAAACGTATCGATTCGGAAGCCGTAATCATGTCTGCCGAAATGACCTGCCTTTTGAGCAGTGAGTTGTAATGTTCACATCGCATTTAGAACCCCCCCCTCGTGTCGGGGCCGTATCAGCTGATGGCGGAGACCCCGAAAGATTCCTGACGTGCGTCGAACAGTTTCAACACCACATCCACGATGTTTACATCCCTTGGCTTCATCCGATTTTGCATTACACTGGGGGGTGGGGGGCGTGGGGGTGGGGAGTGGGGAGGTGGGGTGTGCTTCTAATCAGCTGCGACGTTCTCCGACTTGGATTTTGCAATTGCGGGGTGATCCTCAATATGAGGTCGACATCATGGGGCATCGTACCGGAACCGCAAACGAAAACAACTGAGAATCGTGGGGAAATCCGGGCTTTGTCTGAACCCGAAACTCTGCGAGCTAGCGAACTTCATCTTCTAGTGTTCCCGCGTGAAGCTCTGGCAACGGCTTGGTCTAGCTTCTGACACGCGTTTGGTGCGGTTAAGCTGATCTAAGCGGCTGCGGCTACAGTGGCCAGGTAGGGCCTCATTCGAAGACACCACGCCAGGTGGTGCTGGTGGACAAGTCCGCTTTCTGTGGTGGCAACTCCACCAAGGCGGAGCGCGGGCTGATGGCTGCCGTGCTGCGGGACTGAAGGGCGCGGTCACGATTGATTGCTGCCTGTTTTGGGTTAGGCCACCAGCGGGATCAATGGCGCCGAGACCATGACCCAGAAGGCCACTCCTCCCCCATGCAGTGTGAGATTCTGAAGCGGAAGCGGAGGGAACAGAAACGGAGCACAGGCCAAGAAGGTGGAGGACACCGTGGAGCTCTTCACCTCCGACACACTCAAGGGCGGTGCCAAGAAGCCAGAGCTGGTCAAGGTTGGCTTGCAAGGGGGGGGGGGCGGGGTTTCTGGGTGCACTCCAGGAGCCCGGTGGTTGGTTGACTTTGAAGGTGTTGTGCGGCAACAGCGGTCCAGATGTCGACTGGCTGGTCGACAAGTTCGATCTCGACATGTGCGAGCCACAGCGATCTCGCGACTGCGGAAGTTGTCAGAGTATGTTCTCGCGCTGTGCTGGGGTTCGGGCCCCGGGACCCGAGATGTTTCGAGGTCACTGCTCGCGCGGCTTGGCGGCCACTCCGCACCCCGAACCCACCGCGGCAAAGAGCGCTTCCCAGGCCGCAGCTCCGAAAGTGCGATCTGTGCTTGCCTCCTTCTTCACTGCGTGGCTTTACGGCGCCCGAAGGCATGACCATCACCTATGCCCTCATCCAGATGGTTGAGAAGATTTCCGAGCGCAGCGACCTTGCCAGGATCATCAACAAGGCCAGCTCGAGCCATCATGGCACGATGCCCCAGAGCCGTACGTGCGTCTGCAGTGTCGAGATGCCTTGTTGCGTTGAAGCTGGAGGGGCCCGCAGCACGGAGTAGTTCCAGTCGTTGTGAGGCCAAGGTGAAGCAGCTCCTAATGAACAACGGCGCGGTCTGTGGTGTCCTGTACGAGAAGAAAGGCGAGGGCATGCCGGCCTAAGACATCCCAGGTCCTAGCGAAAGCCATGTCGATGCAAAGCCATTCCGAAAGAAGAAGCAGGCAAGGACTTCAAGGAGGAGGGCCCTGTCATCCTTGCCACGGGTGGCTTCGGTGCGGACTTCACAGAGGAGCCAAGCGGGCCTTTGTTTCTTGCAAGTGGCGGATGGATGCTCATGGTGCGCTCTTGGGAGGACTCTTTGCTGGCGAAGTACCGCCCAGACCTCTTGCACCTTCCCACTACGAACGGTGACCATACCACAGGCCAGGCGGCAGTACCTTGTGAAAGATACTTGAGCTGGTCAGCTTTAGCCCACGCGACGCGGCTTCGAAAAGCAGCTCGGAGGCGATGGCATCAAGATGGGCGAGGCGATCGGCGCGCGATCCATCGACCTGGAGTGGGTCCAGGCAGGGAGCCAGGGGGAGGGAGAGGGCATGTGAGGGCACTCAGAGCCACAGACTTGCAGGTCCACCCCACTGGCCTTGTGGAGCCCGACGATCCGGAGGCCAAGATCAAGTTGCTTGGCGAAGCCCCATTGCTTGATCGTCCGTGCAGGGCAGAGGTGGTCGAAAGTGGGCATCCTGCTGAGGTTCCTGGCCGCTGAGGCTTTGCGCGGAGTTGGTGGCTTGGGAGCAAAGGAAGAGCAAGACCACAGACCTGGGGTTGTGCCGTGGGGCCATGCGGGGCCTTGGGCAGTTTGGCAGGTGGCCTGGTCATCAACGCTGCCGGCCTGCGTTTCTGCAACGAGCTCGGTCGCCGTGACTACGTGACCGGTGGCCAAGCTGCACATAGCTGCACAGTGCTTTGTGGAGATGAGACGCCCGGACCAGCTGAGGCGAGATGTGGAAGTCCAAGCCTCCTTACCGCCTGATCCTGAACAAAGCCGCCTCTGATGAGATCATGTGGCACTGCAAGCATTACACCGGCCGCGGTGTCATGAAGTTCTACCAGACGGGCGAGGAGCTGTGCAAGGACATGGGCATTGAGCTCTCCACCCTTGAGGCCACCCACCAGCAGCACTTCGAAGCGGCCAAGAAGCAAGAGAAGGACCCCGAAGGTGGCCCTTACACGGCTTACCCCAGCGGCAAGACGTGGGACGAGCCCAGTGGCAAGACCGGCGTGGGCAAGAAGTTCTTCCACAACATCATCGAGGGCTCAAAGGTCAAGTCGGAGCCTTTCTACGCCCCTGGGACAGCATGGTTTCCGTTCTACGCTTGTGTTAGCTGATGAAGGGAAAATTACAGCATCTCTGATGTTGCATACTCGACACAGCAACGGTGAGACGTGAGACGTGACAGTCTGACACGGCAGGTGGCTATCATCACTCCGGTGATTCATTATTGCATCTTGGCGACAGTCGCTTATAGTAGATACAGCATCTAGACTTGCTATTCTACCGTTTGAGTCGCAGCACTCGTTCTGCTACACCACGGCACAGGCATGGGTGGCTTGGAGATCGACACCGACTCTGCTTGCGTGGATGCGTCCGGCAAGGCCATCCCAGGCCTCTACGCCGCCGGCGAGGTGGCCGGCGGCGTGCACGGCAACAACCGCCTGGGTGGCAACTCTCTGCTGGACTGCGTGGTCTTTGGCCGCGTGGCCGGAAAGGCCGCTGCCAAGTACATGCTCGGCGACAAGACCAAGAGCATGGATATTCGACAGCAAGAAGGCAGAGAAGTCAAGCCTTTCACTCTTTATAACGCCCCGCCGAGGACTTGAAGGAACTCTCCGGTGGCGGTCTGGCCGCCGACAAGGAGGCACCTGCGTCGAAGCTGTGAGGCGGGAAAACAAGCGGAGGGAAGGCGGGGGTGTTCGGATGCAGTCGAGATGCTCCGGGTACTTCTTGGACAGTAGGTTTTCACAGGTTACGTTGAGATCCAGATGTGAAGACTAAGTTTACGTAACTGTGCATCGAGACGAGCCCAAATATGCGAGCTGGCGGACTTGGTTTGCGTCGGAATGCAAATGGTGTAGAGCCGATGAGATGAGCCATGCCAGGTGTCGCTGCCGCAGACGTGACTTGAACCCCTCGCAAAAGCCATCTCACGCAGAGGCGTAGAGAAGCATGATGCTGAAGGGACCCTGCTGCAATTTTCCACGCGTATGTGCTCCGAGCAAAATGCCATGTGACGTCGATTTCTCGTGGGGCTGGTCAACCTGCAACAACTCGTCGTGGTTGCCGCAGTGTGCTACATATACGATGTCCTTTTGGTTGAGTGTGAGGTTGAACCCAGGTCCATGAGAGACGGCGCGCGTGCCATAGCTGACTAGACCAGACCCACAAAGCCCAATCCGAGCGCGAAAACCAGAGCTCTGCGGTTCATTCCCTGGTGGCGTCCGCAGAGTTCCATGTCAGCAGTACTGCAGTGACTGTTGCAGTGCAGCTTTGGAGCACGATGGAAGATCTGTGCTTTTTGGAGTTCACACCGATCCTCAATGCACGGAAACTGTTCGTCGTGTGGCTCTAGCAACTACAAGTAGGCCGTTCCGTGGGCTGGGAATCCATGTCTACGTAACTCCATATATGTGGGATGCTGCAGGGTCTCTCATCTTGCGCTCGAAGGGGTCGAAGCCTCGGCTTCGGCTTCGGCCAGATCTGAGAATCTGTGCCCCGTCCCGCAGATCTCAGGTTTTTGAAGAGTCCGGACACGGACTCGCATCACCTGCTGGGTGCCGTGTAAGAATGCGGTTACTGTAGGTAATAAGGAGGCTTGCTCTCGAAGACTGCTGTCTCAGGTCCTTCAGAGGAGCACCACTTTTACCACCGTGCCCATTTTGACTTTCGGCAGCAGCTGCACGCATAGAAGATGCAGGTGAACAGATTCAGGATCGTTGCTAGTAGCAAAGCCTTTCGGTGCTGTTGGAGTAAGACCGTGGTCTTTGAACGTTCTTGCCCTGAGTAGAATCTTGATGTCGCCGGAGATCATGCTGCCGTTGTGTGAATGTAGAGATAGAAGGCTTCCAGGCCGGATATGACGCCATCATCTCGCCTTGCAAGGCTCCCTGGCAGCTGTCACCGGTCCTTGTGGACAATGAAGTTGTGGTAACGGGCACGCTCCCTGCTTGCAGTGTTGAATTGCTGAGTACTTTGCAAGACGCAAAGCGGGTGGCATAGTGGCACACCACGGTAATCAGTGCATCAGCCTTCAAGCTCCGTGAGGCGAGTGATTCTCACAGAAAGCCGTGTTGCACGACTGGACTTCAAGCAAATGGGCTTTTTAAGCGATGCCGCTCGGTCTCATTGCGCAGGAGTTGAATTGGGAGACGTGATGGACGCATGTGCACTCAAGTGTGGCGCATCATGGTTGTGAGCAGGAGGACATGTTCGGATCGCATCGATTGCCATAGCAACTTTCGGTTCGATCGTCAGATGCGATAAGCCGAAGTGGGTACACGAGCGGCAGGGATCGCAGAGTTTTGTGTACTTTGGTATGTGATATGCAAGTAAGAGTTTGAGCGAATTTCCGAGGCCTGCGCCAGTTGGAAACAAGAGTCGTTCGACCGAGACGTTGTTCGAGGCACGAGAACGCTCTTGTGCGTTGCATCGCACGGTCTTGCAACAAGGTTACGAAGCCAAGCGGGTGGTGCCGAAGTTCCGCCAGGCCTGTCATTGACACATGTCGGATGAACACAGTTGGGCAATTCTGGTCACAGACACATCTTGCCTTCTCCTTCCGTTGCACTCAGCTCCTTCTACCTGTGCTGGGCCTCGTGTGGTGCGGCTTGGCAGATGTTAGTTTAATCTAGTTAGTATTCTAACGTCATTGTTCTCGAATGTTTGATCACTGGCAGCACTCCAACACAGCATGAGAACCATAAGAATCAGAATCGTATCGTTTTGTATAAGGACAGGAAGTTCATCTTCTTTAGTATATCTCAGTGTTTGTAACTGCAACTAATATAAATAATAAGACTTTGCTTAAAAACACATCCATTGAACAGACGCACCGTCAGGATTTCGTATGCTGCTTTGTTTTTTTGAAATCTTAAACCAATACGTAAGCATGAAAGCATGCAGCTTGGAAGACCAGGTACCTTGGTCCTGTTCGAGATGTCACCCAACATTCTGGACATCGTTCACGACCTGATCATCTTGCTGCCAATTGAGCACGCATTGTGGCTTGTTGGTGGCTCTTGCCGGACTCTCCCAGTTTGCAGCCAGGCTAGCAGAGCCAGGTCCATCTCAGAGCTTGATGCAAGTCTTAATCTTCCGTGCTAATCCACGGTTTGCGATTGGATGCTGATGGCACCTGAGGCAAGCACTCTCTTGCAAAACCCCTGCACCTTGCTTCAGATGTCGCTCGGCCGAAGTCCTGAAGGGTTTTGTTGCTGGCGTAGGCTCAAACCTTTCTTCCGATCCGCCAAAGAAGCCGCAGCCAGGCCATCAAGCGATTCAGGCCCGATCCACAAGGAAATCCTCCCCAGACTTGGGTGGAAGCAGGGTTACGTGCAGGCAACCTGGCCAAAAAGCTATCAGTCTCATTGACCTCTGGGCAAAACCGAAAGTGGAGCGTGTTCCACGTGTTTTGAGTGTGCATCTCGGAAGCCATGTTTGGTTGGCGAGGCTACAAGAACAAAAGATATGAGCACGTGAGCTTCCTGCAGCCAGGCAACGCGTTCTGCCCAATATGATAAATACAACATTTTGATTTTGAGTTTTACTTTTCGTCCTTTGTGGTTGTCTCTGCTCCGCGAACATTTGTTGCCTTTGGATCCTGTTGGGGGCCTCACCCAGTGGGGCTGGCCGACAGTGCCTCGTCCACTTCAGTATCTCTAGTACACGGGCCATCCAAGTAACGCGGCCGCGTGGAAGTGTTTGCGATCGTTTCATGAGGGGCACCCGAAGTGTCCGAAACAGGGACGTCACCACGTGCATTGTGCCGGAGTTTTCGGGCACGCTGACCTTTGTAATGCGCTGCCCGACCAGGATCGTCGGCCTCCCCGCAGTGACTGCAGGGCTTTTGCTCTGAGAACGCTCGTGTAGTCCCCGCAAATGTCGGCCTCGACAAGCATAGGCCATGCTTGGGCCGGACGCACCTTTGCAACTATAACTCAAGTTTTGCATGAAGCTTGGAGCTGTCTTGGTCCCTCGAAATTGCCGTCATCGGATTTGTTGAGCTGTAAGTTCTTGCCACAAAGGATTCAGAAAATAGCATGTTTTCCCAAAGGGAGCGCTACCTCTTTGTGTTGGATATATGGAGTGGAAGGCATCAAACCCTTTCGTCTCAGTGGCCGGCGGAGCTGCAAGCAGCCCATCTTTTTCCCTGGCTTGACTGTTGATCAGCCATACCAAACTGCACCCAAGCCAAAGCATGCCACAGCCATGGATTGATGCTGAAACCCTTCCCGATTCCCCCACATGGCACATGGTTTGCTGCTGCTTACTGTAAACATGTGCTGCCATGTCGAAATCTTTGAGCAACGCCAGACTCCACAGCCCCCGTTGCAGCAGGTTCAGGGCGGGCTAGTCCCAGCTGGCATGCTTGAGCTCGCACCGAGACACATTCCTGTGCTCGTCTCGGTCCAAGCGCCAACTGATCCCGTCTGCGAGAAATTTCGTGGCATCGCATCGGGTCCTGCGTCTATATGAACCGAACGACCATCCGTCACCCTCTTGCAACGATCACTCACCAACAGTTTGGGAGAGGTGGGCCGTGAAGACATCGGAATAAAACCGAATCAAAGAACGGAGGGCTGAATCAAAGAACGGAAGGGCCGAATCAGAGACAACGCCGGAATCAGGGAATGCAAAGAAAGGCGAATCAGGGAATGGAAAAGCGAATCAGGGAATGAAAAGGCGAATCAGAGAATGACGGGAATCAGAGAATGAGAGGGCCGAGTCGGAGAACGAGAGGGCCGAATCAGAGAATGCACAGGGCCGAATCCGAGAACACAGGGACGCCTTGCTTTGAGGGGGGATTCGATGGGGGGTGGGTGCGGCTTCGTCGTCGGTCGGTGGAGGGTGGGTTTAGGTGGTGCTGGAGGGCGGGGTGAGCCGGCCCTGAACGAATGCTGGCTGCGGGAGGGAGGGGTCAGTGTGGATGGGTGTGTGTGTGTGTGTGTGTGTGTGTGTGTGTGTATGGCTATGCGGGGCTGGTGCGTTGGTCGGGTTGGTCGGGTTGGTTGAGTTGGTTTGGTCGGGTTGGGTTCGAGCTGCCGTGTTTGGGCTGGTCTGCTTGGACACGTTGGTTGGTTGGGTTGGTCGGGTTGGTTGGGTTGGCGGGGGTTGGTCGGTTTGGTCGGGCTGGTTGGTTGGGTGGGTCAACTGGGCCCTGAAGGCGCGCTGTTCTCCGAAGCCGCCTTCTATTTCCTGTGTTCTCCGATTCCGCCTTCCATTCCCTGATTCGCTCTTTCATTCCCTGATTCGCTCTTTCATTCCCTGATTCGCTGAGTCGCTTTTCCATTCTCCGATTCGGCCTTCCCGTTCTCTGATTCGGCCTTGTCATTCTCTGATTCGGCCCTCCCGTTCTTTGATTCGGCCTTGTCATTCTCTGATTCTGTTCCCTGATTCGGCCTGCACCCATCCCGCGTTAAGGCACCTAACTGTAGCAACTGACCCAAACAGCCTCTGCCCACGATCTAGCTTGATGCGTTGGTACTCCTTCGTAGGCGGGTGGGTGAACGATTGTTCAGGTCCATGCTCGGAGTGAGGATTGCGTGTCGTGAGATTTCATACCTTGCTGTATCGCCAAAATTTGGCAAGTTGGCGCTGGGAACTAATAACCAAAGATCAAGACGGTTTGCGATCTAGTATTTGAGCTACATGTCTTTGGCGTGTGAACCAGGTCCACCAACATCTGTTCGTCGCCATGAGGGTTTAGAAGGTTCGGCACCTTCTTCAAAGCCTCTCCGGAAGGAATGCCTGGCATCACCCCCAACACCTATTGTTGCTTTCCCATCCCTCTCAGTTTCCCTGTGCATGGCCACGCCAGCAGATCCATCTTCGTTGGCCACATCAGCGACATTCAACATATCGGAGGACAGCCGTGCGTCCAGCAGGCGAGGGCTAGGGTCTGCGCCTGAACAAGCAGTGTGGGTTGCCGTTGCATCTGCATCCGTCGGGAGGTCACCTGGTGAAGGCATCGTCTTTCCGGATCAAATGTATCGCGTCAGTCCTGATTCTGATGCTGCAAGGAACTCGTAGGTGTGGATGACAGTTGCCGTTGGACATGCATGCAGCGGTTCAGTTCATTGGTACTTGTTGCCATTGGCATGTCTACGTACAGTCACTGTGCACCATCGCTCCCCTTCCCTGCAAGACGAGTGCCAGAGCTTCACGCCGTGGAGAGATGTGGATGGCAACGATTGTCAGAAATATTCAGAGCCGTTTGCCTGCATTGAAGCGATGCGAATTGATACTTTTGGTCGGTCTCAAAAACATTTCGGTGTTGCAATCTGCATTGGAGGGCTTTGGAGTTGTTTATCGTGTTCTTTCGGCCGGAAGCAGTTTTGCGAAATACTGCATAAGGCCCGGATGGCTTATGTCTTGCCATGATCTTCGCGGTGTGGAAGAGAGGACGGACAATCTGGATGAGAGGCGAGACTCTGATCTGAGACTTGACATGGCTTAGTCAGTACAGGTTGACAAACACGGACAAACCGGTTTCTGGTTTTTGCCTCGTGCCGAGGAATCTGTCTCCACGGGAGGCATGCTGCAGCTGTGGTGGCTCAAACAGTACTGGGCGTGCGCTCGCCATCAGCCGCTTGCCTAGCGGCCTAGCATTGCAGATTGCAAGGTTACGGGGCGAATCAAACTTAGATTTTCCAAAGCATGTGGCAGGCAAACTCGCGAGCTCTGTGTTTGCCGTCCTGGAATCCATTGCCAACTCTCGGGAAGCCAGTCGCCATTCAGTCACGAGGGCTCGATTGTGCGGTGTTTCCGGTGGGCCTCAGACGGGCTATACCTGCCGGTCAGGTGGAAGTCTCAGACGTGCAGTGAAACTCGCAAGTGAGGAAGTGTCGTCTCAACTTCCAGCAGCAATCGTGGCGACCGTCAAGGAAGCTGTTGACAGCACCGATGGGAAGGAGTTATTGGAGAGTCGATGCTGGACCGCTGTTGGCCGTGTATGAACCATGTCTGTCCCAAGGCCTCCCATGTGAACACAGAGGAAGAAAGGGCTTAACAGATACGAACGTCTGGTGCTTCCTAAGGACTGCTGCAGCTAAGCAACTCGGTGTTGGCACAAGCAGGTCTCTTGGCTGGACCTGGTTCCCCCGGCGAGCTGTGGCAAGTGTCGCGGTTCCTAAGGGCACCTTGCGGGCGACAGCAGCGCCCATCTCTACTTTGAACGGTCAGAGGAGGTGGTTCCCGCTTTGGCCGCTCAGATGATTTCTGACTGCGACTACCATTGACCTGCGCGAACGAGTTAATGTGTCGGGACAGATTGTGCACAGATGCATCTCATCTTCCAAAGCGGCCGCTCTTATCCACACACCAAGGAGCTGTTGTCGATGTTGTTCCCATCTGCCTCGGCAGTGGTAGTAGCTCGAGAGAAGATGGATCAAGACCTCGGAATGCAGCGGCAGCTGCAGCAGCTGCAGGACTGCTGGACTCAGCAGGATGTGGTTCACAGTTGCAGCGATGGGTCTGTCAGCTAAATTGAACATCCGGTCTCCTACGCTCAGGACACGGTGACGCGGACAGCTTCGTCTGTGCGTGGCTGGGCAGAGAATCCGTACAGCCTACGCCTTTCGTACGGAGCTTTATGTCACAGTCCCGGTATCAGGCGAAGGCTCCAAGGGCATGCTGGAGATTGGCACGGCGCTGCTCAGCCACTACATGATCCTCGGCTCACTTCAGCGCTTCCCTTTGCTTCGCCCTTTTCATTTCCCCGCGACAATGACCCCATGATGTCCGATGCAAGGAGAGCATTGAGCTGCTTCTGGAGGATCTACTTCCTGGCCACTTGGCAATCAGGCTTTTGCTTCGAGACCCCTAATATCTTGCAAGCAAGATGGACCTTTAATTTTTGTGCTAGGCAGTTGCCATCCGAGTTCGTATCCAAAGCGCGAGGTGCTGCTTGTAATATGTTTGGCCGCAATCACATGGTGGGTCGGTCTTCATCGCATCGTGGCAAGAACAAACACACCTGTCGCGGTTCAATCGTGAGCAAAGCCCGACCGCGATCGAGGCAGGCCTGTAACTTACATCGTCCTCCGCAGCCACGCTTCTCGACGACAATTCTCGATGAACCGAGTACCAGACATGCCAGCCTGCGCTCTGGAGCTGTCAGGATAAATATTTTGGCCCGCAGCGGCAAATCGAAATGCCAGAAGTTCTTATGCCGCTGAGCTTTTGGGGTGGATTCAGTTGCTTTCTTTGTGGGTGGTTTTTTCTGTCGATGACAGCTGTGACACAAGTAGTTTGTGTCGGTGATTCCAAGCCGGGCAGATCCTCATGATATCTCATGATCTTCCAGACAGAGACAACATGCTTGCGACTGTAGGCTCTAGTCTGCAGCAGCCTCACTTTGCTAGCAACAGCTGTTTGAGAGTTGCGCTCAGGCAGAGCCGTTACCATTCCGAACGTCTCAGTGGGTTTTTCCTGCCCACAGAGCGTGTCAGCGAATTCGCGGCAGCACTCAGAGGGGGTGCTGCTTCTTCTCGGGTGTAGCCACAAAACGTGCCCCGAAGTGTCTTGCAATGTCAGAGGCTGCGAAATGAAGATTCGGAAGACAAACAGTCATGCTGCTTTGTCTTGCGATTCCTTAAATGCGCTTACATCGCTAACCGTTCCTGCCAGCACTGCCTTGACGTACAGTTGATGCAGGTGTAAATGAGTCGACTTGCTGCCAGAAGTTTGAGCCATTGCATTCAAAGACATGATGGGGCTGCCCTCATGAGCCCACAGCCGCACGGACCTCTGTCATGTTCGCAAAGATGACCAGTGGTTTTGCATGCTTCTGTTTGCACACGGTTCCCAGGCCCCGCGCGCTCCGATGCGTTGCGCGGGGCTTCTGCTCTGGTTGTTCGTGCAGGCACCGCAGAAACGTGTGCACCCTGAGCGCCCGAACAGGTGCAGTCGTTCTCTGAAGCATTACCGGTGATGTCCGGTGTAAGAGCCGAGCGGGTAAGACTGCTTTTGCCCTCTTGAACTCAAAGAAGGGACTGAGTGGTAACACCCTGGGTTTCTGTTTCTGGCAGGTGCGGGGCCAGTTTGAGAAGCAGCGATCCGTGGTGCAGGCACAGGACCCAGTTTGACATCTGCTCAGCGGCTCTATCACAACTTTGCAAAACACGGCATGTGCAGGCACCTCTGAGTGCCGTCCAGCGGCGAACTGCATCTCCTGCCATCAACCCGGCCTTCCGCCCTCTGAAAGACCAGACATTCGTGCCACGTCCGGCTTCTGCTAAGTCTGCTCCAGGTCGATGCCTTTGGCAACCCTGTGCCGGACAGCGTGGCGATCCCGAACATCCCACGGGTCCGCAGACTCAATGGCACTTGCGCAGTCAGGGAAGACGACTCGAGTCATCTCGAGTCGCTCAGGCAAAGCCTCCTGCTCGGGTGACATCCTCTGCAGGCAGGGCAGGGCGCGGGTCCATTCTCGGAACCTGCCATGTGCCTGTGAAGAGATCCGAATTCAGAGAGTCCCGGCTTCCCAGGTTATCTGGAACTGGAGCTTGAGCTGAGCTTACAGATGCATGTGTTTGGGTTCACTATGATGCACTCTAGATTCAGCATAGTCAGCACGGCTCGATTGCTGTCGAGGTCTTGGAGACAGTGGATCTTCAAGCAGAGTGCGAGGTGCAGGGCTGATGTCGTGCAATGTCGTGCATAGCCGGATGGCCCCTATCGGAGGTGCAATGTGCATGATAATGCGTGTCGTCTGCTAGCGCAGGTGCTCACATGTGCGTTCGAGCGGTTCGAGAGGATTCGTTCATGCATGCCGCATGATTCGTTTCTGACCACTCAGCAACTTCACTTGCCATCCAAGTCATCAGGCTTACACCTATACCACCAAATGTAGCGCAAAACAGCGAAGGGGCATCACAACACCAAACCTACGCAACACCTATAAGGACCTTTGCGTTCCAGAGCACGAAAGCTGCCACACCTAACTGTACAATTCCATTCGCATTTTGTCCGGCGCCTTCCCTCGCTGGCACTGAGCCCGACCCGATGCTGGAGGGGTCTCTGCTCCCCCCGCGACTGAACGACTGCTTTTCTTGCTTCCAGAGGTTGATCCAGTACTCGGAGTTGTAGCCCATTGCATTTCCTTCGAATGTAAACCTTACAAGATATCTGCAGGCTGCAAGTGTTTTCTGGACTGTTTGATTGTCGTGTAGTTGTTGGGCGCTGGCGCCACACAATTTTCTATGCTGCGTTTTCGGACGGAGCTCTGCAAGTCACGGAACAGCAGGTCTAGTGATGATGGGTTGCTACCGATGTCACTCCGAGCTATTTTGGACGTGGTTCTGTTTGTTGGTAGGTTTGTCCGTCCTTTTGTAAAGGTACTCGTGCGAGTGCGGTGTTGAGGGAAGGAGCGCTTCGTGCGAATTCATTCGCTCATTGACATTACCCCCGCTTGTTTTCATGCATGTACGCGTGCACGTGGCTATGGGCGCATGCGTGTATGTGCAAGCACTTATGTACAGATAGGTGCATCAAGGTGTTGTGCTGCCGGTACCATACCGTATTTAATTGTAGTGCAGTGTCTTGTCCTGTCTCGTGTGCCGTGGCATGGCAGGGCACGGCAGGGCCTGGACTGTTGTGACATTGCATGGCATGTTCTGCATGGCATAGCATGGTCTGTTATGGCAAGGTATGCTTGCTCGCATGTATGCATGCAGTCTGCACCTGTGGGATAGAATGCACCATCCACGCGCTTTCATTTTCGTCTTCGGCCTGTAAGTACAAGTTCTACCAGCTTGTGGCTGGCGCGGCGAATGATGCCATGCCCAAGCAGAAAAGCAGGTGTTCCGAAACGATGCAGACGAGACGGAGCCGTCCATATCATGCTTCAAAGGCTCCTGTGTGCGAACCTCGGCGATGTTGTTCAAGGTGCTGTTTTTTCGCGATGTTGCTGCGCAGCACAAAGCGAACAGTTGTTCAACAACTCTATCTGACAAGACTTAGATGACCGTCGAAGATGGACTCAGGTCACTTTGGTCAAGCTGGCCAGCCAGCGTCTCAGATCGTTCGGGGAGGGCAGATCCGCTGGTGGTGGTTGTCGGGGTGGTGGTGGTGGTGGTGGTGGTGGTGGTGGTGGGTCCACCCGCTGCAAGTGACCACAAGTACGGGTGTCGCACAAAGAGTCTGAGCCTCGTCGGACAGAGGCTTGAAAGTGGATGCGAGCTACATGTTCACCATGCATTCCGTCCGAAAGGTAACGCGAGGGCCCCGGACTTTTTACCATCAACGCAATGCTTCAATGGTCTTTGGTGTAGGGCCTGTAGGGCGGGAAAGGAGTTCAACAGCCGAAGCTCGGGGCTTCTCTCGATCACTGGCTTCAGCATGCTGTATATCCTGACTGCCAGGGATGGCGTGACGGGCCAGGTCTTCGAGTTTCATGGCCCTCGTCCGCGACGCAGTTGCTTCTCAGGACACACTACGTGCTGCCTCGATATCTCTCTCTTGCAGGAAGCCATCCCATCACCTTCGTGACCGCTGGTTTACCAGATTGGCAGTTGGTCACAAGCTCAGTCCATGTGTGCCTTCACTCAAACGGTTTTCCAATCTGTGGACTTGCTGTGTATTCTGCTCCTCGAAGGCAATCCCTGAGACGACGTCTCTTGGTTCCATCGTGATGCGCTTGTCCTGGGAGGCAGCATGTCGATTTCGACCCCGTAAAAAGCGCTTCTCTGCATGACTCGGTGACTCTCGGTGTGTGTCTCTGTCTGTGTGTGTGTGCGCTGTTGCATGGCCTTCCACAGGAGCCCAACACGGGTGGCAGCGCTATCCTGGGTTACCAAGTTGAGATGGTGAGCCCCGAGCAACGTTTCCGGTGCGTCCGTTGCAGAAGAAGCGGGCACATGCCGACAGGAGACAGACTCCCAACCTGGGTGGCAAATCATCTACGACGGCCAGCAAGATCCAAGCGTTAAGCAGCTCAGATCTCAGAGTTACATGTAGCGTTGAAGAGCTCCTAGCCCACCTTGCTAATGGAGCGCTGGACAGTGGGAGGGGTGGTGGTGGTGGATTGTGAGCGATGTTGCACCCGCCGAGTTTGGTGCTTTCGAACCTTACCTACGGCACGACCTACTTTTACAACGTGCGTGGCCCCCGGACCTAGAAGCCAGCGCGGAGCATGACTTCAGAATCTCTATTTAATTCAACTTCCCAATTGCAGACGAGGTATGCAATCAATGCGATTGGCCGTAGCCAGCCCATCTCGACTGTCAGCTCCTAAAGCTGCTCGTTGCATGTCGCTTGTTTAGCCTTTTCATCTGCTCGAGTGCTTACATCTTGGAGGTTGACGTTTGCTTCGATGACATGTGCAGGAGTGTGCAACGCTTGCAGCCTAGGCCTACACGGTAGCAGTGCCGCTCGAGCCTGTGCCTCATGGTGGTGGAAACAGATCGCTCGTCATTCTCCCACTGCTGGAGCTGCTGCTGCGTTTCGTTTAGTTCCCTTGGCCAAGGAAAACCTTCTTCTACCCACTTTCCACCGACCCGTCCATCTCGCGAGATCCAATTCCAGACTTCATTATTGCTGATGTCCCGCCTGGAGCTAAGACTCGTGAGGGCGTCTCTGAGAAGCATACCCAAACATAGGAGCAAAGCATTGTGATGTCAGAAGTTTCGCTTACGAAGCATAACGATCATAACACGGTTTGCGCTGGGTGGACGGCGTTGCATCGTGTTCCTGTGAGCGTTGGAAGACAGAGGCCCATGATTGCCTGGTTGAAATTGGCTGGTTGAAAAGTTGAAACGCCTGATGCTCGAGGACGGACTTGACCATCCGTGCAAAGAACCCTGTGACCGAATGGTTCGAGGCCGGCCTTCCCATCATAATCCGGCATCAGTCGCTTCTATGAAGCTAAATTCTGAAGTTGCTTCTAGTGCAGGTAGATAGCACGCATCGCAACTACTTGGCTGCGATACACGATGTGCTGGGCTCGGCCTCCTTTGGATGCTTGAGCCTTGCTGACCCATGCCCACACATGAGCTGGAGCCCGAGGTTGGAAAGCCTTGCTAGGTTCTTGTGTCATAGGAATTTCATGTTTGACACAGGTTGCAAGTGGATCAAGTGGTTCTAATCCAGGTGAAGTTGAACATGCTCAAGCACTCTGTAACATGAGCTGGAAAGTCCGGTTGCAAGCCCTGTTCACGATTCGCCAAGATGTTCCTTGCTTTGGGAGAATTAAGAGAGAGCTGCCCATGGCTACCGAGGCCTGCGAGCTGAACTCTGAGCGTACGCTGTGCCTCCCAGTTCCCGAGCAGCATCCGGACTACCAGGCCTGGCATGGCCCGGCCTGCGCCGTCCCTGCGCGCTGCCCAGTGACTCAGTGACTCTCGGCAGGATCACCGACAGCGGCTGAACCAGAGCGGATCTCAGCGACGGCTTGGAGCGGTGTTGATGCCGAGAAGTCAAAGGTGTCCTAGAGAGGCAAGAGTGCCTGAAGGACACAGTGCTGTGTGAAAGCTGCAAAAAGAAGCCGGTCAATGTCCATGTACTTCAACGTGACCTCTGATCCTCTGCTTGCAAGGGTCCCTGACTGCTGCTACGCCACAGTTCCGAACGGTGACGGAACCTACAGCCTTAAGCTCAGCTTCGGTCGGTTCGCGCCCACATACATCAAACCCTGTACCACTCACATGCAATGCCCCCTCCGGTCGGTCAAGAGGATTGTTTCGTGTAGGCTCCTCTAGACGAGAAGGCGCAGGCACAAGCTCAGCCGAGGCTTGAACTACACCGGCAACAAGACGGGGATCTATTCCTTGATGGTGTATGCGATCTTCGCCAATGGTGACATACCTAGCTCAGCGTTTCTTGATCAACCTTGATCAGATCACCTCTTTGTTGGGGTCACGTCTCTTCAGCAACACTCCGGGCCCGGTGCGCATGAATTCGGCGCCACAGGCGATTTCAAATGAGCTGCTGTTCTTGTTGCTGTTGCTGTCATTGCAGAAAATGTGCCAACTGCTGGGGAACATGCCTCTGCCCAGGCCTCTGGGGCCAGTGTGGCCAACATGTTTGAAGCGACTCGTGTCTTGTGACACAGTGCATGCGAACCTGTGGCAGGTACTGGGATAATGCCTGGTTTTATGGACTGTTGCTGACTCGGAGTGCCTGTTCGCCAACGCGAGCAACGGCTGTGGCTTGAAATGCTTCTTCTCTTCCTTTCGGGCGAAAAGGCTGCCTCGTTTCGATCGCCTGTTGAGATCTGTTGAGCCCTGGGCTTGCTGCTCACTGTCGCGAAATCTACGAGCTTTGAGGCCCGTCCTCTCCAAAGTCGATGAGACTATCAGCTTTGAGCGGCTTGGCTGCAGGAAAGTTCCTGCCAGTTTCCAACAGCGGCAGTTCAATTGTAACAATATAGTACACCGTACTCAGTACATCACAGTACTAGTAGTAATCTCGTATCTGGACTCATGACTGAGGTGGGGCCACCACGAGGCGATTCGCTTGGCGCCGATTCGTTTTTCGCAGCCGTCCCGGGAATTGCAGGTCACTGCTCTGGCTGGAGACCACATCACTGCCAGGCCACCGACTGCCCTCGTCGTCGATTCCGCTTGCGAGATGTGATGCATGCCAGTGCTACACAGGTGGGTGGGTTTCCTTCTGGGCCCTACAACTGACGAGTACACCATCTACGTCAAGGTGTGCGGGCTCATATGTCGGTGGATGAGGATGCAAGGACATGGAAGCATGTGAATCTGAGGCAGATGATAGTGTTCGCGTTTGGTTTCAAGGCCATGGGACATGTTCTGTTAGTTTTCTGCACAGTGAAGACCGGGATTGTGAAGCTATTTCAGCCTTCCAGAGTGTTTTCATTCAGTTCGAAAGCCAGGTCATTTGGTCGTCGACTACTGGGACTCTTCCATTCCATGTTGCGAGTGTCTCAGAGCTTACAGCAGGAGTGCTCAGCCCAAAGCTTACGCGCATTTCCGAGGTCCTGAGCTATGGACTCGCCAGCTGCTGGAGAAAGACAGGTTTTACTCCATCAAGGTCGCTTCAGCTCCAGATGCCGTAGTGACTTCTGACAGTGACAGTAGTGAAGTTTTCTTGTTGCGCTTTCCGGTGTTTCAATGCCAGGTTGAGTGGAAGGAGATGCAAGGCAATGCGCAGCTGCGACTGATGTGGGGCCTGATACCAAGCCGATCCAAGTCGTTTCATGCATGGGACCTTCGTTCCCGTGGATTGGGGCGGCCGAAGTTTAACGAAGCTAAATCGCTGTCTCATGAGTCTTGAGGGAGATTTGATGCCGCGAGTTTTTTGCAGCCCTCCAGAACAGGGCATGGGCAAACCCTTTCTCGAGCCCGCTTAATGCAAGCGAAACGCGAGAGAGCCCACGAAGCATAGTTACCTAAAGTTTAGGCTCGGGGGGAGCGCAAGGGGGTTGCAGCTGCCAAGTGCGGGCTGTCAGGCCTGACACAAGAGGCTTTCGCATCAAGACGACTTGTGTCATCTTGTGCCAGGTTTAGGGTTCAGGGATTGGGGTTGAGGCTTCTTATGGTTTAGGGTTTAGAGGGCCTGAACCGGCGAACTGGCGACACCTGTGGCAGTGCCTGTCACGGAAGCTTCGCAGCTTCAGTTTCTTTCGTGTAGAGGCCTAGGCTTTTTGCCATTTGAGCCGTGCACCGCTGCTGCGGTGAAAGTGAGATTTAGAGAGATTTGAGCAGAGCGGTTTTGCAAATTCCGTTCTTTAGACATTTGCGGGGGAACCGCGCGCGCCAATTCGTTGACTTGTTCTTTCGCTTTGTCGACCTCGGGGCGAAAGATATGGGGATTGATGCTTTAAGCACTGGTCCTCCGAGGCATCACCGGGAAGCGGAAGCAGTGTCAGCCTCGGAAAGCCAACTCGAAAAGTAGCAGACCTGGCAGACACGTGCCGCATGCCGCGGGCGTCATCGACTTCTGCACAGTTTATCCTCAGGATCATCCCGGGTGCCAACCTTTGGCGAGGAGCTCCACTTGAAAGTGCGTTGGGGTCTGAGTCCACGACGAGTCCATGAGAGCAGATCAGCACGGAGTTGCACCACGATGCGGATGTTCAACTATCTTGAATTCGGGAGCCAAATCTGTCGGCCATCTGCTCCAAGTGGCACAGGCCTTTTCGGATTGTGGTGCATCCAGGGCCACCCAGCCGGTGCCCGAGGATTCAGCTGCGCCGCGCACGTTCGCTGACCGGAGGGCGCAAGGCGTGGTGCTCTGAGGCACTCGGACAAGTGGTCTTCTGGAGCCGCTGGAGCAGCTTCGGACCGGGGCCTCTCGGATTCAGATCTGACGGAACTCTTTCCATCTCTCTGGCTCCATCTTCTTTCTTGCCAAGACATCTGCAGCATTTCGCCTCCCCTTGCCAAGGCTTCGCAAAGGCTTTACCTACAGGCCGTGTAGCCTGCCTTCCAGAAAATCTGCTGCAGACAGACTTGTGATGCTGTAGTTCAAGTCGTGCGCGCCTCGTGATGCGAAGCTGGTGAATCATGGCTTTCGGAAGGCTCTCGACACCATGAGCAACACCGTCAACTCCACAGATGTCCAGTTTGAAGCGTGCTCGGCTATCCTAGCTGCCCGCTTCTGCTGTCTGCAGTGAAGGAATAAAGCTACATTGCACAGCAGCTGCACACACACACACATATACCTGTCACCAACTCTTTCCAGGTATTTCTATTCGCCGAGCTACACAAATGCAACTGTTCCGCTTGTATTCAGGCAGGTCGCTGCATGATCTGAAGACTCTGAGTGCTCACATGTTGTTTTGCGGTTGCTAAAGGTCCACTCCGCTGATGTTGCAGAGACGGGAAGACCACATCCACGACCACCTGCACTTCATCGTGCTTCGCTCTGTTTATGCAACCTGTGTCCTATGATATGAATGATAGCAGCCACATCTTCGAAGCAGGATATTTGAGCTGAGAATCCCACGCACATCTTTCTCGAATCGACTATCACTACTGAATCTCTACAACCAGAGCCCAGCCATAGCTCTCTGTTCGACAGTTTTGTCTCAGTGATGCGTTTCACGCACCAAGCGCCTCTTCAACTGTCGTGAAATAGCCCGCCAAGCAGACACAGGCAGCTTGAGACGTGTTCCGGTATTTCATCCGTGTCGGCCCCAAACATGAAGGAGCACAGCGGACACCCTGGAAGACTGCCAGGATCCAGACTGCAAGAGCAAAATGCGAGCAGCACTGTGGCCGGATCCAGGGCTTCAGGACCTTGGAGGATTGTGAAGGCCAAATGCGGCATTGGCGGGCGCACGATTTCTAGAATTTCTATCCCAACATGCAAAAGCCACCTTGGTCAGAGCGCCACGGATTTTGCAAGTTTTGCAATGCCGCATCCCCGGCCGACGCGACCAGTGCGATGTTGAGCCCGAACCTGGCTTTTCGTTCCGCTGCCCCTTCCTCCCCCCTTTCGGGCGTGGGCGGGTGGGGCCGGGGGAATTTAAGGACTTAAGCCAGGCTGGGCAGAAACCGTCAGCACAAGAAAAAATCCGGGAGCATAAGGGGAGAACCCACAGCATAGGAGATTCTAACATGCCCTATCTTTGATCCTTTGGTAGAGGAAGCAGCAGACGCAGTGACGGAGAGCACCGGAGTCACTCCCCTGCTGTTTTTTGACTTTGCCAGGATCTTGTTCTTCTGGAGCCTGGCAACTACACCTTGGAGCTTTTCCTCAAAGGGCATGGGCAGCTGGTTTGGCGCTAAGTTTTCGAGTCTTGTACAATGCCACAGACCTAACACTTTCAACCAGATCATCGCAACTTGAAGGCATCCAGCCCCATCCACTTCCTGGCAGTGCAGGACCTGAGCGTAGCATGCATTTGCAGGGATGTGTTCGCAGTACATGAGGAGTTCTTAATCTGTCGGCACATGTCAAGACATGCGCGACTTCAGCTGCATTCGCTCTCATGTCTTGGACTCTAGACGCTCTCCCGGACTTCGAATTGAAAGGCCCCACGAGAGCAAAGATGCATAGACTGTGTACATAGAGCACGATTCACCCGATCCTACCGACTTGAAAAATCAGAATGTTGAACACTCCATGTCCAGCAAAGCATGGGCATGCTCTGCCCAGCCAATTCGACGGAGAGGAAGTCATAGTATCATGACTTATCAGGAAGGTCTGACTCTCTTCAGCTTTGACAAAGCCTCAAGCATACTAAAGCAGAATCAAGTTTGCGGGCTTGGACACGCCAAGGATTCTGTTTCGCTCACGATGGAGGTGGAGGGTGTGGGGAGTGGCAGGTTCAAGCCCCAGCCCAAACTTAATGGAACCAAGTTGGAAGAACTTGCGTGACAGGCGACCAAACAGATCGTAATTGCAACAACACGTGCGTCAAGCTAAGAAAGACAGGCTTTGGCACAGGCTGTCGGAAGCGCCCTTGGATGCTCGCTGAGTCCATTCTACCGATTTTTATGGTGCATGTGCAAGGACGACATACAGCCGCAGATGTGCACCGTTGCATGGGCCCCGGCGAGTGGGGTAAAAGCAAAGTGAAGCGCGAAACGCTACACCGTGTCCGAACTTATGGAGCCTACTTCCACGCACTGCTGAGGTGGGTCCGGGCTCCAAGGAGTTCATTGCTGGAGCCAACAGCTCAGAACGACTCCAAGGTCTAAAGTTTTCACGGTTCTTTGTTGTGAAACACACGTGTGTGTGCAGTAACAACCGTGAACGACGGCCGTCGCTAGCACTCTGGCTCGACGAGTTCAAAGATTTTAGCCTTTACTTCCTTTCGACGCCATGTCGACTCCCACTGGTGCCGCGGCAGCCTCGACGCCTCAGTCGTCGGTGCGACTCATCCGCAAGGCACCGCCGCAAGCCCCACAGCCGGCGGCATCGCCGGATGTTGGTGTCCATGTCGCCGTCCGCGAGCTCCGCAATGTTCTTCGCCGTGGACGTGAGAATGGCTTCGGGGCGTGGGCCGAGCTGGCGGCGAACCTGGGGATGGAGGATCGCACAGCCCTCGCCGAGCTCCTCGCCGTCATGGCCGTGGTGCCCCCGACGGTTCCACCGACGGACGAGGAATGCCAGGCCTACATGAGACGCCTCTTTCCACAGAGGACGACGACGGCGGAGGGGCCGATCCAGGTGAAGGCGGCGCCGACTCCACCGCCGGGGCATGGAACTATGACGCCTACATCGACGGGTCCCGGGAGATCGCCGACGGCACCTGCTATGCCGACTCCACCGACGGGCCCAGGGAGCTCGCCGACGGCAACCATCCTGCAGCAGAACGTCGGGGCACCGCCGACGGCGTGGGCCTGCCAGGTGCACACCCGCCGCCGTCCACGACGGCAAGAGATGACGACCAGGTGTCGGGCACAGTCTTCCTCGACGCCCCCACGTCGTCCACGACAAGGACAGCGGCGGCCTTCTTGGATCCGACGGAGACAAGGGAGCCCGAGACGTCAGCATCGCCGACCACCACGGGGTTCCCCGGGCTCGCCGCCATGGAGGCACAGTCGGCGATGCCCTCGGCCTACTACATCGACGCGGCTGGCCAGCGCGTCAGGGCACCGCCTGCGGGTGCACGCCGGCCCGACGCCACCACTGGTGTGCAGACGCCGGCTACCACGACGGGCGACGGAGCCGCCGATGAGGTCATCACCATGGCGGCGACCTCCGGGATGTGGCGCCGAGGCCGGACGACGATGCCATCTCGACGGCTGGCAGTCAGGGATCGACGACCCGGGGGAGATCGATGCGCAGGGGCGAGCGGCCGACCATGGACCCGCCGCCGCCTCCGCCGGTCGTGGAGCCCGAGGGCATCCACAAGGAGAGCGCCGACACCGCCGGCAGTGGCGCACGACAGGTTGGATTGGATGTTCCCGCCGGGGGCACGCCGGCGGATCAGGCAGCAAGCTCGACGGCCGACCCCAGCACAACGACGGCGGCCAGGACGACCACACCGACGGGCGCCCGGTCGAGGTCCAAGACAGCGGCGGGCTTCCGGGAGCCCCTCAGCGACGAGAGGATCCGCCAGATCGAGCTCGACACTATCGCCGGGCCATGCACCGCCAGGGGGCCAGGGCGGTCGACGAGCCGCCATCGCCGGGGCCATGCGCATCGCCGGCTACCGGTCGACCGGGTTGTACCTCGACGCGGTGGTCTGGCACCAGGAGAACACCCTCCACACGCCGGTCCCGCCGGAGCTCAGACGGGTGGTCAAGACAGGGGCCTGCCAGGATCCAGGCTCAAACAGGCATTCGACCTCGACGAGCTGGCCAAGCTGGTCGACGCCACTGCCCCATTCGGGGCCTTAAACGCCGGCCTGGTCGCACACGCGGTCGACGTTATCATCGTCGCCACGTGGTTTATGTTGAGAGAGGTGGAGCTTGCGGCGGCCAGGGTTATAGGGATCTGGTGGTGACGCTGTCGGCGGTGTCGCTCAACATACCGCTTCACAAAACGGCGCAGGGAGGACAGACCGACCTCACACGGCGGACCTTCCGATGCGTCTGCACATCGACGGCCCACCCCCTGTGCCCGAGATGCGCTGCTCACCGCCACCTTCGACGGATCCAGGCATCGGCGGCGGCTTCTCCCGCCGACTTCCTGTTCCCGACCAGACCGTCGGCACAGAGGTCCAAGGCAGAGTCCGCCAAGATGTTTCGACCTACCTTGACGATCAGGGCAACCGCCGGCTGATCTTCGGCGGCCACGCAGTGATCCAGCTACTCGGCCGCTGGGCGTCGACCGCCGTGGAGAGAACCGTGGCAGCCGGCGTGCCAGCGCAAGCCTTGGCAGCGGCGAGCACCTCCACAACGACGGCAGCTCCACCACTGACGGCACCATCGACGCCGGCAGCCATCCTTGACTCCATGCCGCTCGGCAGGGCACGCCGATACGGCGGTGCCAGGCCCACACCCGGCCATCCCGAGTGTCGACTTCGCTGCCGAGGTGCCGGGCGTCGAGTTCGTGCCGCGGTCGGCGACTCGGCGCCCCGGTTCGTCATGAACTGCCGCACCAAGATGGTGCACCGGCCGGGGTTCGACGAGACGACGACGGAGAGATCGGACTGGCAGGCCAAGTGCGGATGGCCATACGGCGTGCGACAGTTCTTTCACCTGGCCGAGCTGCCGCCGGAACCGGCTCTGTGCCGCAAGTGCTTCCCGACGGAAACCGTCGACGTTGAGGCACCTGGCAGTCGATTCGTCGTCGAGTTCCTCGTCCTCCACTAGCGGAGCGACGTCGGACTCCGACTGAGCCGGGAGAGGCACAGATCGACGGACTACCGTCGCCAGTTTTGCTGCACGCCGTGGGGTCGCCGCCCGACGACTTCGACCTCGACGGCCTCAAGTTCTCGGACGCCGTCGCCAGTGGCAGGGTCCGACTGCCGTGTGCGACGACGCCAGCAGCCGATGAAGGGGGCAGAGCGGCGCCAAGGTCGACGAGGGGAAAAATCACGTCGGACACACCCAACAGAGGTGGCTGACCGGCGGCCGCCAATTTGCGCCGTGGCACTATGCCAGAGACGCCATGCTCACCGACGACCAGGGCAGACTACACATCCTGTCGCCGAAGGTCAAGGAGCAGCTCCACCACATGCCCGCCGACTACACGGCGCGATCCACCGCCGGAGCACTCGACGATCGCGCCCGACACCGCCTCATTGGCAACGGCTGGCACTGGGGAGTTGCCCGACGTCTCCTACTGGCGCTGCTGGTCTTCACAGCGATGGCGCCAGCGACGGCACGACCAATACCACGGTCCCCTCGCCGATGGACGCTGCAGTGGGTGGCTTCTTTGTGGGGACCCGGCGGCCCGACCATGGCCCCAGCCCCGCCGCGGCCCGGCGTGACCTACATCCAGGACCTCGACGAGCAGGCGCATTGGACGGCGTCATGGATCATGGCACACCCCTAGGCTACCGACGCCCCACTATAGAACCGGCGTGGGAGCGACTGTTGATCATACGTCGCACATGGCGCCACGAGCTGGCCAGGATTCGCCGCGAGGTCGTCGACGAGGTTAAGACCATGATCGACGACCCGGCCGACGAGACCCGGGAGTGGCTTGCCGCACGATCGTCATGGGTCAGAGCCACCTACTCGACGCCGGATAAGCCGGCGCCGACGCAGGTCCTGGTCTTTCTGAACTTGCTCCGACTCGTCGACTACCCCGACATAGACGCCCTCGAGCAGGACATGACGGAGGGCTTCCAGATGATCGGCGACATTCGACCAGGTCCAGGATGGAGGAAGAGAGACGACGGACGTTACAAAAACCCGACGGACATGGACACCTTCCGCAGGACCAACGCCGAGTACGTCCGCCGTATAAGATCGCCCAACACGATGGCGGAGAGTTCGCCGACCAACTGCTCCAGGAGCTCATCGCCGAGAAGAAACTGGGCAGGGTCATTGGCCCGACGACGGCGCCACCTTGGCTCAACGCCAGGGCCACGGCGGATCACGGCGGTTCCCGACCAGATCGTGGCCGACACCTTGGTGGAACCGCCGCCCGGCGAGCACTTCCTGGCGGGCTCTTTTCCAGTGCGCCAAACCGACGAGAAGGGCGACCTCAAGGTCCGTCGCGCGGAAGATTGGCGACGCAGCGGACACAACGCCACGGTGTCGGTGGACGACGTCCCGACGCACCACTTCATCGGCAGCTTCGTCGACCTGGCACGACGCATGGTACAGGACACCCCCGACGTCGTGGTATTCGTCAACGACCTGCTCAACGCCTACCGTCAGTGGCCAGTTCGACGGCCGGCAGAGTAGAGTGCGGCACCTTCCTCTCGACGAAGCACGGCGTGACCTTCTGGTACCACCTAGCCATGAACTTTGGGGCCACGGCGTCGGTTTGGAATTTTAACAGAGGCGCCGACGCACTGCAGCAGCTGCTTCGAGGCCTGCTGTTCTTGGCGACGGGTCACTACGTGGACAACTTTAACGGCCTCGACGACGTCTTGCTCGGCGAGTCGGCGATGGTCTCCTTTCAGGACCTCTTCGCGGCGCTGGGCTTCCTCACCAAGGCGTCGAAGGCACAGCACCCGGCGAAGAGCCACGTCGTACAGGGTGTTGAGTTTCAGGTCGACGCACAGGGCGTCACCCTCAAACCGACGGAGATCAGGGTCGAGAAGATCATGGAACAGATCCGCCGAGCACTCGACCAGGACAGCCTGTCCCCCGCCGAGGCAGCTAAACTCGCCGGCAGAGTATCCTTCCTTACACAGGCGGCCTTCGGCTCCGTCGCCAAGGCAGCGACGAAGGCAGTGTACGCCAGAGCGGCCGACACGGCGGCATGGACGGCAGACTCTCTGTCCGACGGCCTCACCGCGGCACTGCGGTCACTGGCCAGGATCCTCCCGACGATCCGTCCCAGGTTCATCCCCTTCGACGCCAAGGACTTGGAGGTGGCGGTCTTGTACGCCGACGCTTTCTTCACCGACGGCGAGGTCAAGCACAAGGCGGGCCACGTGCCCCAAGGGGTACGACCGTCGAAGAAGGCGGCGAACGGATGGGGCTGCGTGCTGAGAATCGGCGACCAGGTCTTCTTCGACCACGGCGTGGTGCCGGAATGGTTCGTCAAGCTCTTCTCGACGAGGAAGGCATACATATACATGCTGGAGGTCCTGGCACAGCTCGTCGCCTTCGTGACCTTCGGCGCCAGGCTGCTATCGTCGCCTTCATCGACAATACCGCCGGACAGGCAGCACTCACCAAGGGCTACGGGAAAGACCCGGCGGTGAATGGCATGATCTCGGCCTTCTTGCGGCGCACCAAGGCTGGTTCGTCGAGTTCGAGCGGGTCCCCTCCAAGGCCAACGTCGCCGACGCCGTCTCCAGGGACGACTTCAGCAGAGCGACGGCCGAGGGATGGCACAGGGTTGCCACGCCGACCGACGAGATCCTCTCGATCTTCGCCAGGTTGGCGCAGGACCTTGAGTACGCTACGATGGAGGCGGCGGACCACCTCCTGGAGACGGCCAACGGCTTCAACTTCTGAGCCGGCGCGGGGTGGAGAGTCGGTGCGCACGGCGGGTGCAGAATGCACCCCGGCACCGACTCGTTCGCCGAACGGCGTGCTACAGCGCTGCTACCACACGACGAAAAAGAACAGCTGCATTCGTCGTAGTGCTCAGTTTTGGTTCAACGTCGGGCAGAGTGCGACGGTTGTTGTAATCATGTCGGCATGATATGCCTCGACTCCTAGGTGGAGACGAACTTCACTCTACAGCTCCGTGATGCCTTCGGCAATGCCGTGCCACATGTCGATGGTGTCAAAGTGCCTTGGCTGATCTTGGCATAATTAGTCATGGGATATCACTGGATGGCAATATGCGGCCTGAAGTTTTGCCTGTCGGAAAAAGTACAGTTCGCCGCAGCTGTATGTCCAGGGCTTAGATGAGAACATATCGGCTGGAACCATGCAGCACGCAACCTGACTGGCAAATATACGGAAGGGGTTGAGCTACACACTCAATCATGCAGTCAAGCAGCCAGCCGGAGTCATGACAATGCACATCTAGTACATAGAACAGGCTGGTGCAGCATGCAGCTTCAAAGCTGCAACTCTTTTTTTAAGCGCTACCAATTGAGGGTCCAGGATGCAGTACTCATCTCCTGTCGATAGAAAGGCTTGCTTGTATTGTGGTCCCTTGTGATTGTGTGTTTGGTCAAAGAACCTCGCGACCGCGAGAGGGTCGAACTCTTGCGGTGCATTTGCTGCTTGACGGGTACGAAGACCTTGCGGCGTCTACGAAGGTTGCTTCCTGCTGCTTCGAGATGTTTCCTATCAGCGGGTAAGTTTGGGGCCGTAACCTGTAATTGGCCGTAAAGTTCATTAAAGTGCCTTTGCGTTGTATATCCTCAGGTCGAGGTCGACTTGGAGTTTGTGGAGGACTGCACTTGTCGAAAGGGTCTCACAACTTTTAGATTGCAATGTGGACGTCTTGAATACTAGAGTCCTCATAGAGAGGACAGTCCCCACTATATCTGCAGCCACCAGGAAATAGAGGCGAACTTGACGTATGATGATCGACGGCTCCGCAACCTCACTGGCGGCCAGAGACCAAGCAAAACACCGAGACCCTAAGAAGTACCACCTGGGCGGTTTGTGAGGTCACTATGCGACGGCAACGTCCATCACGCCGGCCTCCGGGAAAGACTTCCTGTCTGGTTGTGAGTCCTCGCAGCTATGCCCCAGGAAGGGCGAGTTTGGCAGCTACTTCATCACTTACACCGGCCTCAGAGCCGGGATCAACTTGCTGACGATCAAGGCTCCCAGCACTGTTCAAGGAATCCTGCCTGGCTCTGGCTTGCTCTCTTGCTCTGTGGTGTCAGATGCACCTGAATGGATTTTGGGGGCTTGTCTCCAGGGTGCACTCGGTTTTCTGTTAGACACGCACACTGTTTTGCCTTTTGGTTTAGGGGCCCTGGTTGTGGACCGGTTTTCTGCAAACTTGGCTTTACTTCTGAGCAAAAGTATGCAAAAGTTGGGTTGGGCCACAAGCTGACTTTTCGCATGGTGTCGGAGGAGGCAAGGAAGAGGGCACCAAGATGCCCGGAAGAGGGGCAACTTTGCTGTCCTCGCGACCCAGGACACCAGCCCAACTCGAAGAAATTCTAAGAAGAGGGGCTGGTGAATCCTGTGTGAGGGCTTGCTGCGGCCCCATCCCACCTCGGTCAAGGCTTGAGTCCGCCTGTGGAAAGAAACGAGAGCACAAAGGATCCCTATGCATTGCCACGTCAGGATCAAGATAAGCAGCATGGATCATAGTGCAGATGCAGCCAGCACTTGCTTGCAAGGTCAACGGACTTGTGATTATGGGCCATGAGGAAGAGGTGCAGGGCCGAAGATTCACCCGGTCACATGCGATTCCTTACCGATCCCATGGTACCTGAGCTAGGTCATCTACAACCCGCCGGTTGAAGGCCAAAACACGCAGTGCCCTTAAATTGGCTCACGAGCTCTCATCAACTGCAGTATCACAGGCTTGCGTCTGTGCTGTGATCGATCGCCTGGCAAGGCCTTTGCAAGTCACAGGCTTCTGGAACGAGCGTGCGAATGGCCTGATGACAGTCTTCGCACCAGCCAGGACATGCGACTTCGGAGGGGTTTGACAGGTAACGGGTTCGGAGTCTGCTACTAGATGCTTTTGGGCCTTGGCTGACGAGTGATAAGAAACCGCGAGGTGCACAATCCCTCCCAATCCCTGCTGACAGCTCTTTGCAGCTCTAGCAGCTGAACAAACGGACTTCGGAGTTGCCTTTGCTCTTTGCTCGCGTGTCTGTTACCTTGAGCCTTGCAATGCTTTGACTTGACAGGCTTCCGGCAGAGTGTACGACTGGTGTCATCTGCGCTGTTGTGTTGCTCGTCCTGCCTGGGCATAGTCAAGCAATGAAAGCTGGTTATCTCCAGCAACGTGCTGTGACATGCTACAAGGTTCCACTTGCGGGATACTTACGGCAACCGCATGCTCGGAGACTATCACGACCAATTGCCGCTTGACAACGACTGGGACATGCCTGCACCTTCCCCGCTGTGAGGAGATGTTTTGCAGGTGCATGGTTCATCCAAATTCAGTGTGTGAGCATGCGTGCTGAACGTGCTGCCCTTTATTTGAAAGGCAGTACCGTACTGTGGACACTCAATGCAATCCGGAGATCTTGGAGGATCCCTGGTGCGTGCCGGTGGACGAGGCTGGTATGCGGTGTGGTCTAGCAACAGAGCGCAGAGATTGCTATGTCGTGAAACTCCTGGAAGAGACTGATGCCTTGATCTGGTTGCGTTGACAGGGTCACTGCTTCCAGATCGAGGGCCTGGGCGAGATGCATGCAGCTGGACGGAAATAGGAAGTACAATGACTGTGCTCAGTCGACCTAGTACTCCTGAAAGCAGGCTTGCCAACCTGAAGCATGAAGCTAGTTACTAGGCTAGTGTTCTGCCCTCATGGCTCCAAACTGATAGCAGGCCTGCGAGCTCACGCCAACGATCGGCAGCCTTGCAGCAAGTTGGGGTTCTAGCACATCCGTGCGCTTTCGTTTCGGTGGTTAGGGCTTCAGGCAACAAGTGAAACCTTCATATGTTGCTTCACCTCCCTCTCCTGTTCGAAGCTCGGGCTTTCGACAATTGGAAGTCTTTGCCTGTTCCTGAACGCCCTAATTTCATGTCTGTCGTGCTTGATGTCGAGCACCTGTTGCTGTGTTTTTGCGCGAGATGACCCTCACACCGTTGTCAGCTGAAGCGTTTCAATGAAGTTCTGCAGCCACGGCTTCTCCGAATAGACTTCCAAGTCGGATCAATCGTCTTGCTCATGGATTTGTTCGGCTAGCATGTCTCAATGGTGGAGTCGATGAAGAAGCCTTTGTTTGCTCTGGTTATCGTTCACGGGCTGCTATCGACTTCAACGGAGGAAACCGGTAGGGCATGTGCTTCTGACGCTTGCGGAGGCGCGAGGGCAGTGTAAATCTCTGCTTTGCAGAGCATGAAGAAGGAGCCGCGGTGGACCCTTCGTCGGTGTCATCCGGCCATCCAAGCCTTCCGGGCTCAGAGCAGAGTGCTGTTTACTGATGTTGCCGGCTCTCCGATCTGTGACAGTAGTTCTTGCAGAGGTTCATATCACGGACGCGGTGAACCATGACGAGTTGTCTTAGCAGTCTTTCAGCGGTACTCCATGTCAAGGAAGTCTCGAAGAAGCGGGTAATCAATTCGAAGTCGTGTGTTGTTTCTTGCTGCTTGGTCAAGCTGCCATACTAGCCACGATCGAAGACTTGAGGTGGCAATTACCTGCTGAGGCGGGGGAATGCTGCAGCGTTGGTGTTTTGATGAGTGAAAGCACCCGACAGAAGTGCGAACCTTCGCATGCACATGATATTGCGAAGGGGAAGGCTTTTCCAATCAAGCTTGGGACTTCAGCGGCTTCAGCGTTCGTCTTGCATCCCAGAGATCATGACTTCATTGTCCGGAGGCTGCTGGTGAATGGACAAGATGCCTCGTATGCTCTCTGGGCGGCGCTTCCGACAAAGTTTTAAAAACACGTCAGTTTGGCCAAGTTCGCCCTGGCATTGTGCTGGTTTAGTGCCAGGAAAGCTTGGGCAGCTTCAGCTTGGAAGACGGAGTGTCTTGGTGCCAAGGAAAGGGTGAAATAAATCAAGGACGTGGCTCTTCTTTTGCTTTTTTTGTGCATTTATCTCCAGCTATCTTCAAGCCTCCCTCTGCCCCGAAAGCCTGAACAAGACAACTATGTGAAGTGCAGCCGAAGGCTGTAGGCTGGTCAGAACATTTTTAGCTTCGCTGCTTCCCCACGCTTGCGCAGACCGCCTACATCCGCGGACCTACGGCCATCTTGGTGAACATCGGGGTCGCTTGGCACATATCGGAACGGGAACGAGAACCGACGGCAGCCGGTGCATTGCGCCTGCGCATGCCTGCTTCGAAGTGCACTGAGGAGATCAACGCCACAACCTCCACCATGGAGGGACCGGGGCGCCTCCTCGAGGGCAACTTGCTACTATCCTGTTGAAAACCTGCCTTTCTGTTGTGTGTCTTGTCTATGGCGACTTGCAAGGCAACACGGTGGGAGTCCCTCAGCCACTTCTGGTGCAACTGAAGGACCAGTATGGAAACAATCGTCGGAGTCCGAGCTTTCCAGCAGCCTTGGACCTTCCATGAAGTCGTCAGTTGTACTTTAGTTGCCGAGGCATTGTTACAGGGTCAGACTTCCAACAGCGGCGCAATGGCATCGCAGCAACGCTACCTGGACACCGGAATTGAATTTGCAAACATCCATAGCTCCGGTGCTTGCGAAAACATGATTAACTTATGTAACGAGAAAAGAATAAGCTGGAGTACTATCGTAGAAGGGGCAGTGGCTTCTGCAAGTCTTCGGGCTCCAAGCATGCGCCATTGCGCCCAGCCGAGTGTTAGTCAGCCAGGACTAGAAAATTGGATGTATTTGCGACACTGGTTTGCCTTTCTTCTTGTGCCAGACAGAGAGCAAGCCACAGTGAGGACGAGTTTCTTCTTGTGCCAGACAGAGAGCAAGCCACAGTGAGGACGAGCGAGGTGTTGATTCATTGATCGTTGTTTGACCAAGCTCGCCAGCTCTTCTAGAGTCTAGAGGGCATCGTCTAAGTAGTCGCAGGCCTGTGTAGGCGCCAAACCGGAGGGCCGTTCACCCGCCAATCAGTGCGCGACCTTGTAACTGTTTTTTGCTGTTGTGAGTGCACCAGCTTCCACACGTGTCTGCTTCGTTGTCATGGCTATAGAGAAGGCTTGGTGACCGTGAGCTGGACACGATCGTCTACGACAATGGGACTATCGAAGTTACAGTGTCGCGGTGTGTCCAGTAGCGCTTGTCTTGTGAATGATGTCCACGAACAGATCTATGATCCATTCTTTGAGTTTTGTCGATCCCTCACCGTCCTGACCGTGAGGTGCTTGCAATTCAAGCAGGCTACCACAATCTTCGTGTAAGAATTGGAGCAGGCTGCCTCCAGGCAGACATGGCCGAGGGCATTTGGGGTGGGATCATCTGTAGCCTCGGGCGGGAAGCACGCGTGCATGGCAAAGAATTGCAGGTGCCACCGCGTGATCCTTGTGAAGACATTTCGGGTTCCCCGACTACTCTGCTCTGTCGCTGGGCTGAGCATATAGATGGGAGAGCGGTGTGGCACTGCATCGCGCCAGCATCGTCAATCGGGCAGGAAATGCTTAGGAAGTATGTGAGGTGCCCATAGAATGGTGCAGATTTACATGTATCGAAGCCAGTGCGGGGCTCTGGTACGAAAGCTCAGGGTGGAAAGAGGCGGAAGTCTCCGAGAACGGAATGACGTGCCAAACACCTTATGCAATGGAGGTGCCTTGGCAAGCAGGAAGGAGGCAAGGGACGTCACAATCAGAGCCTGATTTCATGTTTCGTCACTTCCTGAGGCAGGGAGACAGTATCACTTCACATGCACCGGACGCGATGTCTTCGGCAACATAAACAGAGACCATGAGCTGCAGCTGACCTCCTTCTTCAACTACGTGGCCGTGACGTGTCCGGAATAGTAGCCGAAGCACTCAGCAGTATCGCGATTCCTTCGCGCGCCAAGGATCCAGAGGGCTTTGAACCGCCGGATGGCTGGTTCCGTAGGGCGCTCAGTCTGGAGCTGCAGAAGACACGGAATACAGGACACACAGGACAGCTGCTTGCCTTTGTGTTGAACATTGCTAGCTAATCTAAGTCTAGCTGCACAAGCACTGCTTGCCCAGGCGGCAACCTAAGTGAAAACTTCAATCAGACAGTTCCTGGCAGCTATCTGGCATCGGATGGCAGGCTCCCTTGCATGTCTGGCATGTGACGTCACATGAAACAGCTGCTCCCGTCGATGGGCTGCTGCACACTATATTCGCGCTTGTGATTTTAGCGGTTCTAGCGGGTAGCCCAATAACGGCTTGGTTTTGAGAAGCAATGTTGCCCTGACAGATGCTCCGGTGCAGGTATCATTTCGACATCACGCTGTACCGAGCCGGCTTCTACGAGCTGATCATTGAGATGGTCAAAGGTGCGACGGTAAGCACACCCAGACGGTATGTTGGTATGTTTGCTTGCCCAACGAAGCAGCCACCATCAGCAGGCTGGCTAGACGAGATACTAGCTGAGCTTTGAGTTGCAGTCAGTCACAATTAACATGAGACCCCTGACAGTTGGTTCCGAGCCAGCCATCGTCTTGGCAAGCAATGTGCTGGCAGAAGGTGGGTGGCCGCTCTAATCATTTTCGGACTGGAGTGTGTGAGAGCGATGGGTGCATGATGACACTTCAAGGCCTTCGTGGCTGCAGCTTACATGTCAACACGAAGTAGTACATCGCACGGTTAAGGGCAAAGTAGTATTACCCTGAGCACCATACGGTACTGACAGCATGCATCCCACCTGACGCCGCTGGCAACTATGGCCAGGACGCCCTGCGGGTGAAGCGACTTACGTGCTTGGATTCCCGTCGCTGTGGCTCTGTCTGAAGAAAGCGACGATCGGAAGAGCATGTCACACTACTTTCAGGGCTGTCGCTCTCTGATGAGGCCTTCCTTCATGTCGTCGGTGGTGGGTGGCTTTGTCACAGCTGTCGCCAACGTGGCCAACGAGGCATATTGAGGATCTCCAAGGTTCGCAGTTCTCACGGCATGGCTTCTCTCCTAGTGCCAGGTTTCTGTGCAGACACGGGACCGCTTCGGCAACGCCGTTGAGACCGCAAGCAGCGCAACTTGGCCCTTTGAAAGACGAGAGAGCAGAGAGCTTCTGCTGTGGCAGAGCAGAGCCTTCGAGCGCCTTTCTCAGGCCGAGGTGGTTGCGCAACTGCGGGGACGCTCTCCGGTTCAGCTGTCCCTGCTGCATCTCATACAAGGTGGGTTTCCAGAAGCTGCAAAAGCTGCATAAACATGGCTCGACTGCACATGGAGCGGAGCGGAGAAGGGGGCATCGTCGGGTTAACCTGACTTGGACAACCTCAGTCTCGGACGCATGTCCAGTGAGATGTTTTGAACTGATCTCTTACGCAGGTCGGTATCGTGGGGCCCTTGTGCCATTTGCTGCGGGGCCGACCCTTCTGGAGATCCTCGTAGCTGGGGAGGAGATCGTGGGCTCTCCGTGCCCAGGCTGAAGCTTTCACAAAGTGCTGGCAGGTACCTACGCTTTCCATAGAAGTCGGTGTTGCAAGGCTTCAATGAAACATGTCCAGCGTCGTTCTCATGAGGTTCGATTTCCTGGTCACCCCGGGCCCTATGGTGACCACAAACTCGTGTCTCGGCCAGTGCATGAGCTTGACGATATTGGGCCGTACCTGTGTATACAGAACATGTCGTCACACTTTTGTGATCTTGTATGCAATATTGCGGACGAGGACTCCTGTCTTTACCATCTGAGGCTTGTCGAAGGCTTTCCCAGCGAGCTCACTGCCGGTGTACTGTCATGCTGGAACATAACATTGAGGGATGCGGCTTGCCTCACATAGATGCAAGAAAGACCGGATGGACGAAAGCCAGTGCGAAAGCGGGACATAGCAGGACCGGAATCACTTGCCTCTTGCAGCAACCCGATGGGAAGATCAAGTGTATGCACCAGGTGTGCACTAGGAACGTTTGTAGTCTGAACGGCGGCCCGACGAGAGGCTGGAGAGAGAGAGGCTATTCAAACCCTCACCTTCCCACAAGTTCGCAGGCCATTTCATGCAAAAAGCCTATCTCCGGTTGAGAATTGATCTCTGATCTGTTAGATTTCAATCTTGCCAGTTGCTTCCTTTCTACAGGTGCGGTGCAAGGCAGAACCTCGCCTTTGCACGCACGCACTGGCCAGTAGCTAGAGATGTTCGTTTACGCTACTGCGTACGGTGTGGTTGAGGCGTAGTTAGGCCGGCCGGTCTTCCGTCAGGTCCTGAACAGTACAAGAGGGAGAAAGCTTTCCATTGCCAATACCTTGAGGCCACAGAGAACCACTTGCTCTCCGGGCAGTTCGCGGGAGACCCGACACAGCTCGAGCCTGTGACTTGCTCAGACCCTGGCTCTTACTGCCACTCTTCAGCAGGAGAAGGCGGCACGTCCGAGGTACGTTGCATTTGGTAGGTGCGATGATCTTAGTTCTGGTGAAATCCAAGCTGCGTGTGGCGCAGTACTGAGCCAAGGCTTCCATACTCAGCTGCCTTCAAGCTGCATTTGGGTTTCATGTGAGCGTCCCACCTGCGGGAATGTGGAAGCTTCGAAGTGGAGGTCTTCGTTTGCGCAGTGGTGTTCCATTAGGCACAACATCATACAGCAGGCATGCGGTCTGTGACAGCTATTGAGGAATGGAACATTCACCTGCTGCATCAACAAGACTTCCGTTGAAGAAGTGCCTGCAAACTACTTGATCGCTGCTTGGCAACCATGTAACTGTAACGTCCTTGCAGTTCAGCCGGAAAGGTGAACGTGCCAGGTGAAGGTGCCAAATGTGTTTGCCGCATATAAGGATACATTCCCATTCACCTGCCAAATTCGCGGCGACAACATCTTCGCACCAGTGCCTTATCGCAGGTGGCACTAGCACTCGCAGCCTCTTGTGCCCGGATGGTGTCATAAGGAAACCATCAAGCTGTGGCCACATCCGGTGTCGCCCTACTGGCCGGACAGCAGCCTGAAGAGTGCCTCGGCTGTCTTCCGCTTTGACGAAGATGACTGAACGATTGATTTTCTTCTCGCCCGACGACGATGACGACGATGACCGTTGCTGCAACATCTTCACTTTACGCAACGATTTCTTCGCAAAGGCAAGCGTCACGGACTTTGAGAATTTAAACTTTCATTTTCACGGTAGATTATCCGTCAAAGATGAATCTCTCTATCCAGTGAGTTGCCCTGCTACAGCAGGGTAGGGTTCTGAGCCATCAGCCCAATCGTTTACCCAAAAGGATTGTAAATCAGGGAACCATATTAATCAGTTCATGTATCCTTATCAGGCACACCGTCAGCTCGTCGGAGTTGTACAAAGCATCGTAACCAGCGCCGGGATTAGGACTGCAAGAAGTGCAGGGGCCTAGATACTCAAGACTCGAAAGTTAAAGAGGGTCTCTCAAAGCTTCACGTGCATAAAGAGTTACTCGCTCAAGACATCTTCGGTAATCGCCCAAAGAAGTCGACATGAACTTTCTGAGTATGTATGTATATGTTTTTGACTAACCTTGTCCCTAAAACGCGTTGTTCACGGCTGGCTGGTAATCACTTTCGGCAATTATCAGGGGTTGAAAGCAAGAGTCTTTCTGATGGTTGCATACTCCAGCATGCTAATGACATCTCGGCAGACTCCCCGGAAAGCCAAACACACGCTGATGCATGACTGCCGAAAACACTCAGTTGGCAGCGGTATGCTTGGACCGTACGACTTCCCGACTTTCATCAACGAGCAGTTTGGATGGAAGGCCGGCCAGTCTCGGAAACGAATGCCAGCATGACATTGCACAGGCAATCACAGGCACCTCAGGCAAGGCGGTAGTTGGAAGTCATGGTAGTTTGTCGCAGGACTGGCCGACAAACTATTTCCGCCGTGTGCAGAACGTTGACAGCGGGCAGCCGCAGCATCAATGGAACCGCTTGCGCACACTGGCTTTAGCATTGCATGCGATCTCGCATGAGTTTTGCGTCGTTCAGTGCGTGACGCCAGCCGAAGTCTGCCCAAGGCTTGTGGTACACCGATGGTTTCTACAACGTATTTAAAGGCAAGGCTAGTCGTTGAGCTGCAGTTGCAAAGAAAGCCGTGTCTGCATCTAAACCACACATAGTGGCCACTGTGCCACTTGGCATGTCCTCTGGAAAACACACAGAGCATCCGGATGTGCAGGTGATGATGCAGCCATCCTCCTGTGCGATGTCAAGGGCCCTCATTCGCTTGGAGTCAAAACGCTTGGACGGCAGCTCGACAAGAAAAAGAGTGAGCCGAGAGAGCGGCAGCCGGCAGCCGCATGAATGTTCGCCCTCGATTTTGCAAGACTCTCAGTTGCGAGTGCGAGCCCGGAGCAGCTGCACAAGTCCTTCAGTCCTTCTCATTCTGCACCTGCTACGAGCTGCTACTCAAGTAGCTGCACCAACGTCCAAGGCCCACCCGATCGCTGTATCGACTGCCCTACATTTTGGATCAGGAGCTCGGAGTTTTCGAGGCTCGTATCTTGTCTTTTCCCTTTGAGGTTTTCAGGTGAGGCCGATTCAACCGCATGTCATTGTGGAGCCATCTGCTCACATAGCCGCGCCCAAGCCTCTGAATAGCTGGACACTCGAAGAAGAATGTCGCTGGTCTGTTCATGCCGAAGTGCAGTTGGAGCCTCTTTCGATGCAGGTTGAGCTCAAGTTCGAGAGAGCCGGATATCACAAGGCCGATCGGTGCAACCAATCGACTGCACATCCTCACTGAAACAGAAAGCTGCATAACGTGCACTGGCTTCTACTTTCCGATGTCGAATGAGTCGTATCCACTCAAGACCTGCAATCACGATTCATTCGTTCCAGTTGTTACGTGTTGTAAATCCGACAGGTCTTCTGCTCCACTGCAGCGCGTGGTGGAATGAACGTAGAGTACCTGCCTCAGGTCAGATGCATGGAGAACGCTCCATATCACTCTCTCGGAAGGGAGCAATCATGAGACGAAGTGGATTAGTGCTCATACCTGCTGCTTGCAAGCCCCAAGCCCTGCCACGGAGCTAGCAGGCCTCAGCACGTAATGAAGTGGGACGTTGCAATGCACATCCGCTCACAAGGCTGCCTGTAAATGACCCCCCAACCTTCAGCAAGAGCACCTGCAACAGACGCGTTGCTGTGTGGCTCGCTCGGTCTCTGAATATTTTGGATGTCATATAGCATGAAGTCTAATGCATAAGCTGTTTCTACGAGATGTTCCTGGCGTGTATGCGCACATGGCAATGCGCTAGTGTCACAGGTCTCGTGCATGTGACTGTGACAGCGGCTGACAGAGGTACCGAGACACTGATGGCAGTACTTTCCGGCGCGTTGTGGAGGCCTTGCAGCTATCCCAAGTCAAGTTTATGATCTTTCTACACAAGTCGCTTGTAGTAGCACTGTGAGGTGCGCGGAATGTGGGCCGGAGCTAGACAAACAAAGTACTAGAGAAGCACGAGGACATGTACAAGTAGGAGTGCCCACATTCAAGCGGCCAATCGGCAGCATGAAAGTATACAGTAAACATGTCAGGCTACGACAAGACAGATGCAGGGAGAGGGAGAGAGAGAGAGAGAGAGAGAGCCGCATATTCTATGGTTGTATGCTGATTGCTTCTTCTCTTGCCCGACCAGCATTAATTGAGTGTGCGAAACAGCTGATTCATCATACCGGAAGCGTATGATATTCTGCATCATCTTTCTCCCATCCCGACACTATCTTTAACTCGAGTTCTTTGTTGGTGTTCAAATATCGGGGGAATGGGGGAAAATGATTTTGCATGTGTCGAACTGAGATCGATTGAACATGGTCAACGTTATCTTGTACTTGATGACTGTAGCCGAGACCATGTTTATCGTTCGTTCGTCACCCCTCACACCCCTCAACACGACGGGGGGGCATGATGCCCGAGGGCGTTGACCCGCCCTCATGCCCAGGAGAGAGAGAGAGAGAGAGAGAGAGAGAGAGAGAGAGAGCGAGCCTACCCTCCTCGCCCTTGAGCAAAGCAAAGCAAAGAGAGAGGGAGAGAGAGAGAGCGTATGGCTTTAGCTCAGACTGTGTTCATCATTCGTTCGCCACCCCTCATAACCGTCAATACGACGGGGGGGCCAGAGGCCCGAGGGCGTTGACCCGCCCTCGAGAGATAGATAGCCGACCTCTGACCCCAAAGCCTTCTCTTCCACCGCCGCAGTGGGGAGAGGGGGGCCGAAGGCCCGGGTCCGCCTGGCGGACTCGTCCCTCGCAGTCGAAGTCGAAGTCGAAGATAGATAACATGCCAGGTTAGAACAAGACAGATAGCGGAGAGAGAGAGAGAGAGAGATAGACTTTCTGACTGTTGCAGGCAATCTTGACCGCTGCACACTTGCCCTGCTGCACCACACTTTTGCACGATGCCAGCACTGTGTGCCGCTACAAAGCCCAGATGCCGTAGGCATGCAGAGGTAGCACTCAGCATCTCTCTCAGCCTTTCAGAGACAGTTTTAAGTGGAGGCATCAGCCCGGCTGCAGTACGTACGCCTTAGTCAGCCTTAGTCCATTCTGTTTGCTTAGTCGCCGTCTTGTTTGCCAAACTGACGGATGCTGCCACTTTTTCTTTAGTTGGTTGGACCGGTTGCTGTAGGAGAGAGAGAGAGAGAGAGAGAGTATCAAATTTTGGCTCAAGCTGGACTCGCACTCAGCCAGACAGAGGTTAGGAAGCAATGCACGAAGGTCATTGAGCGACAATTGATTACGGGTGCCATGTCGTTAAGTCGTGCTCCAGAGGTAGTACGAACCCACGTACAGAAGATAGGGGCAATGCAGGCGTGCTGATTTGGTAGACCGGGGCAGATGCAAGTCTGGCGCTGTTGGCTGGCTATGGCAACGTCCCTTCATCCTGGTGCTTGCGAGCTTGATGATTGAGACTTTGCCTCCATGGAAGAGATGCCAGGGCTGGTGGCTGCCAGTGACCCGCAACGCTTCCCACGGTGGACGATAGAAGTTGACGTAAGTCCATGGGTTGATGGCTCCCCTTCGTCTCGGCTCTGTATGCACGCTTAGAGGAAGCACTTAGAAAGGCTTCATGCATTGCTTTGCAGCGTTCGGTTGAGCCATCCTCCGGGGCCCGACCTCTGCACATTCGATTGCGTTTCACCTCGTCGATGAACCTTGAATGTGCATCAATTCGCGGCAACGATAGAACATGTTTCGGTTGATCCCAACGGTTTCTGAAATCACACATGAGCATTAACGGTGGCACCTTGAGCGGGAACCAGGGCAAAAGCCAAAACCGTGGCAATCTGCTGTATGCATGTGCAAGACTTAGCCTGGAGCCATACCGCCCTAACCTTGAACATCGAGGAGAGAAGTCTGTGATCTTGAAGTTTAGGGTCTAGGTTGGTTTAGCGGCTCAGGCGCGCTCGTCACCTTGTTCTGCGTGCATTGTCTGGTTGAACCCAATGGTAACCTGTTGTATACCTTCTCGAGATCCTGCCGAGGTGCTTTCTGCAGATACTGCAGCATGCCTGATTTCTCGAGTATTAACTTAATGCTACAGATCAAGAAATGGAAGCAGAGATCACAGCACTGCCTTGTCCATTGTCGATTTTGTTGATGGTATTTCAGTTTCTAACTGGAGTCGAGGACTGACGTCAGTATCAACGTGCGAAAGTAGCCACTACTAAGTCCAACACTAAGGGATCCAGCACAGACCCGCCGACACACTCCCAGAGCATGGCAGGACAACCCGAGCACCCCAACACCATTGGGGACGGCAGTCCTGGAGCAGCCCCCGCAGCAGCAGCTCCAGCTTTTACGGGGACGGTGGGCCAGGGCTCACAGCGGACCCGAAACAAGGGCAGGAAGACAGAGATCCAGGCGGACTTTCAGAAACGAGGGTGGCGAACGAGACCACCTGACATGGTGATTGGTGACAGGTCGAGCACTGACTCCACGGTACCGGCCATCCCCCAACCAAACCAGCCGGGGGCAAGGGGCACCACGGTCCAGCCTGAAGTTCCCACTGCCGCCCTGCCACCCAACCACCACCTGACACCAAGCTAGGAGAAGACCACAAGCAGCAGCCCTGGCAGAGGCAAGACGAACACCAGCAGTGCGTGCCCCCGCGCGACGTCACCGGGCTGGAAGACAAACAGCAAGGCGGGCACAGCAGCGAGCCACCACGACCGACGATCCATCTGCGGCCAGACCGAGCCCACCTGACGTGGCTTGAAACAGCCACAAAACCAACTGCCGCCAGGCCTGCCACTGAGACGAAACAATAGACTGCTGGCTTTCTGCAGGCACAATGGCCGATGGTCATTCTGGCGGGGAGGGTGCTGAGCCTACGGGGCGAAGGCGATCTACCCACAGATCCTTTACGAGCCACAGAAAGCACGACCATGCAAGCCACCCCCAGGTGGGGATGAGTCCCACAGCGACGGAAGCGCGAACGAGCGGTGCTCCTGGAGGGACATGTGAGAGGAGGTCAGAAGATCAATTGCATGGGAGACCTGTCGTTGCTATAGTTGATCCTCGCCGCCATGGAGGAGGTTCGCCATTCTGGACACGCAGGAATCTTCCTGGCAGTGGGCAGATGACGCTTTAGGAGGACTCCGTGTTGGCTGTGGGCTTGGGCTCAGATGGAGAGCCTGTGATCGAGCTGAGACGCATCGAGCTGAGACGCACTGGTCGAGAGATCAGGTCGTGTGAACACCACGTTCGGCCGAAGGGTCCGCAAGAAGGAGCTGGCAAAGGGGGGTCAATCAGGCAAAGGTGCAAAGCAAGCCTTGCCAGAGGTCGCCGATGCATCGAGCAGCTATTTTGCTCCTGCATCTCGCAAGACAAACTGGCCTTCCCAGCCAACCCAGTGTACGACTCCAAGAACGTGTGCAGGGTGAACCAATTTGCAGGCCAAACCCTGAGCTCCCTGGCCAAGCGAACGTCCATGTTCTTCGAGCTGGACTTGGTGAGGGTGCGGAGCCGCGAGGCCTACGCTAAGCGAGGCCTACGGCAAGCAGGTCTTCCGAGTCTGCGGTGAGATCGAAGCAGAGCTCACGGCCAACGAACCTGCAAGGCATCAGCTTCTGCGGCTGCTGAAGCGCCTGGACTCCGCCACGCACCATGGTCATGTGCTCTAAGGATCTATGGGGGGCCTTTTGCTCCTTTTCCTACTGGTGCCCTCCGCTTGAGAACTTTCCTGTGCAGTCAGTCTAGCACGACCTGCAGGCAGAACATTTCTGCACAGTCTGATCGACCGGCATCGTGGGCCCTGCTGCCACGCCAGTGCTGGACTCCTGGACCCTACCTCTAACCCATGGCCCGCATGCTCTATGCAAGTGGCGGCAGTGAAGGGGGATGCAGACGGCGGTCAGGGACAACCCTGTGTTTGCTTGCGTGTTTTCTCCCCGAAAAAACCTTGACGCGGAAAACGCATGAGCACATACCCGCATTACATGCAACGATTATTCTGCGACCATCCAAAAACAGAGGTTACCCGGGCCATTTCATAGCAATTTCTCGCTGTGCGACGGGCGGGTTAGCCGGGCCATTCTATAGGGATGCCTGGGTGGTTGTCGGCATCCATGGCGTCATATGGCAAAACTAGCCCGGGCCATTTCCTAGTAATTCTGCGTCTGCGTCGAGGAAGGTCAAGCGCAAACCCAAGGTTGCCCGGACCATTTCATAGACCACTTTCCCTATATAATGACCCGGGTAACATGCCCCTGTACATCTAAGATCATCTAACGGGGATCTTTTCTCTTTGTGGCAACACGTGGCAATCCACAACAGTCGGGACGCACAAGCGCGCGCGGGCGGGGGGGGGGGGGCGTATTCCCCAGCCCACAGCCCTAGTGAAAGAAAACAGAGCAAAGCAAAGCAGAGAGAGAGAGAGAGAGCAAGCAAGAGAGAGAGAGGTAGAGAAATGGGGGGGGTTGATGTGCAGGGAGGGGGGTCAATTCCCCTTTCCTCTACCCTTGCGAAAGAAGACAGAGATAGAGGAACAAAGCCAGATCTTGATTGTTTCCCATATTGATCTTCACAATTTTTGCACTCTTGAAACTTCATCTCGACGTCGCGCTCTCGCATCACATTTTCTCGCGTTTGCTGCACACATTTCTTAAGCACTTACCTGCCAACAGGCACGTCATCACTTCCCATGGATCCAAGAGGGATGCTCGTGACACTACTGCTGGAACAGATTCGTAGATTCAGAAAGCGGCACACCTCCGTCAACGCAGGGTGTCAACATCTCAGCTTTGGACCAGCTGCCTGTGGACGAGCAAGGAGGTGGAGATTTCCTGCCGAAGCATTGAAGGTAGATAAGTCAGCGGTCAGCTTGCACAGTGCTCCAGTAATTTGCGACCCCACAGCGCAAATGACGCTGTAACACTGTAGGCTCAGCGCGGTGGGATGCCCTGCTGTATCCACCAACGTCTGCGTGCCGTTGCGGCAGTCCAGATTGGACATGGATGCACATGGTATGATCTGATCGCTTGGAAGACATGCGATTGGAGCCAGTACTTCTCCAATTCTCATGTTCAGTTTCAGCCTACTTGTAGGAGGTCGACCATGTTGAGAACCAAACTTTGCTTGTCCCAGGAACTACACCCTTATTCTTGTATGTCGTGGAAGGGTGCCTTGGACCGTGGAAACTTCGTGAGCTCAAACTTCGAACGTGGCGTCGTGTCATGTAGACTGGTGTCTCCGCCTCATAGCTGGTACCACTTTGCTGTGTCGGCAAGGATGCGGTGCTCATCTTCAATTCTTCTCTGCGGGCAAGCACCCTACTATACCAGTGGCTGTAGGCGAAGGAGAGGGTTGGTGCCGGTTTCACCTGCTAGCTAGCCTCGCTCTGAGGTCACAATTTCAACAACAGATGACACCGTGGATCAGGCCTCACGTGTTGCCGTGTGTTTCATACCTGTGTTGAGAGCATGCTTAAATTTCTTGAGACCTGCAGCGTTGCAGGAGCAGCTTGCGGTTATTGGACCGTTAGACCTGCAAGCGCAAACGGCGCCATTGCCTCGGGAAGGGTTTGGCTTCGGATGTCTTGAGCGTCATCTTGCAGCGCTGTTCCTGGGTGAGTCAGTCAGTGAGTCCGTCAGGTATTCGGTGCAAGTGGCTTGGACATCCCACTCCCTCAGCTCGTCGGTACAGCTGCGATGGGCCGCGTGGACTTCACAAAAAGAAGGTCACCGTCAGTTGCGTCGTCTGGTAGTGATCAAATCTCAGCCAGCTCTGAGTCCAGCGATGGTGGCATCCCAGAGACCATCCTGCCTGCGGAATACCTCTACAACTCGCTGGGGCCTTCAGAATCCTGAGATGATGCTCGCAGTTTGCCCGTGCCATGGCTCTGCAATCTGGGAGTTACTCAGGAAGACGCTGTTGTCTGGAGCCTTGGATTGGTTTAGTCAGTGCTCGCGCCATCTGAATCGCAGCGTCCGAGAGTGTGACAAGAAACGTGAGCAGGTTATCCCAAGACCGTGAACGTCTCCGACGTGCCTGGTCCAGTGGAAGCCTTCGAGCGAGTGCAACCGTTCGAGAATGGCAAGGTTGGAGTCCGGAAAAGGCTAACTAGGTCGCCTCTGCTAGAGACATCGATCCCTGCTTCCCTGAGATCCGTCTTCGCTGGATGCCGCCACTAGTTTCTTCGGCCAGAGCATAGAGAGCACTTCGCATGCTTGAAACCTTGTGTAAGCCTCATCAGACATGCACCCACAGTCTGCATGTTCTTGGTGGCCCAGGAATCTAATGGCAGACCGATCAGCTCGTACCGCCTTCGCCATGCTGCTTGGTACGGAAGTCAGCATGGCCTTAGTCTTTCGCGGACTTCTCTTCTCTAGTGTTCGGACTATTGAAACCAGCAGCAGGACGACGGCTTGGGCGGCGATTTCACGAAGGAGGTGAGAGTGGAGGTGACATGGCGACCGTGTGGGATGTAGCAACCCCAGTCTCGAAAGCATCGGCACAGGCAGGCAGGCCATACGCCACGAAGTTTTACAATGTCCAAATTGTGACCATATCGAAGTTTTCGCAACATGTTACTGCAGTCCGTTTGCTGTGAGCGAGTTTAAATTTGTAGTCTGATGAGGACGGTTTAGGGTTTAGGGTTTATTGCAGCTTGCCATAAGCATTGTGCATTTTTCTGCAGGTGTCCTTCCTCACATTCAGCGAAGTAGCTCGGTGGCAAGAGCTTGACCCTTCGTTTGGCATGGGTGCCGAACGTCATAGTCAGTGGCCCTGACCCGCTACCGACCGAGGTCATCCCAGCAAGCTTCACAGAGGTCGAGGTTCCTGTCCCAGACTCATATGGCTCCTTGGCCTACATGTCGTATCGCTTCGGTCTTTCTGGCCAGGGGGACTTCCCGGGGGCCCTGGACCCCCTTCTGTAAGAGCCAAGCGATGACAGCTGCGAGGCAACATCGATTCACTCCTGGATCCAACGAAGTTGTACCGTTTCGTCGTTGCCTGAGCTTTGTTCGGCACGGCAGCTTTGCAAAGGACGACGACGACCCCTCGTACTCCAACTACTTACTACTACTTACTAATTTACTACCTGTTACTACTCCTACTCCCACTCCCACTCCTACTCCTACTCCTACTACTACTGCTGCTGCTGCTGCCGCTGCTGCTGCCGCTGCTACTGCTACTGCTACTGCTACTAAGTACTGCTACTGCTACTGCTACTGCTACTGCTACTACTACTACTACTACTACTACTACTACTACTACTACTACTACTACTACTACTACTACTACTACTACTACTACTGATTTTGCCTTTGCAAGGAGCTGCGGGCTAGCAATGACGACCGTGCAGATCGCGACTTCCAGGCAACCCCCCGAGTGGACGCAGCCTTGAAGCTGTTCGGGGTGGTGATGGCAGTGGCGTGTATCCACATACGTACCGTCGTTTTACCCATGAGGTAGGCATGACCCCAGCTTCGGTCCTTGACACAGGTCGACGGAGGTGGCATCTCAGATCAGCCAGTCGTCATAGCTCTTCAGCCGGTGGAGAAGGTGAAGCTGGCATGAAGTGGGACTCTCAAGTCGGTTTGGCATTCACCACCTGAAGGCTGGTGCTCCGCTGAAGCCTGTGCTTGTGGAGTCGCAGGAGCACGAGGCAGTGGTAGTGGCTCTTTGATTCAATGTGAGCCCACGTCAGCCATTCCGCACCAAGCCTGGCAGGATGGAACTGGATTTATCAGGACCCACATGCAATCATATGCAATCCACCAATGGGTCTCGTGCAGTTTCAAGTGCTGATATCCGAAGCTACCTTTCTGTCTGTCCGCCGCACAGTTTTGATGAATTCAGAGGAACCTTGGCGCAGGATTCGAATCTCACCACCGCGAGAGACCAGTGGTGGGCTGATGGTACAGTATCGTGTGCCTTGGTGGGGAACGGTCCTACTAGTACGGGTAGTCGTGTCACCGTGCTTGTTTTTGAGTGGTAGTTGGGATGAGGCTAGATTCAAGCAAGACTCAGAATCCAAGTTGATTTTTCACGGCATCTAAGTGGGCTAGATCAGAAACTGTCGCAAATCAGATTGTCCACCCTTGGAGTGGCCGTCGGACTCAGAAGCCACTGCTTGCACATTGTTCACAACGGCACCCATCATCGCGCGAGGATGGGTTTTGGATGTGACTTTCAGAAGCTATGATGCGAGTCTCCCACTCGCCGCGAAGGGTCATGGTCTCTTTAATCTCTGCTACGAGGCCCTAAACCCTCGTATCTCCCGTGAGAGCGTGAGACGGCGCTCGTGAGGTCTATGCCAGCTACATCCTGGATGGCGTGTTCCCGCCTCTGGAGCTTTGGGCCGAGGCGAGGCATCCGAGCATATCCGAGCAACATGCAGCAACCCACATCAACCCACGCACAAGCGCCGCCAAGTCTGCAGGGCTCGACCCCGCTGGAGACCGTGGATGTAACGCTGACGGATCTCACCGTCGGCCGGACCTACGTGCCTTGTCACACTGATACAGCAAGAGGTGCCTGCGGCTGACGTGATGTTCGAAAACCAAGGTTTTTGAGGTGGCCTATCTTTTCTCGCAGGGTGAGTCTGAGAGGTGCCGTGGATCTGCTCTGTTTATACGGTGATTACTGTAACAGCTGACGAACAGTCCTTTTCTCTCTTTGTGGTTCGCATTCGCTAAAAACTGACTGTTATGTACACACATGGGTGGCCATGGGTGCTTTCCAGAGTTTGGTGCTCGGAACCCTGTGTGGGGTATGGCAGTCGCCAACAGCATCTGGCTGACAGGAGCCCTCCTCTGGAGCTGATTTGCTGCTATGCGGCGATTCCCCAAGCTCCGAGCAGCTTGCCACACATTGGTGGATATTGGTGGGAACAGTTATTAGGAGGCACATTGGTTACGTCGTTTAGTGAAAGCGGATACCTTGGAACTTCACTGGATCGAACCATGCGCTTCACAGACAATGCATGCTTTCTGCCCCGGGCCTCATTTGGGCGGGTCGTTTGGGCTTGGAGAAAATGATGGGACAGCTTTTGCTCAGGCTCCTGCTTCTTGTGCACTTACGGTGTTTGGTGCGCGTGCCCCATCAGGGAACCTTCGCCGCAAGAGCGACACTGGTGGACTTCCAGTTCAGACGGACGATCGCATCACGATCCCAAGCCGCAACTAACTTGTGAAGCAAAAGTTGTCTGAGGATGGCTGGCAGACTGGCCCTCTGGCATGAGAGCTCCGACTCCGAAAAGAAAAGGCATCCGCTAAGTGAACTCCAAAAAATATTACCGACTCGCACAAGCAAACCAAAGTCCCAGGCCTCAGCATACTTCTAGCCTCTGCTTGCGAACACTATCATCATTTGTTGCTAGGCTGCTAGGAGTTGGTTATTCACATTCTGCGCTTGCCTCAGGGTCATATGGGATGCCCCGACTTTCGCTGGTGTCCGCGACATCACCCACTACAAGGCTGGCACTTAGCCAGTTCCAGTTCCTACATAGCTGCTTCAGCATTTGCAGGGGACGTTCACTGCTATGCACCGATGCACCATCTTGTGGCTTTTACACAGAGCACTCTTTCACCACGAAGACGCACCAGTAAGTACGTTTCACAGGATGCATCCGCCGGCGCGATCTTTGCATCGCTTAGGTGAGCTTGACACCGGTCGTGGTTCTGCAATCCAGCGAGAAGCTGCGCTCGTCCGAGGTGCTTAGGAACACAAGGCCAGCAATCCCATGTGGTGCTACCGTCACTTTCAGTTTGCCCACCCTTGTCTTTCTGGAGCTGAGAGCTCGCAGTAGCCCGCTTGTTCGATAAGACCATTCCGGAGCTTGCAGCATTATGTCGCATCGTCACTGCGAGGTCAGCAGACGATCGTGAGATGCAGTTCGACAGTCTCTCAGCAGGACAGACCTACGCGCTGCTCAGCTGGGACTCGGACGTGCAATGGGGGATGAGAAAGTGAAACATCGCTGGCTTCCGTCAATGGTTGAACAAATCGTCTTCAGGTTTGAGGGATCCGGAGTGAAGGATCCGGAGCTGACTCCTAACCAAGATGAACACAAGAAGCTTGGGGCAAGGGCCTTGCTCGTAGAATGCCGTTGAAATTTGAGAAGTATGCATGATACGGATAGGCCTGCATGGGGTATCGTAGTCACACAAGCTCTTCGCGAGAGATGCTTGGCTGAGCATGCTGGCATCTCGTCAGAAAGCTGCTCGATTGAGTTAGCTGCGCATTCTTCGGAGTTGAAGCTTCCAGGGGAGTGCACCGCACGGGCTGTACGTTCATGGTGTAAAGAAGGCTTCGAGTGGCGGCAGTCTCGGGTGCCGGAGATGGACCTTGGAGCGAAGAGGTGGCAGCTTGGCAGTGACCCTGACACACCCGCTCCTGTGCAATCCTGAAGCCCCGACCATCGTTTCCAGCTGCGGCGATGGTTTGTTTTGCGTCTCCTGGGCTCGAGCTCAGGTCATGCCGGCTTCGGGCTACAGCACGGAACCGCGCGACTTGGCAGACGAAATGTGAAGAGAGGTCGTCAGAGAGCAGCAGCCAGGCTCTCCGACAGCGTTTGAGGCTAGAAATCAGTGCTCTGTATTGGCTGGAGGGGCTCTGATTGCGCTTGCTTCTTGTCAAGAGGGCGGAGTCGCGCCCTCACACTCATTGACGATCTTCCAGACCAAACAAGTTGCTCAAATCGAAGGTGCGGCAGGGAGACAGCGCTTGTTAAATGATTGGTAGGTTCGCGCTCCGCGACCCGCGGAACTAACACGAACTGGCCCTTCCCCACCGCTCACAAAACCCACCACCTGTGCGAGGTGATCTCCACGTCGCCTGGCAGTCGAACTCCTCGATCCAATTTGCCTGGGGCGAGCCACTTCGTGTGGGTGCCGGCGGTTTGCGAGGTCGCCGACCGACATGAAGCTTCTGAGAGCAAGACATGTGACTGCTGACCGCCACTTGGCCTGGAAAGACATTGCAACGTGGCTCGAACCCTGGCAGGTTATTCTATCTATGCCAACGTCTCCACGCTGACGCCAATTCCTGCACCATACCTTGTCGGGCAGACCGTGGCAGGTGAGTGGCACCATCCGAACTTTCGAGGGCTTTGACAAGATGGACACATTCAAAGTGTCAGCACATGCAGGTCAGAACAGCTTCAGCTTCACTGGCTACAGCTATGTTGCCACCGATGGCCGCCTGCGCAATGTAGGTCTGATCCCAGGACCTCGACAGCGAAAAGAAGGTTAGATTGGTGTTTGAGAGAGTCAGGACGTCTCTACGAAGTCTTCGTGGTTGCCGAGAATGCAGCAGGCGTGAGACAGAATGCAACAGCAAGGTGAAGCTATTGCTACGTCGTTGCATGAGCGGAGTCGCGCGCTCTCAGGTGTTGGCCCGGCCTCCGTGTCCTCGACGGTCTCTGCGGTGGCCGCCTCCAAGCCGCTTCCCCAATCAAAAGGGTCGCCAGCTAATTCGACGGTCGTGCGCCGCGAGGCCCTCTGCTCCCCAGGCCTTCGCGGTGGACCTCGAAGCATTGAGTCAAGGACGCGCGGTGGCAACACCACGCCATCTTCGAAGATCTTTGGCCGTCGGCCTGCCTTGGCCTGCTGCAGGAGTGGTGGACCTGTCCTGGCAGATGCCTTCAACCGATGGTGACTCCCCGATCGATGCCTACCGGGTGCAGCGCATGAAGGAGTGGCCCGGAACCTTCCTGTCCCTCGGCAGAACTCGGCAAAAAGGAGAGAGACAAGGTCGCAAGCTTGTAGCTTGCCGTCTGATATCCTCTAGGTCTCAGTGCTCTGTTTTGCTCAACAACTTGGGCGAGTCTGGCGGCAACTGCTCCTCGGCTTTCCAGTATGGCCTAATCTGTGTAGATGTGTGTGCCCACTGTAAGTATTTGTCAGTCATGGTGGTCTTGACCACCCTGGTTGGCAACTGCGAGTGCCATTTTGCAGAAAATCCTGAAGAGTCTCGTTAGGTGGGCAGCTCTTGCTTGTCAGTCTTGTGCAACGCATGTGTAGTTCCCCTCGGGAGCAGTGACATGGCAGGTTTGCGAAGTAATGGTTGTACCAGCTACGATCGGAAAGACTCGTTTCACAAGATTACGGAAGAAATCAAAGTCAGAGCTGCCTTCTATGCTCTCAGAGGTGTGATTGGGGACTTCGCGGCCAATGGAGTGGGGGATACTGGCCTCATCGAGGAAAATCCTGGTCAGGCAGGGGCAGGAATCCAACACGGCGGGTGTGTAGGTTACGGCCACTATGGATTCCGACTCGCTGCCAACGTTCCGTGGAGCCTTGCTCACCATGCTTTGGCACGCTGCCAAAAGTCAAGACTCAGACCAAGTGTCGTTAGGCACCGACTTGCAATCCCCCGGACTAGGTGCGCATCTACACTGGCCGTGCCTCAGTCGCAACACCTGTCCGGGATGCTGAAGTCTTACCACTGGCGTCAGTCAGTTAGTCAGTCCCTTCCCAACGTTTGATGATGCAGTTGCTGCGTTTCCACACAACATGCTCACCCCGAATTTTGTGGGTGCTCTGGGTCATGGGGAATCAGCATACCATATTCCACGGCAAATAATGGTTCCGGCTGGCACGCCTGTGACTTCTTTCACATCGAAAGCGTGGGGTTGAATGTGCAAGGTATTTTTGTTCCATGTTTTTGAAGTGCCTAGGGCATCTGTGCTTCTCCGGACAATCCCGATGCACGAGCGAGAGTGGTGTAAAGTCGTGCACGAATCCGAGGCATCGCGGTGCGGAATGTGGCACGGGAAACCCAGTCCTCGGTGCTATGCTCAATAGTGACTTGTCAAGAAACGAAGACCCAAACTTGACCAGAGAGAGCCGGATTGCAAAGAGCTCCCAAAGCCAGGGCTCGTCCTTTGCTCAGGCCGTGTTTGGTGACCCGCTCTTCCCCACTGCCGAGTATGACCCTGGACGTGACGAGCCGCCACTTAGGGAATGCTGCTCGTCAGAGTGTGGGGCATTGCGAAAGCATGTGAACTAGGGTTTGTATGAGGGATTGTTCTAAGTGTCTACAGGGTGCGTACATGTTGCGTGTTCCTGTGCATCTACTTCACGGCTAAGCTTCAACGGCTCTCAGACCCGACTGTAGACCAAAACCCGAAACCGTCCGAACAGGAATTCCTCAGAGCTGCAGACTGTTTGTCAGAATTGACACATGGGGGCAAGTCAAAGTGACCGGCCCCCTCTTTTGCTTTTGCTCCACGGCCTCTTCTGCAGTTGTGGCAGTGTCGCTTGAGGTTACGTGTTGGTGGAGGTTTGTGCTGACGAGCCGGCAGCGTCTTGACCAAAAGCAGAACACATGAAAACATTCACGTACTTGTAAGGTTGGCTGCTAAGGCAGTTGTCACGGAGTGTAGCGCTGAGGACTGGCATGATGCGGACAGCGATGCGTTCGACTGCGGATGGTACGCGGCGGAGCCAGGAGCACAGGGCAGAGGGGACGGGCTCGAGTCGATGTGCCGTGCAAGTCTCATAATCTGCCTTAAGCCAGAAGCTGTCTGCGAAAGCCTGCAGGACGGTGTGAGATTTTCGGAGTGGCTGAGCAGCAGGTTGAGTGTCGTTCGAACTAGTCATCGTAAGAGTCGTTGTCGAATCTGAATCCACCCTCGCAGGCTGTTAGGATTTGCAGGATCGTAGAGAGAGACTTCGAGCGGTCTACGGCCTACGGCTGGTTGCAGCCAGTGAGACTCACTTGAGGTCCGTTCACCAGGCCTGTGGAATCGAACTGCCAGCGAGGCTGGACTGATGAAACGCATTTGTCTTTGAGGCGAAACATTGGCAGCAAAGCGGAACCGCTTTACAGTTTCCAGATGCGCCCATGTTCTGAGCAGCACTCTTTCAAGCACCAGCTTTCTGCAGGCATGCTGTGCATGCGGCGGCGGGCTGAAAACGAACGAGCTGAAGTTCTGCACCAAGGAGCACCCACGCACCATACCGCTTGCTGGACGGAACAGCCCCCGACTGCCAATGCCAGGAGTTTGGCACTTGCGAGTTCAACAGTACCATCCCTGCTTTCGGTGGCCTCAAGGCAGACTACACTGATGGATGCTTGGCATGCCTAGGGCCTAATCCTCTCCCGTCCTTGAGCTGACCCATTGCACCTGCACTTACTAAAGACTCACATGAGCGTCATGCCTCATGCACTGGGACAGACACAGAGACAGACCGAAGCTCGCGCTGGCTCCATTACCCGCAGCGGCAGGCCACAGCGCTGGGCTGTCGATGTTATCCATGCGTGTTTGGGCGACCATCCCACTAACCCTGCTCGCGGCGGCAGAGAGAGGGGCCAGCTGGCCGCCTGTGGCTCCAAAGAATGCCTTCGTACACCTCTTTGAATGGTCTTGGCAAGATGTGGCGAGAGAGTGCGAGGAGTGGCTAGGCCCCAAGGGCTTCTCAGCAGTTCAAGTTTCCCCGCCCATGGAGCACATCCAGGGCCAGCAATGGTGGACCCGATACCAGCCAGTGACTTACAATCTCACCAGCCGCTCTGGCAACGAGAAGGACTTCAGGGATATGGTCGGGCGATGTTCGAAGGTAGGTGTCAGCATCATTGCCGATGCGGTGATCAATCATGCAGCTGCCGGAGATGGTGTTGGAACAGCAGGAAGCTCCTATGGCGGACGATCAACCGCTATTTATTCGCAAGAGGACTTCCACCACAACCCTGATGACACCAGCCGGAATTGTGGTGTGAGCAACTACAACGACAAGTTCAACGTTCAGAACTGTGACTTGGTCGGCCTTCCGGATTTGTGCACGGGGTGCTCGCACGTACAACAGGTCATCGCGCAGTATCTCTCCAACCTGCTCCAGATTGGCGTTGCTGGCTTTCGCATCGATGCAGCGAAGCATATGGATGCAGGTGAACTCAAGAAGATGCTCGAGCAGACGCAGGGTGGCGTGCCCTGGGTGTTCCAAGAGGTGATCGAGGGTGGAGGAGAGGCGGTGACGCCGCAGATGTACACTGACATAGGCAAGGTGACGGAGTTTGACTACTCAAGGCAGCTGGCCCCGAACTTCATAAACGAGGGTAAGATGAAGTATTTGGACACCTTCGGTGAGAAGTGGGGATTCATTTCAGGTGACTCTGCTGCAGTCTTCCTGGACAACCACGATACACAGCGTGGCGAGGCGTCGCTGACCTACAAATCCGGATCTCTCTACACCCTGGCCAACATCTTCATGTTGGCCCACCCGTATGGGTACCCCAAGGTCATGAGCTCCTACTACTTCGACGATCACGACCAAGGGCCACCTGGCCAGCCAGTGCACGGCGATTCGGGCCTCGCATGTGGAGACGGTCATCCCTGGGTTTGCGAGCACCGCCGACCCGAGATCGCCAACATGGTGGCCTGGAGGCAGAGCGCTGGCACTGAAGGACTCAACGCATTTCTGGCTTCAGATGATGGAAACAGCATCGTCTTCTGCCGCGGAGCTGCAGCCTGTGTCGCATTGAACCGTGCTTCGAGCAGCTGGAAACTCACGGCCAAGCTCACATTGCCGCCGGGCAAGTATCGGGACGTTGTTCGCGCGAGCGACATCTCGGCTTGTCCGATCGTCGAGGTGAAGTCCGATGGCTCAGCCAATCTTGAAGTGCCATCCATGAGTGCTGTGGCTCTGCACATCGGAGCGACCGCGGGGAGCCACAGCCCGTTTATCATTTCAATTTGATCTTAGCTGGCCGCAGTGTCTTTGTTGAAGACAGCGGTCGCAATGCTTTTAATTTTGCAGAATTGAGTGCAACGCGGTGCTTGGCCGAGCCTGAAGGTGCTTTGCTAGCTCGATGTTGTCGGGCGCAGATCACGTGTGGGTACCCACCGGCGGACTGGTGCCTACGGCACATGGCGCAGAAAGCAGTCTCCACTTGATGCGACAGATCGTATTTCCGTGAGTCGCGTGCCTTGAGTGTCCTAGGAGTTACGCCTGTCTACTTCGGGAAGCTCGAGAGTTCAGTATGGTCCGTGGCGGACACCAGCGGGGTGCGCTGTCGGCAGTGGAAGCGCAGATCTGTGCAAATAACATTTCCGCGGCAGTTGTGAGGTATGTCTGAAGGATAGTCTTCACAATTCAGCATATTCTAGACCCGTGCCGCGACTTTGCGAGGGGGAGATGTGTGATGTGGCTTCATGGCCCTGTAAACCTTGTGCAGAGGTCGTCGAATGCAGCCGCGCCATCGGCGGCAGGGCAGAGGCAGCCCTGGAGTGTGAAGAGTTCTCCGTGCCACGATTCGTGTTCGCAGGTCACGGGTGTCAACGACATCGCCTTTAGCACCCAGCAGTTGCCCGGCAAAGTGCGGCTCAGTGGGGCCTATGCCAATCCTGAAGACTTCCCTGTCACATATTTCTCAGCTTTGTCGACGGCACTGTTACAGACTGCTGCGTTAAGGGGTCAATGACACATTCCTGAAAACTTCTTTTTACAGTTGATTTTCTGGGCTTGGGTGGAGTTGATTGTAAGTCGAAATGGAGCTGATTGAGAGTTGTATGGGATGGGGAAAGGATATGGGGGGGGCAGGCGGGAAATTGAAATTGCACTGGGGGCCCTCATTTTTCACTATAACAAATGCGCACCACAATACGTCTGTCAGTGTCAGCGTCAGCCACCAGCCACCCAAAACCAGCCCAGCCAGCAGCCGCAGCCGGGCCATCGCTGAGCACCTCCATCAGCCAGGGGCTCAGCTTCTTCTTCAGTCAGTGAGCTTGACACTCCAAGACCGAATTGATGCAGCCGTCGTCAGCTTCAAACACATAGTCAGCTGTCAGCCGCCATGACGGAGCCTCAGCCTGTCGGGCCGGTCGTCCTTAACATTGTGACCCCGGCGGGCAGCAACATCAGTGTCGAGCTTGCGGACCCCGACACTGCCCCCCGTCGCCAAAGCAGCTGTTAGGTTGAGCGATGTCAGTCAGTGTTGGGATTCGGGGGTCCAACCTGCTTAGACCTTAGCCTTGTAGACTAAGATGATCGAAGACATCGCGTGCTACTTCGACATGGCTCACTGGTATGGCCCTGACGAGCGGCTGTGGGCATGCCAGGTTCATGCGCATGCGTAATTATTTAAGTAAGTATGTGGTAGGGATGGTTGGTGTGCCTGGCGCTGCCATCCAGGTTGGCTTTGTCCAGACCAGCAGTGTCGGCGTCGATGAGGAGGTTCCACTGACTCCGGCAGTGGCACCCCGGCAGCATTGTCGGAGATTTTGGTTCGAAATCTTGTTTGCTAGCAGCCTGCTTCAGTCGGACGCGGACATGCCGTCAGCTCCTGGGTCGCCGTCGTCTCTCCTGAGCCTGGGCCTTCACCACGACAGCAGCGTCGCCCCGCCGAACGGGCGATTTGTGCCGTGGGACACGAAAGTGCGGAACCTCAACAGAGGTTTTTCGCTTTTCTTTGTCAGAGCCCGCAGTTCGCGGTTGTGCAGATTCGAAGGTCTGCGTCAGGAACTGACGCCTGAGAGGCTTAGCAGCATAACCGTTCTGCACAAGGACTATGGCACTGACTCAGAAACTGAGTCGGCCCCAGCGTCTTCTGACGTCGGGCTCGGTGTCGGTCCACCTGGAATCGATCACTAGCTGGCCGGCGGGAATCTGCATCAGTTTTGGGAAAAAGCTGCTTGCACCTGCGTTGCATTGCTGAGTGCAGCACAGACAGACTTAGTGTCAAGTAAGTGCATTCAGCATTGATGCGTGCCTGCCTGAGGTCGGCTCGTCGATGTGGTCAGCGACTCATCTGTGTCGGTCTGACTACTTTGTCCTGACATCAGTCAAACACTCGGTCCCCTGTGATACTGAGGTCAGGACTGATACCATTCCGATCCGGGACGACCTCCTTTGTCGTTACAGGTGCTTCCCCCTTAGTTTGAAACGGTTATCAGGTCATAACAGGCCTGCAGTGCTCCTGTGTCTGTTGTCTGCCGACAATGTAACTTAGTCAAATGTTCTGCAGTCAGCCTGTGATTGTCAGTTGACAAACTTGGTCAAACATTCGATTGCTGAGGTCATGAAGCGGCAGCGCCATCCTGGAATCTTGGACGAGGGCGATCATTTACTGCAGAGGTGCTTCCCCCTCCCTTGCATGCAGTTGCCAGCTTTTGTCCTGACTGACATCACACACATATTGCACTGCAGTGTGAGTGTCAGGTAGAACATGTCTCAGCTGTCAGCTGTCAGCCCCTTTGCCAGCAGTCATTGTCAGCATCAAAGGAGGGCCCCTGCCTGTCGGTGTCAGCTTCAGTTGTCAGCTTGAACTCCATGTCGGACACACACAGACAGAGACAGACACACATAATAAAGTGCCAGTGGCTCTCCATTGCTGACAATTTTGCTCACCATGAATGACTGAATGGCAAGGACATTACGCAACATTTCACTTCACAGAAGGTCGGTGTCGGCGGTCCTGTAGCAGGGATTGCCTCGCGCATGGCCGTTCGCCCTGGGGACGAAGGATCGTCCAGCGTCGGCTACAACCACTTGCCAGACGACATCCGAAAGGTAGCCGACGATCAGGGTCTTCGTCGGGGCGCTGTGCAAGTCTCCCGGCATGTAAATTAACACAGGAAAAGACTAAGAAGAGAGAGAGACACACACAGGCACACAATGACATTAGACGACTCAGGGTCTCGCCCTCCTGAACGAGGTCGACCCTGCGGCGCTGCAGGACCTTGTTCCTCGCCATCGTTAGGCTCAGAAATCGTTTGTGTTCTTTCGTTACTCTAGATTTAGGAAATCTTTGTCCTAGGTGTCTGCGTCTTTGTCAGTCTAGGTCAGAGAGAGTCAGCGCAGACAGAAGAATAATCCCAACGGCTGGTTTATCAACTCCATCATACGCACGCTGAAGCAGCATCTGGGACCAGTTAAATGAGTAGCACTTTCAATGTGTAGCATAACGGTTTCAGTAGCTTACTATAACCCTTGTCATCTGTTTCGTTTATCAAGTTCAGGAAGACCAACGATGACTTCAAGACCCAATGAGTCTGCGTCAGCTGGTCGGCTCCGAGAGTTCGACTCTGGAGCAAGATCCAGCCTGCAAGAAATGCGGGAGGCCAGGCTCCTGCTGTCGAACTGGGAGGACATGGTTCTGAAACCGGGTTTGCCGCACTT